TGAAGATTAAAGATGGTATCGCGGTAAGTATCCCGGCGGCGCACGCACGCGACGGACGACTAACGTTGCCTACAGTTTTTGTGTGGACGGATACAAAGGATGAGATACTGCCTAGCTACCTGTCTACTCTGCCCTATAAATCTTATTAGGTCTTTCAGCCGGTTAGAATTAGACGGATATCTATTATCTCCCTTTGTTGTAAGCGTGTACTTAGTTCTACACACACACTTTCTATTCATGTCAAGTACAATGTACATAGACAAAGTAGGTACTTGTTTAAATAATGCGGAACAATTACTTGGGATTTATTACTTCTTGAGCTGTTAATATACAGGTAGATATCAAATATTATTATAATTTTATTAAAGGTTGACAGTAAGACGAACGATAGTCATTAGTAAAACAACTTGAACGACGTCATGAGTCACTGTTACGCCTAAATTGTAGGAACGAAGGGTTTGGCACAGCTGTAGCTAGGCCGCTATTACGGTACTACCACAAATCCCCGATGATAGTAGGATTAAGACCCATCTGGATCACCGAGGCGGACTTAAGATACGTTATTTACTCCCCAACCTGGAAATTGTTTTAGAGACATAGTAGCATCGTGAGAGCTTTGTTAGTCATTACGAAATAAGGTATGACTCTATAACTTTGGTAAAAATACTTACTTTTTAAGTTAGTAAGTGGTATTCGCTTAAATTTGTACTAGATACATTTAAAACATTAACGAAATACGTCAAACTTTGTCTCAAAAAAATAAAAATTAACTGTCACCTAAGATGCAGGTCGTTACCCTCTAAATGCTCTGTAGCTCGTTGATCTTCGTTGAAGCAAACGTGCGTAGCGGAAACACGCAATCTTGTCCGTACCTACTACGACAACGATGCTACGTGTTGACAAGCCTACGGGCTACGAGCTACGCGCTACGGGCTACGCGGCTTGTAACGTTTGTAAACATAATAGATAATAAATAATGCACTAACTTAATTTAATTTTGGTATTTGAGAATGTTCTTCACTTATAGAAACAACTAATAAAATGTGTTCGTTTTCATTCATTTAATAACACCTTCCTTTTTTAAATTTTAATGCGACCTAAGTTCTGACAACAAAACTATGAAAATATCTCGCCGTTAAAAGCTCGCAGCATTCTTTCCGGAAGGTTGCGCTATTTTCATAAAATGCATGTACTAAGTACCGTACGTACCCACTTGGGCACGAGAGCTCATCTCAACTCAGTCATCGCAGACAGCGAACAAGACACACAGAATTTGTCCCGCCATTACAAAGTATTAAAGGAGCTCGGGAAGGTTTTAGAAAACAAAGGACTAAGCCTCGGGAGAAACAACAAAGTACTGTGATACTTCTGCGGATTGTAGTCTTCGCGGATGACATTTTAGTTTAGAGAGAAATCTCTTTGCGGGTAAACGTTTAACAATATCCGTCTTGTAAGTAGGTACACTTTTACAATGCAGCGCATAAATACTATCTGATAGCTCTCCGACATACAGGTACGTTATCCTAAGAGATAGGATTTATTTTATTTCTTGTTTTATTTTGTATGCGTTCTTGCATGTTGTTTCACGTACCTAATTTATATTTTCTTTTGTTATATTTTGTAATGGCACAAAACTTATTAAATTAAGCGATCATTTCTTATAGGTACCATGTTGCTGCGTATTGTTTCATCAGATTCTATATGTCTTCATATCCCGTAGTATATGATACAGAATAATCTATTAATCTTACGTACCTACATTATTTTAATCGAATATAAAATCGTAAATATTAAATACTATTAATTAACATAGCTCTTACGAAGGCTCTCTAATCGCACCGTACGCGTGGGCAGAAAATTAAACCTTCATTGAAAATTACTGGGTAAACCTTCATTGTAAATTACTGCTTAGAATATCATCGGTAAATAAGAACACAGTAAGTACCCACCCACGCGCCACGTAGACACTACATTTGTTACTAGGTACCTCACAGGTTGTGCAGATATCTAACCATTCACCTGTTTTCTTCTATTGAACTTTCAACTATCGGAACATACAATGTTGTAGCGACCTGAATTTCACATTAGTTAACGAAATACCCATCTCGTTAACTTATGTGCTGTACGAAATATTAATTTGTTTCTTTTTTTACCAGCACCCTATATCGGACTTTTGCTCTAATCTCAATTGGGATGATGATAGGGTATGAAAATTAAAAATATAATTAGTCCGTAAGTTAGGTAATGAAAAAATATTAGACACGTATTTTTTTATTTTGTCGTATTATAAAACAATACTTAGATTAAACGAATCAAAGTTTAGGGGTGGGGGCTAAAACATCATTTCTACGTATAAAATGTACATAGAACGCGACATTTCAAATCAATAATTATATCGTCGAAAGTATTCGTTTCTGTAAGAAAATAAAAAATAAGTGTCTAATGATTTAAAATAATCTACCAGACGGACATTAAAATAAAAATTAGGCATCTACCCTATTAGCAAAAATATCATTTTAATAAGAGTGTTACACCTCTGATAGGAGCTTCTCAGTTCTCTATTCCTTCCTTCCTTTTCTCTTACAAGGATTTCGTAGACTTTTTATCATATTCATAAATCTACAAACAACACCTGCCTTAAATATCTCAACTTTAATTTCAAATTCTTGAGTACAGCCCGCATAGTCTCGAGATTATCGCAGCCCGCATGATGAAAAAAGGATGCCTCACAATACGCAGGGTTTATTCAAACGAGCGCGTCTTTGAAGTGGGAGTGTGACGTGTAAAACGCACTAGGAACTGATACCATCTTTAATCTTCGCACCTTTTGGTGTGGTCCAGCTAGCCAAGCACTTTATAAATAGGGAGCAGCGACAGCTTTGTGCGGTGAAATGAGACTAGCGCACGATAAGAATCTTGAAAGTGCTCCAAGACAGTAGTGAGCGTGCCACCTCAAGGGCACTGTGATCTATTGCGCTTTTCATTACGACACGCCACTATTTTCGAGAATATTAGGCACTTTATTTCGGCGTTTTTTAGCCGTAGGCCGCTAATTCGTTCAGCTGATGGCGTCACTACTTGTAATATATTTTCTCAGTTCTATTTTTGCGTTTGTTTTATTTTTAAATCAGTTTGTATGTCATCTTGTATTCTCGTGGATAAATGTTGCTTTTTCACAAAGAGTGATAGTAGCCATATACAGGCTGGTTTTATTATTGCGATTTTTCAAAATGCCGGAAGGTTAAAAATGTCGGGAGACTAATTAAAACGAAATAGTTCAATTAAAAGTATATTTATTGTAAATAACTAAATCAAACTAACATTTAGCAATAAATGACTCAGGTAGTACTTGCCAAAAGATTACCTATTATCAAATGTGAAGTTCTTCAGCGGCGTCCTGAGCCTATAATATATCGAAAATACGTGAACATCAAAATATGTTAAATTTAACAATAAAACCAATGCACCTACACATGCGAATAGTGTTAGAAAGCTAAACCGCATTAAAAGTTAAGATTGAATGTCACATATAATACTAGGTTTGAATAAAGCTTAATTTTACACGTGGCTAGTAGGTACCTGTCACAATAGTGAGACAATTACGATTTCCTTTACTACTACATACATATTAGGTAACGACATACATTCGAAGATTGACTACAGACAAGATAATTATATTAGAATGCGTCGGTTTATACAAAGCGTTGGATGTTGGTGTTATCCCTTACAAGGTGCCGTTCTCAACGGCGGTAACTATCAGCGAACTAAATCTATGCGCGGGGTCGCGGGTCGGGAGGTTGCAAACCAAAACGACCTCTATTACATACATTTTATGTACTAAGGTGCAATTTACTTTAAACTGGTGCCTAGTTACTAGACATACATTTACTCTCTAACTAATAATATCTCATGTACAGTACCGTAAGCGCAACTATTGTATTGGTAACAATCGCACTTGCAAGCGAAGGATAATTAAGCGTCTCAGCAAATAATCGTATTAGTAGGTACATAAAATTTGAAACCAAACATTACATTCAATACTTTTAATCAAAATTTATTAGTGAATAAATAATTCGGTTTACAATTTCAATAACCGCTTTTGGCTGCACCATTTCGAGTTGATAAATCCCATTAATTTATGTAGGTCACATTAATTACGTGGGCATTTATTTAATATCAAAATTATAGAGGTAAAATTGTAAAGTTTATAAATATATCACAATAAGTGGGCGGAGGGCGGGGTGCGCGTCAACGCTACACATTTCTATTCCCGCTCTCTAGCTACGCCCAATGTCATCGAGATTTTACACATCATCGCTCGCCAAGTGCGATTACTGTCCTACGTAATAAGTTTATATGTACGTATCCCCAAGACTAGCAAAAGGAACGTCTTAACTTCAAATCCGTTAATGACAAAATAATCGAATAAAAAAATAATAAATTTATGTACACGAAAATAATACAACCAGCGTATGTACGTAACGCCATTTTGTAATTAATGTACCATTTGTTTCAGTAAGTAATTATAATCTAGTACGCAACATCATAAGTGGAGACTACGTTATATTGCTTTTACAATAAAAATAAATTATGTAGGTTCTACAGATCACGTATGCTATATTAAATAAATAAATAATAATTTATCTAACTAATCTACCTAAACATGAAGAGAATTACAACAAAATACTGAGAGTAAGGAGAAAATTAACATTTCAATATTTTACAAAAATAATTTCGTTCGACAAAAATAAATGATCATGTCAAAGATAAATTACGTTTCGAGATAGATTACGTAGATATTTAGACTCTGTTACAAGTGTTTAAGTTTCAATATGGCATAAATGTTGTCTACTATAACAGTATATTGGTTTGTAACGTTCTAAAATGTGTACACTGACAGTTTTGATTCGTAAATGGCTGACTATATTTGTATTGTATCTAAGAGTGTGTTGGGAGCGAAAGCTAGCCATTTCATAACCGTCGCGTGTTCGTGTGATCGCTTATAGCACGCAGAACTCTTCGAGAAGGTTCCTGAGCTCCTTGTTGTGAGCTGCCTTGGATCCGGTGGCGGGGGCCGCGGCCGTCGCGCGTCCGTGGTAGCTACAATAAAAAAAATCCACTTCACAGTCTCTTAAAATAGAAACAAATTACAAATATTAATGTAGAAGTCCACATGTACATTTTTCTATTTGTTTGGTTTTAAGTATTTACAAAGCTGCATAAGCAGAGTATTGTTATTGACGAATTATTGTAAAGAGTTAATAAGATTCCTTTTTTGCATATAGTACCACTGCTCTCTTTTAAACTTGGTAACATGCATACACATCTCTTAAATAACATTAATTATTTTAAATGTATAAAAAGGTAAAAACAAGTGTAGAATATAAGAAAACGAAACAGCATAACATAAACAAAGACTTTTTGAATTGCGGCTTGAGTTTCGTAATGAGAAAATAATATATTTGAATCTCCTTTAATATTATTGAATTTCAATGAAACCTAATAATCACCATGAACCGAAACAGCATGTTTTATAACCACTGGTAATTATTGAGCTTCACTCAACAGAAATTGTGCCCTAAACAAAAACACCAATAAAGCAATTTGTTTAAATATTTGACACTATGATGTAATGATTGACTCTTGAAGCAAAACCAAGGTAACTTGCGTCTTGTTGGCTTAGTTAACAGGGTGTTCGACATAAGCAATTTTTAATATGAAATGGTGTGTCATAAAATAATGCAACTTGAGAACGAAAATTATACATTAGCAAAACACCCTATTAGTCAAACATGCATGTGATTTGATGACATGAGTAAGTGTGAATGAGCACAGAGGATTCGAGGGGAAGGGACGCCATATGCCATGATCTCACCTAATGGTACGCGGCACTGGCTCAGCCTCGTCTGAGACCGGCTTCTCTTCCCGGCCGAAAAGTTTAGTAAACCAGTTACCACTTTGTGGCTTTACTCTGCAACCAATAGCCAGTTATATTATGGCGTACCGTGTTTAGGAAATTTTACATTAAAAGTAGGATTACGCGATATGAACAGCTTTAGGATCGTAAAAATGTTATTGAATGATATAATACATGCAAATTTGAAAACCCATGCAAGCCCAAATGTGTGTCGGAAACTCAAGCCGCAATTTAAGTTCCTTTCCTTTGTTTCGTTTTCTTTTATATTCCTAGCGACTACATCAAGCAACAAGCACTAACGATAAGTTCTGATTTTTATATTTAAAATAACTTATATACTATTGCATTTGCAAAAACGTTTACAAAACTTTGCCATTCAAATTTCAACGGCTGCTTACCAACATGCTGATATAAAAACATATATTTACATATTACATATTAAAATATAAACTCAACAAGCAACTTATTACAACTAGCTATTCGCAATAAATAATTTGTTGGTAGATTTGCCTACTAGACATTTCGACAAATTGTAATTTAGTTAAAATTCTGTCGCTAATAGCTAACTCTACTTAATCGCGACGAAAATAAAACCGATCGCATTCCAAAACAGACTTTTGGCATTGATTTTATGTTATTTCTGACAAAGAGCTCGTAGACAAAACTGCGATGCGATGCGAGTTCGCTTCGCAGAAAATTACGACACGAATTGCTGCGATGCGATTTCGTGTGACAAGGGTGACCATTCCTTCGACGACCGTCACCCGTATTTTAAATTGACAACTAGGTCGTGAAATGGATCATAAAAAGAAGTGTGCACTTATGTTATTGTTTAGGAGATACAGGAAAAAGAAACAAAGAAGATTTTGGGAAGATAAGATTTTGATGCACGATGCGATTCAATTCGCAAGTTCTTGCGATGCGTAGAATGCTCGCACATTTTAGTGATACGACGTCTCATCGCAGTTTTGTGTACGAGCTCTAAAACCAAGTGCGATTTAGGTTTGAGATCGGTTAAAATTTTCGTCGTCTTTAGAAAGGTACTTCTTAAAGATTACTTTAAAACCTGTAAGTGAACATACCTGACGGTCTTCTGGTTCTGTAAGAGAGTGCGGAACCTTGGTTCCACGTAGCCCCAGTAGCCAGAGTTCTTGTGCTCCTCCTGGCTCCATACAATGTTCGCGTTCGGGTACTTCTCAATCTCAGCCTTGATCAGATCGTAGGGGAATGGCGAGATCTGTTCCACTCTAAATAAACATTACAATATTTTATACCCTTGTCACAGTCAGTTTTCTACTAAAACTTGATGGCTTTAAAGATTTGTTTACTAATTTAAAAACAAAAATGTTTGTTTAAGAAAGCTCTATTCAAGCAACTATAACCAGTTGTGGCAGCCTGGCTATACAGATTTTAAAAACTTTTTGATGAAACACTAAAAATTATTTTTATTTAAAGTTACCTGACAATAGCGATGTCCTTCTCGAGTCCCTTCTCGCGCCTGTGTTTGAGCAGGTCGTAGTAGACGCGGCCGGTACAGAACGATAGCTTGCGGACAGATTTCGGGTCCTGGGATGCTGCGCCGTCATCGGGGATCACTCTGGGTAAAGGTAAAAAAACTTTTTATTACTGTTCCTTAACATTTTCAAGCGATGCCACTGTTAGCTTATAATAATTATATTAACTAAAGTTGCTTATCCCAATTTTTTATGAGGATCGATGATCATCCACTGACCTCAAGAAACAGGTCTTTCAACTCCTGTTCCATGGCTGGGCCGCAATATACGGCGACGTTACCCGAAACCCCGGCAGAAAGAATTAAAGATTGTTTATCCCCAGTATGTTTACAGAATCATTTGAATTTCTGAATTTTTCATAATTTATATCCGTACAGGAAAGTCTAGTCTGAAATGGCATAAATGAATTTATATTTTTCGCAGTTTCACTTACCTTCTGAAGCTTGAGCCGTCCTTCATTTCATCGAATGAGGACTTGGCCTCGGGGTGACGCAGCAGAGACTTGGGAGTCATGAGGATGAGAGGCTTGCGGAAGGGAAGGGCAATCTGTCGTCGCAGGATGTGGAAGTATGACGCCGGGGTGGAGCAGTTCGCCACTATCCAGTTGCAGTCGTGCAGTTGACGCACTGTAAACAAACATAGATAGTTTCGTAGGTATAACTTAGTTATGGGTCGATATCATACTTAATTCGGTGATTGGTAAACTCGAAATGCTTCCTCAATAGCTAACATGAATAAGGAAGGCTTCTCAAAAGCTTTTTTCTTTAGTATTAAGTAGTAGATACGTCCAATATAATAGCATTATGACATACCTTCATAGTCGGGGCTCTCAGGAGGCATGTAGTCGGGGTCGTCAGCGCACATCTGGAGGAACCTTTCGGGCCTGGCTGACGAGTGCTCGGGGCCCTGCAAACAGGAGTCATTTTAAATTAACCAGTCACATAATCATGATTGATACTTATAGCTAGATTTCTTCAGGTAGTAAAAATGTAATATAGTTGGTGTTTTGATTGATAATGTCTAAAACTTTGACCAGGTCCTGAAGGTAAGGTTGCAGCCTCATCTCAATTCTCGATGACGTAACTGATCCGCAAGTCACCCACAAAGTGTGGGGATTATGGCGTACCTACAATGTGTGGGGTTTTTGCGGCCGTTCTTACCCTGGTTAAGACGTTAGGTAATCATATTAACAATTAACCGAAAAATTTGCTTACCATGCCCTCCATGCCGTGAGGTAGCAGAAGTACGAGTCCGGACTGTCGCACCCACTTGGCCTGTCCGCTACAGATGAACTGGTCAATGATACATTGCGCGCAGTTGTTGAAGTCTCCGAACTGAGCCTCCCAAAGTACCAGAGCGTTCGGGTTTGTCATCGAGTAACCCACCTCGAAACCAAGCACGGCTGTGTACAAAAACAAAAGTAATGCTTTATTACTGCAACTTCCTTTACACTTTCATATTTGTCCAAGCAAATTAATCTGATACTTCAAAATCATGCACGGCAAGACGTATACATGCATGCAGTTACTTATTCACAATTGGCGCGATGGATATTGCTTCGTATAGCTCCAGGTTAAGCTCGAAACTAGTAGAGTATTAAGTATGCTTTTTTGATCTTTTTATCATTTGTGACTTCTTGAATAGAATTTAATTTCTTATTCATTTACTCACCGTATTCAGAAAGTGAACTGTTGCAGACGGTGTATGGAGCCTGGTCGGGGTAGAGGTGGCAGAGCGAGCAGTATGTCGCCTTGTCTACCTTCTGGTGGTGGAGTACGTGATGTCTGGGGATATTACATTATGGTCAAGACAGAACGTAAATATAGAACATTGTTATATGGAATACAGATACCTCTAAGTCTTAATGAAAACAGAAAGTAGTCAAATAGTACCTGTGTGAGAAAGTTCCACGCTCGACGTCCTCTCCGGACAGTCTGACGTGGATGCCTTCCTTGAGCAGGGATCCGAAGGCCATCGCCTCACCCAGCGCCCAGTCCACCTGTCTGTTCTCCACCATCGCCATACGAGCCTTCAGGATACGGAGCAGACCCTTGTGAATCTCGAACTCAGCTGCGTTGGGAGGGGGGGAAGAGAAACGCTTGCCAATGTGCACCAAGGTCTCTTCTACTACACCAGTTGGGGACATCTGAGGAGGTGAGAAGACTCATTATAAATTTTGTTTACAAAACAGCTATACTGCTAGCCCAACCACTGTGACAACTGTCACTGATAATATAAATTATCAGTAGTAGAATTTGGATATATCGTAATTGATGAATTCCGTAAATATATTTATCAAATGAATCATAAAAAAATAGTAGTTACCTTAAGTGGGTCCTTGCCCTCGAAGAATCCGGACCAGGGCGAGTCGAGCCAGTCCTTGAACTTGATGTGTGTCTCCTGCTTGGCCTGTGTGTAGGCGTCTTCACAGATCTTCTCATATTTGTCCTTCACGTCTTTCGCTTCCGCGGCGGTGACCACGCCCTCGCTGATCAGTTGGTCGGCGTATTTCTCCAGAACTGTGGATGGAAAATTAACATAGAAACAAAACGTTACATTGAAGACTTCGGCCTGTATTACAGAAAATTTTCGAAATACTCCAAAAGTAGTATTTGACTATTGACTATATCGAGATCTCAAGAAGGGTGGTTTGAGTGTATTCTTTATCTTTCTTTGTGAAATAAAATAAAAATGTTGACTGTACCTACCGGGCTTAGTGTTGTGGATCTTCTGGTACATGAGTGGCTGCGTGAACATGGGCTCGTCAATCTCGTTGTGTCCGTTGCGGCGGTAGCTGACGATGTCGATGACGACGTCCTTGTGGAACGTGGCGCGCCACTCCGCCGCCACGTTGCACACGTGCATCACTGCCTCGGGGTTGTCGCCGTTCACGTGGAAGATCGGGGCGTTCACTACACGCGCAACGTCTGGACAAAACATCAAAATAGATTTAGTATTTTCTCTTGTGTGAACTACTTTCAAAATAATCGGAGTTTTTATTAAATCTCATAACTCTAAAACCATTATTCTATACATCTATACATCATTTCATTAGTTTAAATGCTGTTTTACCAAGTGGCATAAATATCCAGGAGATTCTAGAGTTATACTCGGAATTTTAATTCGATTCCAGATTTGACAATTTCAGTGTTGCAACGTTATGACAAGTACTAAATAGTGACGTTGCGAAATTATTCGATATGGGAATGCAATATTTCTGGATCGATTCATCTCGTTTATAATTTTACTCTCATAAACTAAGTATATCAGGAAATTAAATATTTCTGAACCGATAATTTAGTTTTGACGATTAATTAACGATCTGAGACTTTTATAATTGTGTGTGAAATAAATAAAAAAATGTAATCATGAACAATCACAAAAAAAAACATATAGATGTATTATGGTAATAACTTATTTTATAAATTGTCGCCGTCATCGCTATCGCTATCTTGTCACTTTCTGTAACATTTATTATAAAACACACACACAGATTGTTTATCGATTTTTGTGTGCATCACTACACTATTATATGTGGTATCATTATTTCACAAAATGACAGTAGCTATTGTCAAATCTGGAATCTAATTAAAATTACTATAGGTATTATGAATTTAAGATGTAAGTTAGAGCCATTGGTAGCAGGTCGCCTTCAACTGACCTATCTGGCAGTCATTGGGGGAAGTCTATGTTCAAGATAACAAACTTTTGTTCCTCTATGCTTTTCAGTGTACAAACCTGTGCAGTAAGCAGAGGAGCGCGAGTGCCTGGGATCAGTAGTGAATCCGATCTGGTTGTTGACGACGATGTGTATGGTGCCGTGCGTGGTGTAGGCGGGCAGGTCCGACAGATGCATCGTCTCGAACACGACGCCCTGTCCGGCGAACGCGGCGTCACCGTGCAGCAGGAGAGACATCACCTAAACAACAACATAGGTGTCAAATAAGAGTAGAAACAGAAAAATCTGTCTTGAATTAAATTTCCAGTATTGCGACCTTTTAATTTTTGATATTTTAACTGACGAGTCTGAAATTGTACACTTGTATGGCATCTAAACTTTCAAAGTCAAATCATCACAAATTCCAAATGATAACCGTGAGTCTATTGCTGATTCATAAAATGACAACATTCGAAAACAGCAAGTTTCAATAGTACTTTGCTTGCCCTACCCGAAATTCGACGAAATCGCTTGCTTAGCTCGTAAGAAAGCTATCATATGTTTGTAACCAAAACTAATAAAGCAACCAACAAGGAATAAACAGTAGGTTAAGTTCTCATACCTTCTTGCCCTCATTGTCACCGCGGTAGAACTGCTCAGCACGGCACTTGCCCTGCACGACGGGGTCGACGGCCTCCAAGTGAGACGGGTTGGCGCATACAGCCAGGCGGATGTTCTTGTTCGTCACACGGTTCAGACGCTCGATGTATGTTCCCAAATGGTACTTCACGTCACCGGAGCCCTACGTACAAAATATATTGTCATTATAGGTCGATTAACAAATGTAATTATTGTTATACTTACCAGACTACACCGTAGACGCTGATAGTGTACAAATCCATTGTGTACTACTACTCTATGTTCTTGAGTAGAAGTAATAAATCTAAGTAAAATAATGTCAAGTATCGAAAATATACTCACGTCATCTTCGGCTTCGAGGGCGGCGAATTGGGTGAACAACTGGTGGAGAGGTTTGCGGCAGACGTTGGCGACGACGTTCAGACGACCTGAAGGGATAAAAATTGAAAAAAATTCAGACTTCGATTACACAATGTATAGCATATTTCGCTCGGTGTAATTTCTTTTTAAATAAATACGATAAAAGTTTTGACAAAATGTTTTAGAATTTAATTATAATCAATAGAATTACTGTCAATTATGTATAACATACATTAAGAAATTATTAAGAAAAAATTAAGAAAGAATAACATACCTCTGTGAGGCATGCCCATGATGATGGACTCGACTCCAAGACGAGTGGAGACGTCGATGACCTGCTTCATCGCCGGGATCAAGATCTCGCAACCTTCCAGACCGAAACGTTTCTCTGACGACCATTTCTTCGCCAAGAAGTTTTCAAACCTGTACAACACATTAAAATTACATTAGTTAAGTCATCTAAATGTTTATATGTGTATGATGGAAATTAATTCCTATTTTCTTGGACATCGCATGACACATGGACGGCTCGATAAATTTCTATTGGACAAGGTAACATATTTTAGTTTTACAAATGCTTAAGTAAACAATGAACATATTTAAAAAATATTTAGACACGGTTTTATTTCAGAAAGTCTTTTTTACCACGTTTTTGCATAAACTAATTATTTTACTTAAAATATTTAGTTTACAATCTCAACAACTCATGTATAATGCACCTTTATGTAATAATATGCACTATATTTCTAGCTCATATCTTATCAGTAACTATTTACAGTGCACTGTCGTCAGGTAATGCGCACAAGCATCTAGTTACACACGTATTTACCGACGCACAATGGCAATTCTAACTTAATTACATAATGTGATGGTAACAATAGTTCGTGGAGAGGTTGCACTTGTATCGAGTGGTAATATTCACGCCTAAGTACAAGTGTTTAATGCAAAATATTAGTAGTGGATTATTTTACGTCTACGTTACGAAAAATATATCCTTTTATAATTTAAAATAAAACCTAGTTTCATGGAATCTGAAATTAAATAAAATGGTGTTTGAATAACCAAATAATCATAGTAGTGGCAGGTATGGTTAGAACCACAACATCATTTGGCACACAACTCACAATGACTTGTCATTTCGTAAGTGATACGATACGATAAGATATCAATACGTAAGTACAGATATTCAAGGAAATAAACTTACTACAAAATACATTTTTACAGACAGAGATCTTGCTAGGACTACGACTGCGACGAATGAAACCGAGACTCTTTGCGCAAGTTGCGCAGTGATTGCGCTAACGATTAAATACATGCGCTTCCACAAATTGTCACTCACCCAGCGGATCTGGTGAGACGAGCGAGGATCAGCCTCTTCTGGTCGTTGCTCATCTTGCCAACATTGGGAGGCTCGATGCGCTGCCTGATCCAGTTGCATTGCTCCAACGAGTTGATGAACATGAACTCAATACCGATGTTGTTGCAGTATGCCTGCTCCAGACGGTTCAAGATTTCCCTGTAAAATTATATTTTATGCTTAACGATGTATTTGAATTCTGAGATGACGTAGTAAGTAAAGTCCTTTGAAAAAATTGGTAACTTTACTACCACCCTCAAGCTTGCCCGCCAAATGTGGGGGTTATTTCAACCCCTATAATCATGCTTAGGAAATATTTGTTTACGAATGGACTAATGATGTTGATGTAACAAAGTACATCAATTATTAGGCAATTAACTACTAAATGTGTCACGCCCCTAATCATTAGAAGTTTGGAGGTGTGGCCGAGATAAGCGAACCTCTTTTATTTGTAATTTTTATTACAATATATTTGTTATGAATTACTAAGCAATTGTTTGAAGATAAGATTAGAGAGGTTCTAAGAACAGTTTATAACTAAAAAATGTAATAAGTAAATTCAATAGAAGCTGAAACTGCATACTTATACCTATAAGTATGCAGTAAAGGTTTTTCATCAAAACTATCACACGCCTGTAATTATTAGCATCCGTGAACAAACCGCATATAATATTCCCAGCATTGTGTTCAACGTACGTTATAAAACCGAAACAATGTGACGAATTTGTTACAGGGCAATTTAAACACCACATTATAGCATTTGATATACCATATTGTGAGTAAATTAGCGGAAACAATGATCTTTGTATTGCTCCCTTCAGTTGGTTAATTTCCAATCGGCAATCAGCTGTAGTGAGTATCGATAACGATAAACGTGACGGGCGCCATCGAAGCAAGGTGAAGGTGACAATAACACTGATATCGTTCCGTTATCGGTACCAAGTAGCCGAGTGCACCTGCGGCAGCATTATGGGAGCTACCCAAATAAGTGTGTCAAAGTTGAGTATAAATACTAACTGCGTATTTAAATTATTGGGTACATTAACCTTCAGTTTTCCGTCGAAATGTAACAGGAGATCTCAAAGAAATTGTCACGTTTTCCTCAATAGAATGTGCAGTATGCTACATTGGAGATAACGAGTATTAATGCAACCTGATAGGCTGAGCATTTCAAAATAGATAAGTAACATAATGCGGTTTGCATCATCCGGGTCTGCGATACACGAGCTCCGCTATCATTACTAGCAACATTTCGAAATCCGTAGCGATTATAGGATCCCTAGTATATAAACCTACTATTTTCAAATTCGGAGTAACTTACCTCAACGGTAACGCTTTCTCTTTCTCACCAATGAAAGTAGTGGATGGTAATTTGAAAACTCTGTCCATATCAGCTTCATCTAAAACATACAACAGGCAATCAGAGTACGAACGTTTAATATAAAAATAAATACTTAAATACCCATAGAGATGCAACATACTTAGACGAACCTTTCCGATAAAGCAGACATCAAAGCGAATTGAAAGTTTATCATATCCCTTTACTAGTTTCACTGTATTCGAACCAACATTATCCCAGTCGACAATGCCCTTACGAGTTACGACAACATTACATTTACAATTATATACACTTGAAAGTTTATGTATAAGATGGTACAATATACAGATGAGAAGAATCTATGATGTGCAACAGTGTTGTAGATACAACCATAGCTACATATATTTCACGTTTGAATTCTCTGGCCGCTGTCCAACACCAAGAATGAAGTAAACAGCACATCATCAATGCCAAACAATTACGTATATTATACTTTTCTATTTGTATAAACCGCGACCAATCGGCGATATATTTTTATGATGAATATTTACATACGTACTATAGTAGATGTATAATAAATAGATACAATATAATCATGCAGTAGTTACATAAGTACATGCTAATATATTCATACAATCTATTAAATACAGGCATGCAAATAATATTATAGTAATAGATAAACCATATGGGTATCGTGCATAACGTGAATACTTTGATGGGCATAAGATGAGCAACTGCGCGTGCGAGCCGAGGACCTGTGCGTTACATCCACATTTCTTTATGAACGTGTAGTTATGGCTACCAGCTTCCGAATCAATTTACGAACAGATTTCAAATTAAAAATAAATGCAAATAAAAATAAAGGAAAATACATTGACAATGACATTGCGTTAACATTGCTGATAAATTCTGTTCATAAAAAGTCCAAATAATCCGACTGCAACAACAAAATAATAAAATCAGTTAATTGTTTAAAGCCAAATCCCTCATTGATTAATTTGTTACCTAGGCACAAAATCTGATACAGGGGAAGCCCGCGTAACTTGACGTAGCATCATATCAGTAGTGTGACATGATGTGGGTGTGGTTTTACAATTTGTTGCAAATGGAAAATTGTAGAGGAACATTGCTTCGCCGCCATAACTACCTACGTATGAGACAACGAGCGACCATGGTGCTTTCTGTATTTCAGGTTCTCGTAATTCTTACCAAACCGGTAGCTGTTGTGAATCACCGCCCGTTTGTTTTTACCGATCAAAGCGCTGTTCGCTATTTCCAACGGGTCGAGGTTGGCTATGTGATGTCCTCGGATCTGTTTTTTAGTGCACAACATTCTCATTTAGCGTGTATTATATAACTGCTGATACTCGGTTAGTAGTCATATAAAACAATATAAAAAGCAAATAATAATAAATACACATTTCTTTTGCTGCAATAATATAGCTGGAGGCATGTTTCATTCGTTTGTTGATGGGTTTTAGTGTTATATTCGCTTTCAGAGCAGCGGTTATAATATGTACATAAACTACTTAGGTATCCATAATTGAGAACAAAATAAAATATCATTGTGGATAAGCCTGCGTGATAAATCAAATGAAGCAGGTATCAGTGATTATAATTATATCATATCCTACCTACAAATCAGTAATTAAGTCTTTAATGCGCTCTTTATGACTTTTATTTATCTAAAAATACTGTGTCGTAAGTAAAATTGTCCTGTCCTACAACATAGGTTACACAAATGATGTCTAATAAAATAATCCCCTAATCGATAACAAAAAAGAAAACTCTTATAATTACATGTACGTATCTATAATACATTGTCAAATTAATACTAGTAAAGTTTTAAACATAAGTAATGTATAAAAATAAAAGTAATATAAAAATAAAAAAGTAATTACTAAAAATACAATAATTTCTGACAAGTTATTCGCATTCACCCTGTGGTATCACAAGAGTATTATAATAAAAAAAGCTAAAACATATCAGGTACAATTTTCACCTAACCTATAACTGTTGTCTGATCCATTCAAAGCAGTTTGGTCGAAGGAACGAGTTCTACTTAAACCTAAATAACCTACATTTACTGGCATGATTCTTATTCACAATATACATCACCGTTCTATGTACAAAATCTAGTAAAGGAATATGATTACAAAGCGTTTAGTCTTATGCAGTGTTTCCATACCTCAACCAAAATTCGTTAATAAAATTAACCTTACACATCATTCTATATTGCAACATAACAACACAATATAGTCATAAAAACAGTCATATTTATATTAGTAACTTTTAGTAATTATTATAATATGACCGATATTTTCAAAAAGCTAGTCTCAACTTTATTTCTATAAAAATTAAATCCAATTTTGTGTGTAAAATAATTGTCTTAAGTTATGAATTTGAAATGTCCCGCCATCTCCATTTAACTACTGAATCAAGTACTACAAACCAAGCACCATTAAGCAAAACTAAGTATGTCAAGTAGAGGAAGTTACAAGTGTAGAGATACGCGAGTGGACGAATACATCAGAATATCCGCAGACAGCCGGTGCGAGGAGTGATACCGAAACTAACCCCCTACAGAAACCACTAGACAAATTACATTAGCGCTAATCGAATCGAATAGAATAGGAAAATGAATGTTTGGGATTGACATAAACCTATGACAATACTTGTCGTATGTCAATGTCAGTCCTATACAATCATTTTTTCAATTCTTCTACACTATTCCGTTTAGCGTTTATGTTATTTGTGTAGCGGGGGACAGCACAAGTTTCAAGTAATGAATTACTCAATACTCGAACCGTGACGATGTCAATTGGACAGATGTTTACTACGTAGGAAACTAATTAATTGTTTGTTTGGGTTAACGATTCACACGAATTATCTTATCGTGGCACTAATGATGTATAATTGCGAAGTCCATTTGACATCAGCGTTGTTGTGATAGATTTAGATCGTCCATACCGAATCTGACGTGTTGTCTAATGACTGCCTCGTTAGCGAAGGCTCGTAATCCTCCGTGCCATTCGTTGCTCGATATCGGGTCCCCGACGGCGATGCCCAGCGGGTCTAATTGCGCCACTAGGTGACCACGTGACTACATCCAACGTAAAACAAAATCTTCGTAACAAGACAATTAAATACCTGTCCCCATCATGCATCTTCAGATATATAGACAGATACATATACATAATACTTGTATAAAGCGGACTCATAATGGTATTGGTTGCTTTATGCATAACAAAATATGTACATTTGTATTTGTAGGTAGAAAGTTAATATAAGTTACGTCTCGAGGATTAAGAAGTCTAAAGATTGATACGCAGCATACATAGGATTAAGAAAATGCCTCAATATTCCCATAAACGTGCAAACTGTTCTTCTGTCTATATAACCATTAACGTGCTCGAAATAGGAAAGAAAATTAAGGCAGTCGTTATTATTGATTCCAATTGAATATTTTTGTATTGTTTGAGACTAGCATTTTACGTCGGTCGGTTGAGTTATTTCGCATGAACAAATGTTTGATGGATGTCGCCATTCAGTTATGATCCTTCTTGCATTATACTATCATTCGGTATTATACAAATTAGTTATAAAATGTTAGGATGACTAAAACGGCTTGAAAACAAAAACTACTGCAAAATAAAACCTTTGATATCAATCGACAGCGAATATTATCACACACATGCATATACAAGATATAATTTCCTAACATACAGTTCTATAACACAAGCAGTGTAGTTGAACAAAATGTGTTATCTACAACAAGATACGTCTTGTACACGATAGATCAAACGATTCAAGTTTGAGGACAACACTAGTATTAGTGATATATTAATGTGATGCATTGACATCTATACGTTAAATGATTTGCGTGGTGTAAAAGCTACGACTATCCATGGGTGTTCAAGGCCACTCGTACTCGTGACCACTCTCTCAAGCATGACTAGATAATAATATGTATGTGTGTTATAAAATCGCTTACGAAACACAACAATCAATGACACGCAATGCAATGTTGAAAAAATAACGAAACGAAATACGACTGTGGATGCGTCCATATTAACGAGAGCGACAGTTCCGTAGTCTCCTGCGTACCAAAATTGAAATATTTCCTCATGATGAGCTCGGAGCTTGGGCCGCGCATGCCTAGCTGAGGCAGGTTCGCCGTCGTGATGCCGAGCGGGTCCACGTCGGCCGCCAGGTGACCGCGAGCCTGTCACGCACCCGCCACCACATCACATTTTAGCCCAAATTGCATATATCCACGACCTAGCGACTACGCACACCTACGTCACTTACATTATAAAACCGTCAAACTTGGTAGATGTTTTCGTCGCTAGATCGTGTCACAGAATTTAGACCTGTTCAACGGATAGTCTTGAAACCGCTGTGCCAATTGTTCCACACGCAGTAACAACGACTGTATCTTGTGTATGCCCATTTCCATTTGAGCTAAACTAATTCTTAATTACACAATATAAAAATTACAAAAACATTTATAAAAATCTTAATTAAAAATAATTTACCTATCTTCATAATACATATGAGCGCGACCTACAGGCGTAACGTAAGAAATAATGTGTATAATGATACAACACAACCTAAGTCTATCATTGTCTTGATCAAACGTGTATTACATGGGGGGTAAAACAAAGGGGAAAACATGTTTAGTTCGGGAGCTTACGACAAGAATAAATCATTCATTCTAAAAACATATCACAGAACAATGTAGGTATTTATTAAAATGTAAAGAATAAGTGATTTATTCCTTATGTCAAACTCCCTGACCACAAGATAAGTTACATGTAAGGAACAAAAGTGCAAACAATAATGAATATATCACAAGAATCAAGTCATGTGTAAAACAAGGAACATTGGTCACCTGGTAACTCCTGATGATAGCCTGCACAGCTAGATGGTCGTCGATTATCTTCTCGTTAATCGGAGATCCTGAGGAAAACCAACACGACAGTATTAATAATATTACTTGGAATGTAATGTTGATAGATCAACTAATGGTATAATTAATGGACAGGTGGCTTTGTGTTAGAATTTCTTAAATTTAAATTAAATTAATGTTTATTTTACTTGAGTACCAACCTGCAGCAATGGATGGCATACCAGCACTAGCTGGTACCAGGGAGGTGAGTGGGACTTCATTCTTGTTGTAGGCGCGAGGTTCGGGGGCGCTGTGTACGCTGTGCCGGGCTGAGCTCCAGCTGTCGCATTGCGGAAAAACGCATCCCATGACTAGAAACAAAAATTAACTATTTCAGTTTCATATAAGTAGAATAAAATTACAAAACATGTACTTGATAAGTACCTACATACAGTTTTCTTATAAAATAACAAACATCTGAATAAAAGATTATTCAGTAGTCACAGTTCACAGAGAGAACCAATGACCTTTTGGGATCTGCGCATTTTAGCATTATCTATTCATACACGACTACATAAACTTAGCCTACCACTCTCCGGCTAATTAGATTGGAGAGACCACAAAGTGGCTAGAATCGATTGAATACAAAGATCTACGATCAGGCTACGTCGCGTGCTAATTTTTAAGAGGTCTATAACCAGTAATGGACTAATACAGAGACGACGATAGCTATAAACGTTGGAAATTAAAATTCCATTTTTACATAATTGGTAAACCCACTGCAAATCCCTGACCTTAAAGAATTGTTACATCACAAATCTGGCTGGAAATACCCAGACCGTGCAAATCAATACGTTTAGCATACATAGTACACTAAACTTAAACTTTGAGAAACTTATTTTTTCCTGTTCACTCTTTCCCACGAAAAATAAAACGATACAAAGTTATTCAAATAATAAGGACTCTTTATCCTCGTACAAGTCTTCAATGAGTATCATATCGTAGCACGATGTGTAAGGAATGAGCCTGATAGAGTCGCACTGAACATTGAACACAATGTCAGTCTTAGTGAGTTCTGTAAATGTAACATATTCCTTAGTATTCCTCATCAATGGCTAATATATTGTATATATTAGTTAACTTAGCTATTAAGCGTAGATTATAAATAAGTCCTCATGAGGGTGACATTGTCATTTTTGATAAAACGCTTCATAATTAAAATAAAGCAAAAAAAAAAATCAATGAATTTTAAACACTTAGGAAGGGATGACCTAACGGTTTACCGGGGCACCGGTTCAAAGCAAGAGTAAGAATGGGAAGGTTTTTAGTCAGTGAAAGTCTGGTACTCTCTCTCTCTTGCTTCACTCAAGATGGAAGAACTTATTTTATGAATTACCCTCTCAAAAGAAGGTAGTTTTAATTTCAATATTCTTACAGGATCATATGACAGTAATGCCATACATTAAGACAATATTTTTATAGTACACGGGAGTATACGGTATATTATAATTAAGTTACATCACAAGTATCTACGCAAGCAAGTCACGCTGAGGTTGACAAATGACGTACATTATAAGATTGCAATAAAAGTTTCATGAGTTCAAGACGTCAAATTATTCATGGAATTATTACGACTGGTGTACGGTAATACCTACCTATATTATTTGAGTACTACTATTATAATGTCTGAATACACTAGGTAACATCCATATAAACAAACTCCTTGGTGATCTAGTATCAACTGACTAAGTTTTGGTGCCAGGGCAAGAAACCATTATAATTATTTTGCATCGCGATATTGTCGGTAAAATGCAGTTTTAAACTGTACCCGGTCACATAGCTCTTACACTCATTATACAAGATTAAAATTGTTATAAGATTTTTTTTATATTAACGTATGGAATTTTTGTCTTCTACCCCTTTCGAAAAACAACAAACATGTTTCAATTTTTTTTATGTACAAAAACGTTGCCCCACACTAGGATTTTCTCCTGTGTCGTGGGTGCGTTTACAAACATACAATATCACATACACATGACACCCAGACCCGGAACAACAATTTGTGATCAAAAAGCTGAATCGAACCTGCGACACGTTGCGCAGCAGCCAGTTGCCTAGCCACCACACCAACCGTGCAGTCTCTCTCTATGACGTCACAGAAGAGGCCACTTTCTGATATTGACACCAAAACAACGGTCAAGAAATGAGGTTTTGTCTTATCACTATTACAATCAATCAAGTTCAATCTGATAATTATAGATATTTCAGGTTTATCAGTTGAGCCTTTCTTAACAATCACATTTCACTTTCATAAACCTCGTTTCTCTAATAGTTATTACAATGAGGTTATTTCACGTGTAATATTATATCGACCATTACTTGGTCAAGGAAAAACGTTATCGATAAATATGCATGTACTTATTCTGAACGCTATTGTAACTATGCTCCATTGTAAAACCCAGTCTCTGTAGAGCACAGAACTGATCGCAAAAAGGTTATCTGTTAATCTACAAGTCCTATAATGCAAAAGTACTGAATGAATTGAGATAAAATTTTGTACATAGATAGATCATGAGCGACCTAGAAGTAGCTCGATGACCTCAGTGAAACTTCAAAAGAAACGCATTTTTTATTTACGTATTGTAATTATATTCTTAGCTTGCCATGTGTAAAACAGGAATGAACAGTATATTTTCCATTTGTAATTGGAATTGCCGCGTCAACGGTGTCAACAAAGTTGATGTAGTAACAAATGACTGAATGCTAATTTTGAAACTACACTGTGGGCGTTATGCCCGTGATGTATAGACGTCAGTTTTGTTAGGGATACATTGGATTAAAGCAGAAATCTCCAATTATGGAACATCAGTGCTCCAACCGACTCCAGTTAGTAATCACATGAGAATTAGTATCGCACGAATTGTCAATTCACTCTCGTGACCATCTCTTTTCCTTATAATACGTAATATACGTCACAAACTATACTATAATTTCCCTTTGATTCTAAAGTTTAAATAAAATCATTTTTTTGACACTTCTGCTATCTATTTTGAGCACTAAGAGCAAACCCATAGAGTCGCTTACTAATTACTCAGTAAAGGGGGTTTCAAATGAACTGATTTAGTTGCTCAAGGTTTCCGGTTATTACCGGTATGAACTGGTAATAAATAATGACGTCTAGGCCTCGTCTAGACAACGAATCAAGTCACCTAGTAGTAATTGATAGATATTGAATAGTACTTAGTGCGCTTATCAACCTGTTGCTAAATCAATGTATTGTTTCTCCATAAACAGGCAATCACGGCTTTTATAACTGATCACCAATTTAAACATGGCAATGAACATAAAAAGGTTATTTATTCGACTATTTTTCTCCTTGAGTGTTGGAGACAATACCTCCTGATGGTTGATTTAGTCATTTAAAATTACTAGTGACATTGAGAGTCATTTGGGACACATTGAAAACGTTGGCTATTACGATAGACTGACGTTTCAGAGTGACGATGTGAGTTCGAAAATAACAACTGTTGCCATAGAATAAAAATACACTAGTTAACAGCATTAATATTGAATGGAAAAACTTATATTAAATAGCGCTAGCAGACGTTCACTCTTTGTTTATCATTATAATAAGTCAATCACAAATTCTTATCTAATTACAACGTATCAGACGCCAGCCAGATTAGTTTGGCAATGACATTATGGTACCTATCTTATTCACAAACAGTTTAAAGCGGAACACACATTGATCGAGAGATATTCATTTGATTGTTAGATATTCCCGACAATAGAGATATGTCTTATACTTGAAAACTTTTATCTTATCTAGGTCGTAAATAAAAATGTCCGCAATGCTGTCATCGTAAAATAAGATACTGGCGGTGTCACGCAAAATAAATATTTATGAGTGTACAAGCGCATTGCTTGCGATTGCGTCTTACACCATGGAAACGGCCATACAGTCTATTTAACCCTGCGCACATTAATCACCACAATATACTGAGAAAAGTGACAAATAAGTACTTAATAAAATGTTAAATAAATAATAGATTATCTTGTCTTTTCATTATTATAAAACCTAGTCTCCTTTGCGACGAACTCAAAAACTACTAAATATTATTTTTATGCGATTCTTAAGCATCAGTAGATAAAGTAATTATTTCGTAAGACATAAATAACTGTGTAATTAGTTCTTAACGGATACACCAATCAATTTATCTGGTGATCAATTTTGATGTCAAGTTGTTATTGTTTAAACACAATAGATGCTAATTAAAATATTTTATTGTCAATTTTATTACATAGTTATTACACTTTCATGAATTACGTAATCGTCGTAGCTTATTGGTGTAATTATTTTGTTACAATGTATTTTTTTTCTTAAGGATCATAATCAGTGATGGACTCACTCACTTTACGTAGAACATAGATAATTACAATCATATACATAAATATATTTATTAGATACTAAGAAAAAACGTAATTGTAATTATTTTTCTGTATTATCTTTCAATCTGTAGTATAAATCAAATCATCTTCATCAGTAGAATGAACTTGACAAACGTTAAATAATAAAGTAGGTATACACTAAACACGTTTAATCTATTATCAGATTATTCATTAATCTTTTCTAATTATAACTGGATATGACCGGTGTTCTGATTCATATTCATTTTATTTTAATTATGAAATATTTTTTTCAGTGGTATAGACGACGCAATACCGCAAAACCGCGGCAAGGTACCACCATTTTATTACTGCTATCTAACGCTAATAATTTTTTTTAGTTACATGTTTATTTATCGGTAGCTAAGGTTCAATGTCTTGTAGTGAAGTAACTACTTATAATAGTTATGTACGTATATTTTCAACTCTAGCCATTATTCAGGAAAGTGCTTACTTACCACCCAACAGCATTGAGGTGGTCCACTGAATAAGTGAATACTAAGAACTCCAGTAGACTAATTAGTTAATAACTAAAATATTGACACTTACCGCATGTACAGAGCTGGAGTCTGCGAGCCATGAGTTGTACATGGTCTCCACGTATGCTGAGCTGGAGCCATTGAGGAAGGGTTCAGCAGCCGCCGAGCTTTTGTGCCTATATCCGACTACTGACCCCGCAGTTGTCTGTACAAACAAAAAAGTATAATAAGTAAATAACCTTTGAACAATCACGATCATCAAAACAATTCCTAAGAAATGCACATTATAAATGTTTAAAACAACTTTGCAAATAGGTACTTAGATCGGTGCAAGTTACATCACATGACGTCAATCGAAGAGAATACCATCGTTTATTTTTCAAACATGAAAATAAATCTCTTCCCTGGCATAGACATTTCGCTTGGCTGTCCTCCAATTGTCTTTGTAAGCCAAAACCTGTTCTATATGCATTGGAGTAGATAACAAATTTATACTTAAATTGTTGACAATAGTATTGTTTCTTACTAATTGATGTATGTAGTGAGTAAAGGTTGAACGAGACTGGGTTAAAAAAACAGCTAGCAGTGAGATAATAATGTAGAACAAAGTTTATCAGGGGAACAAAAGGGGCTCGGCAGTCTCGTCACGTCAGAGTATAGTCTCGACTAGATACGATACAGCCAGTTGGAGGCACGACAACACTGACTTAGTTATAGAGCTTATACAACGACCTATCATAGAATACAGAAAGCGGTCGGCACGGGCGAAACTATTGATCGCACTCTACAAATAGACATCTGCAATAATGTGCAGTATGAAATGTTCTCCAAAACGTTGGTTCTTATATATTAATGAATACTATTAAGATTAAGATTATTAATGGAATACTATTAAGATTTCGGATCCTGGCTGTTTATTCGATAAAAAAAATATGGAATTATTTTAAAACGATCGAGGTAACAAGTGCTAAAATATAGGATTATGAAAGCCGCATGACAGCTAGGTACCTGGTTGTGTTTATGATTTATTAAAATAATAAAGATAATAAATGTGCAGTAAACTTTTTAATTAAGGTCTTATCATATTATTTCCTGTATTTTTCTTTCCACGTATTTCCTGTTTTGTCTGTTATAGATTTGTTCGAACACGACACTTCTACCTTGAAATTTCTCGAAACAGATAACAATACTCGTGCAATATCAAACAAACAGGAGAATTTATCAGCGAGTCGGTGGCGAAAAATACAAAAATACTTATGCAACTTTCATTCTATTTTTTCACTTTCACGCAAAATACTGAAATTTAGTTCGAACTTACATAATGCCAGGGTCTCTTATATTAAACAGCTGATTTAATTATAGGAACAATAGAAGCACCAAACGACCTCGACCAGACCTGGGTGCTTACTCTTGATACCAATCTCAATGTCAATGCAATTGCAATCCAATGAAAACTCAATAATTATTCAATGTCAAAACTATACGATCCATATTGTAGTTGTTAAAATAGCATTCAGGGTACGGAATATAAAAACAAACTGAATACTAGTTTAAGTAAGTTTAAGTAAGGGGGAGGCCTTTGTCCAGCAGTGGACGTCTTCCGGCTGTTGATGATGATGAATACTAGTTAGTTCATTCAATACCCACGCAATACGGATGCAATGGGCGCTAGTGTAAAAACTCAAGAGTACGAAATTTCACAATGTCAATATCGATCGATCGGAATTGGATTCAAGAGTAAGTCCACAGGCATGGTTCGAATGAAAATGAATTAAATGCCTATCTATCAGGCATTCCTAAGAATTCCTAAGAATTTGTGGAAAGGAGAATGGCATTTACTTCATAAAGATGAAATATTGACCTACTTTTTATGGCAATTCCAGTATTCATTATGCTACATTAAGGGAAAATGACTTCTATACACTACCTTAAGTCAGTGACATTGATAACCCCTTCTACTTCAGTTTAATCATTTACGTACCTACCTATAAAAAAAGCATATATACGGTCGAATTGAGAACCTTCTCCTTTTTTGAAGTCGGTTAAAAATAGACGTACAGAAATTACGTTTTTTAGCTCTTATTGTTACTATTTATATTCAAGGTTCGACTTTTTTAACAATGTTACTGGGTTTATTTTAAAATTTTCGTTTTTATAAGGAAATAAGTACATGGCCGTGGAATTATTTCCTTTTCGCAGAATATGCGATATGCGACAGGAAAAATACGTAGGAGCTCTAACCCAGATCTTATGCATTTTTTTCTAAAGCCTGGTAGTACTGGTAGGTACTTCACCTAAAGTTTGATTGCAAGATAAACTACAGCAGCGTTTGAAAATAAAAATATTCCGAACGAATCAACTCGTGGCACAAAAACAAAAATCTGCATGCCTTTAGTATCGAAGGGGTATTCCCAGCATTTTGTGGTGCCCTTGAACTTGGTTACAAAAACAAGTTTATAATTTATGGGGCTTGTAAACTGGTGGGATCGAGTTGGTACCGAGCACCGAGGGCAACACGTGACGATGACGCATACGTTGTCTTTGCAACGCTTCATCATGACGCGTCTAATCTGTCTAATCTGCCACTGTCAGTAACACATGATTTCCTCAAATATATCTTGATTAGTCTACAGCTAGACTATAACTAGCTTCTCAACAGTTTCTACCACGTCACTACACAAGGTCGGCAGTCACAGGTTACTGTTATACGACCATGGCCACAAAGTACCTTGAACTTATTGTTTCGTAACACGTAAACTAATTAATTGTAGTAAATATCAAATGAAACTTCATTATAATCAGTCTTACACTACAGGTTTTATGATTTTCACTTTTTATCTATCTTGTAATTCCCTTATACTTGATGATATTGGAATCATATATTAAACATTAGCAGAAAAATGGTAATATTAATATTATACACAATTAGAAAGACCCAAAACATACATATTTTCTTAAAACTGGATTATTTAACCACAGATAAAATTGGCACAGATCAATAAATGTCCCTTACCTGTGGTTTGTTTAGGAGCCATGATGCGAACCGTTCATTGTTCCCAACTTTACTTGACAGTTGAAATATAACCCTTGCGCGATGCATGTTTGTTTCAGTCTAGTGTCAGATCTGTAAACAAAAATTATATCAATCATATTACCTGCTTTATCACTCTATTATCAAGTAATGACATATAATTCTTCAAAATAAGTTACAAAACATGTTTACAGGTTGACAATGCTATCAAAAATAAAATGACTAAGTGGAATATGGAATACAAATCAATCTAACATGAATTTTACAAATGTTTTTGCAATATTGTAAAAAATTTAAAAATATAAATATGTATGTATGAAACAGATTGAAAATTACTACTGGCTAAAACCAAAATTACTAATTAATTTGAGTTTAATCTTTGCAAATTAATATTTTACACATTTTGTTTCAGTACAATTATAACAAGAACAGATATGTTAATGTTGTACATTAAAAAGAAGTAGAAAGATAAATGATACTTGAGAATTTAGGACACAACACTGTCAATGCCAAAATAACTGGCACACGGAAATATTACAATCATTGTGTTTATGTACTTTATGTTTAACTATTACTTAGTGCTACAATCAGGCATGTAACTAAATATTTCTTATTACATGTTACTTGTAATTTTTCTAATAAAAACATACCTATTGAATATTTATGAGTTTTTAAAAAACACCTTCACATTCAGTCAATGATCGATTAAATTGTGATGCCTATAAGTATCTTACAATAAAGTTTTTATCAACAAATATGTAATAAATTATGATGGATTAGGCCTTTAAAAATAATGGAATAAAGCATTTACCAATCAAATGTTTAACTTTAGGGATTTAAATAAATTTCCACTTTATTTAACCAAAATATTTCTGACTCTAACTGCTTAGGCAGAATTTCTAACAATATGACAACTTTTTACATGAATTTTAAATGAAATTAATCTAATTAATACAATTGTGTACATCTAATACCTTTCAATCTACTTTCTACTTTATAAAAATTTGGCAGGTATTCAAAATTGTTAAATAGATGCACTCACATGTTCTAAAATTATTTATAGACATTAAATAGTTCAAGGTTATAGGAGAAATCACTTGTGTTTACATGAGCCAAACTTTATTGTTTTTAAGACAACATACATAATGGTATAGAAATGATCCAGACCAGGATTTAAAATGAATGGGAAAATATTTTCAATTGGTTTCCAATTGGAATGAAATCATGTGACTTTTATGTGACAAAATATCATTACAAGTACTTACAATGAAAATGTTTTTCATCGAAAGATTAACTAAACATGATGTTTCGATTCTTTGGAGGTATCAATAGGAAATCTTTAATACAGAAATAAGAAAAACGACATTTAAAATGATATTAGTTCTTATGTATAATTCCTAGTATCGTTGAGAGTAATTATATCGTCCGTTCAATGAAAACAGATGTTAATGTTGGAGAATAGAAAGGTCTGCAATTTCGTCATTAGTCATGGGGCCCAAGGTGGTAACTTTCTATACACATGATCTATCTATAATGAAAAGATTATATAATCTTCATTTCAACTCTAATTTAACAATTACTGAAAATTTACAGTAACTACACCTGAATACCCCAGTTTTCCTAACCTCTTTTTACACCCATTGCGTCATATAATGCGGAATTACACTAACGTTACAAATAATTAGTTACATACCTGATAAGTTTAACTCTCACTTGAATATTTCACAAAAAATATAACTGATCAATACTGAAGTCTCGTGATTCAAGGTTATATAACACACTCTTTTCACGTACAAATTTGTAATAGGTATATTGCGGTGAGAAGCTGCTGAATCTAAAGTATATCCGTTCTTATTGCATCGTACTCAATTAACTGTAGTTCCCTAAACCTAATTTATCCCGAATAATAATTTACCTTCGACACTATTCGAATGTGTAGTAAAATGTCTTGTCTGGCAAGCACAGTCAAATTTGATTAAAAGAATTCAAAAATTCATGCTTTTCGCTGATTCGCTGCCGTCGTCACTCGTCTATTCTCGAAAGCTGTGTTGAACTGTCAAAATTGATGTTTAGTGTTCACAGATTGTTAATTTTGGTCATAGACAATGGATAAGGATTTGAATATTATTATCCAAAATCCATGCCTCGAAAGGCCGTAAGCTTATTTTATAGCTAAACTAAATTAAGTTACATACAAAAAGTACCTGTAGAAGTAAAAGCAGGAACGTAAAATCAAGATTTAAAATGGTACATTATTCTTTCACATTCCACAGTTTAATCCTGTCTGGTCTATGACTAAATCTATGGTGCATTTAGTGAGTATTTATGTGGTATTTATTTATATATCAATGGTATTCTACATCTACAGTCTATGGAACAAATAGGAATGGGCAAATAAAACACTATAGCGATCTTAAACAGCCACCGAGTTAAAAATTTATATATCAAACGTGTTTACAGGATCGTTCCAAATAAATTTAAAATTCATATTTTTACTATCTGCTAAGTTCAGGTTCTTAAAATCTCATAAATTTTTTTTTACGGAATAAGCCGCTATACTAGCGGTCCTATCATCTAATAGTAAGCAATCGGCGTCGCCCATGGACACCTGGAACGCCAGAGACGTTACAAGTGCGCTACCGGCTTTTTGGGGATTGGGAGTTTGAGCAGGGGCGTAGCTAGCGCCGTATCTGCCGTATCAATTATATGGGGCCCCCAGACTACAGGGGCCCCCAACGTGTGTGTAAGCAAAAATATAAAAACTTTTAAATTTACTTTTTATTTCAGTAATCACAAAATGCATACGTTTAAAGGTTTGCAAAAACCATGGAATAAAGAAATCTATTCCACGGCTGAAACTTTGGAAAAACTAACATACCTTATCATTGTCCGATAATTTGGGCAGAGGAGGTATTTTATGTAAAAAAATCTCTTCTGAGAATTTTTTATCTTTCATAAAGGCCCCCAAACAAATTTCTATACTATATTTCCCCGCCAAGATACGCTACGCCACTGAGTTTGAGGATTGTTGGGGATTCAGGGATTGGAGAGATTGGGGAAGGAACTACATGACGAAACACAATGCAAGCGTTGCTTCACGTTAGTTCTCTGTGAGGCCGTGGTAACACTCCGGTCGAGTCGGCCCATTCCGAACGGGCTATTCGTGCCGAAGCATGGCTCTCCCACACTTAGATAATCATAATGGTTTGATAGTCTTAATCAAATTTAATGAACATGAGATTACACGTGTTTTAACAATCTTAAATAGTGCCGATAGTAAATACGAAATCCTTGGCGTGGCACGTAGCTAGGCCATATTTGCCGTATAAATATATGCCCCAACGTTCAAATGCAAAAATTAATTAAAACTTTTCAATTTTTATTTATTTCAGTAATCGATGTTTTTGCCACGTAAGGCATGCGTATAAAGGTTGGCAGAAAGTTAAGAAAAACTAAAATAGGTAATCGTAGTCCGATAATTTGGGAGTTGCCTGCAAAGTTCTCTGACTTTATGCATATTTTGTTCTCTTGCGATAAATCTTTACCCTTCATAACTTACATTTTTTCATAAGGAGCCCCCGCCAAGGCTTGCTACGCAGTGGCGTTTTTTTAACATATAATTATTTAATTTTTCTAGGTATTACAACTCAGTGAAGTTAGGATACTAAGATTATTTTCTGTGCCGTGGATGTGTTAATAAACAAACAATATAACTTCACGTACATATGACACCCAGCCGAAACAACAAGTTGTTCCGTGCCGGAATCGAACACGCAACATGTTGCACGGCGGTTAGTTGCCCAACCACCACCACACCTGGCACCAACCGTACAATTAACTCTTAGTAAATAGTTATTTTTTTTAATAATATATAATTAGTTATCTATCAGTTTAGTTACATAGATTTAAATGCAATAAACATTAATCAATAAGTAAATTGGAGTTGTAGAGTTTTAGAAATACAGAAATATCGATAACGTGAATCGGTAATCGTATACAATAAAGTTACCGATATTTCCAGGCCTAGCCTAGCAAGCTTATTCGATTCGAATGTAGCTTTGATTTGACAAGCTTGTCGGCTGCTTGGCTTGTTTGTTTGTTTAAACTCCACAAGAAAGAAATGAGTTATAATTTTAAAAGTTGTTGACAAATCGCGATAATTTATTTACATTGAAATGGGTTGTACTCAAAGTGAAATATCTCCGCAAAATGAAACACCAAGAAAAGGTTGCACCGATGTGTTGTGGCTAATTATTTATATCTTATTTTGGATATTAATGGTAAGTGCCCGGCAAACCTCATTTAAATATTAAATTCTATTAATATTGTACAAATTTAAATTACCTAGTAGAATAAATATCGATGCTTATTAAAGTATACTTTTTCAGATAATCGTCGCTGCGATATCTTTTGTGTACGGTAATCCTTTACGAGTTATTAATGGATTTGATTCTTTTGGGAACACATGTGGAGTGAAAAGCAACTACAAGCTAACAGCAGCACCTGTGTCTGGAATAAGTACTATTGACAAAAAGTATTTATTTTTTATGGACGTAAAAGAGCTTCAAAGATCTCTGAAAATATGTGTGAAAGAATGTCCTAATAAGAAATTGGAGTCTATGGCTGATATACAGAACTTCTATAAGGAGACTGGATCTAACCTTTGCCGTTATGATATCAATTTGAACTCATTGGCTAGCAATAGGGATGTATCTAACAACTACATTGGGCCATGTCCAACACTGCCAGTGTATGAAACCTTCCCACTGCTAAATAGATGTTTCCCTAAGTCAGCAAAGGAACTTACGAAGAAAGTATTCAATGACTTTTATGATCTGCTGAACAGTTGGGATACTATTGAGCAGATGCTCTCAGATCTATATTCATCATGGAAGGAAATGATCATTTGTGTCATTATTGCATTTAGTAAGTATAATTTATAATTTGTACATTTATGCACTTGACCCATATAATCAATAATCACAACTCCGTAAGACTGGGCAAAATTCACTTCATATTCAGAATCACTCAAATTTGGGTTTATAATTAAGAAATCAATAAGAGCCGTAACTGAGCAAGACTTGTGACAAGTGCACAATACTTTTCCTCCTGCTTTGAAGAACACAGGGATTATGTTGTGTGGCAAAAATTACTACAATAACTATAAACTTAATTTAAATGTATAGATTCCATTAAAAAAATATATTTATTCTACTTCCAGCATAATGGTCATGCTCAATTTGGCCCCATCTACTTAGTGTAGTTATTGACTCAGTCATCATTAATCAAAAGAAGGACAAATTACAATCTAATAATAACATATCTATCTCAGTGCAACACCATCTACCATCTTAATTCTTAAATAAATAATTCACTTTGGCCTTCAAAGATGAAACAATAAAGGATCTAGCTTATCTCAATTTACTGTAGGAAGCTGTATCATTGAGCTATAAATACACTAAAGTAGGTAGGAGTTATGAACTGACTCATTTTACCGGTGATGTCACTCAACCAATGCTAAGCTAACAATTGCTTGAATAATTTAGTCTAACACTCTATTTAATTATGTCGGTTAGGTGCCGGTGTGTTGTCAGTAGTCCTTTCATTAATAAAATGTTTTTCCATGTAGGTCATACTACTGTCAGTTGTGAATGAAAAAAAAATTAATTAATTATTCTTTTTTCTTTTTTGTTATAATTCAAATCATGATAATGTTATAAAAATAGGTGAACAATGTAATTTAGGATTGAAGATTTTAATAAAATAGTAGAATAAAATTACGTAATAATTATAACAAAAAATTATAATATTGTAGTCTACCTATAATAGCATTGAGATGTAACAATTCACACATCTAGTTTAATTCAAAGGAGTAAAACATGAATATTAATAGACCATAGAGGAAATTCCTTATGAACTATAATGTATCCATAGCAATTAGGGGAGGCAGGGCCGGATTTAGGGGGGGGCAACCGGGGCGAAAGCCCCGGGGCCTCCACAAGCAGGGGGCCTCCACAATAGAGACTTCGGAAAAAAAATCTTTCAAATTTCAACTAGTAAACCTAGTAAACATCTTTTCTTTGATATTTTTTTTTCGCTTTTACCTTTACCTTCAGCCTAAAGTACTTTATACATACATGATTATTTGATTATATTAATTTTAAATATTAACAGAAACAGAAATCATTGATCTATATTTGTTCACTCCAATCAGGCAATCAGTGAAATATCAAAATCTCAAATGGCTCTGATAAGCACTTCCAATTTACTACCCATCTTGTACCCCAATGGCTCAATGGCTCAGTGGGATGGTACTTGCCCGCAACCTCGGAGGTTGGCTATTCGATTCCGTGTCTCGACCATTAAAAAAATTAATTGCAGTATGTGAACAATTGGTATTCTTAAATTCTTAAACTCGAAATCTGTCGAGCGTCCTCGAAATCTATCGAGCATCCTCGATCGTTTTCGAGCGTCCTCGAAATCTATCGGGCGTCCTTGAAATCTATCGAGCGTCCTCGAAATCAATCGAGCGTCCTCGATTGTTTTCGAACGTCCTCGAAATCTATCGAGAGTTCTCGATTGTTTTCGAGCGTCATCGAAATCAATCGAGCGTCCTCGATTGTTTTCGAGCGTCCTCGAAATCAATCGAGCGTCCTCGATTGTTTTCGAGCGTCCTCGAAATCTATAGGGCGTCCTCGATCGTTTTCGAGCATCCTCGATTGTTTTCGAGCGTCCTCGAAATCTATCGAGCGTCCTCGAAATCTATCGAGCGTCCTCGATTGTTTTCGAGCGTCCTCGAAATCTATAGGGCGTCCTCGATCGTTTTCGAGCGTCCTCGAAATCAAGCGAGCGTCCTCGATCTCAATCTGGAAAATAATTTGGGGCAAGGGGGCCTCCACTCCTTTGTTGCCCCGAGGCCTCTGGACCCCTAAATCCGGCCCTGAGGGGAGGGTCCTTAAAATCAAAATTGGTACAACAGCAACAAGCAGTCAGAAATGGCAAAGATTAATAATGTACCAATTTACATGTAATATTTAAAAATAAATTATAATGATTGCAAACAGTGTGCAGATGGCATTGTCAACAAGAATTACTTATTAACATAAAATTTTTGTTTGAACTTATTGTTTTCTAGCCAAAAGAGTGAAATAATGAAAGAAGAACAGAAAATTTTGCTTAAAAACAACTTAAAACAAGAAATCTGAATATAATGTTTATCAAGAAATAATTCAAACTAGTACATACTTAACCGTGCAGCTAAGATCATTCAATTATTATGTACTAGTTACCTAATTAGCTGTAGTTAGTTGGACTAGACTAATTAGAAACTGATAACAACATTCTTGTAATCTTGTCACTTGAATTTCAATCTTATTGTGTTGCATAAAATGTAGATAGTGTAGAAGAAAGTAGTGATAGACAATGTGACTTATTTTACTTTGCGAATGTATTAAAATTTCTTTTTTATTTCAGTATGTTCTTTAATCATGGTCTCAATACTGCATTTATTGGCTACTTTGGTGTCGTGGATATTCATGATATTGGTTTCGATAGCCAGTGTGGCAGGAACAGCATTATTATGGTACACATACTATGAGCTGAAGAATAAGCACAAGACCTTTGAAACTGCGTATTTGTCTGTAAGTATTCTAAGTATACAATACAGCAGGGCTGTCCAAAAGAAGGCCAATGTATGATTTGTATACAAATTTTGTCTGTGAGTAAAGAATACAATGTTAAACATCATTGTACAACGTGAAAATATTTTTCTGGCCCTCCAGCTTTTGTTAGAAGTTAAATTTAGCCCGCAGGGGTATATAGTTTGAGCAGCCCTGCAATACAGTATACTGGCTTTCCACCATAATTTATTTATTTATTGCTTTTAAATCAGACTGCACCGTTCCGGTTGGAGTGGTGGCTGGGCAACTGGCTGCCGCGCAACGTGTCGAGGGTTCGATTCCCGCACGGAGAAACTTTTTATGTGATTTACAGATCTTTGTTGCTCCGGGTATGAGTGTCATGTATGTCGACTTGTATGTTTTTAAACGCAGGAGGAAATCCGACCGCGAGGCAACGTTTTTTTTTTAATAAACCATGTCTACACTTAGATATGTTACACAAATAAAAATAAAATAGTTTGCCCAACTCTCGGCAAGCGTGGTATTCTGAACCAAATCCAAACATTCACATAAAAGTCGGATAAGTAAATTAATTTCATCTAGCACGCAAAGCCTCTATGACGCGTGTTTAACGAGCGTGCTACTCCTGTTTGATTATAGTTTCTGACTTGACTCTAAAGATTATTTGGTAGAAACAATTCAAAGTGATGTAATTATTAGCCTAATATTAGTATAGAGGCCCACTTAATAAACCTGTTGAATACAGTCTAATATTTTGCATAATTTATTTATTTATCGCTTTAAATCGGACTGCACGGTTGGAGTGGTGCCTGGGCAACTGGCTGCCACGCAACGTGTCGCGGGTTCAATTCCCGCACACAGAGTTGGAACAACTCTGATCTGATCCACAGATTGTTGTTCCGGGTGTTATGTGTATGTGAACTTGTATGTTTATAAACGCACTCACGACATAGAAGAAAGTGAGTCCTAGTGTGTTTTTAAAACGTTGCCCACGTTATAAAAAAGGAAAAATTATTTATTTTAAATATTATTTTCAGGAATCTCTAAAGAACGAGAGCGCGTTTTTGTGGTATTCAATTATAGCCACAATAATAACGGTAAGTTTACAACAGGGATTTGTTTTGTGTAAATATTTATTTTTGTTTGATAAATTGAAATTGTTATAGCCTGCAAATGTACTTTCACATTTATAATATCATTTATTTCCAGGTGATTTTACTCCTGCTTGTGTTTGTGATGCGCTCCCGCGTATCTTTCTTGGCGGCTCTCTTCAGGGAGACGGCTCACTGCCTTGGCTCCATTCCCGCTCTTTTCCTACAACCTATAATAACATTCTTCATCCTTGTGCTATTTTTAGCATTTTGGTCCATTGTTGTGGTAAGTTAAAGTTTAATTTATTTATTAAATTACATTTGGTTTTCCGCCTGCAGATCAATACCAGTTACTCTTAAATCTTCTTTATGAATCACCCTGCCTGCACGCAGAATACCGCATACAAATCAGTTCAGTAATGTTCGAGCTTACTGCTAACAGAACTGATGAAGTGGGCCTTTGTTATTGTATTAAAGTATGTGTATGTGTGTATTATTGATCAATGAATTTAATTATAATATATTTTGTAGGTCTGTCTGGCTACAGCAAATTATCCCGGTATACCACTGCAGACAAACTTCTTAATCAATGGTTCTACTTCAACGGAGTTTGATTCCCTTAATAAACCAGCCATTGATACACACAACGGCAACTCCACTTTGAAAAGTAAGTATTTTCGGGCTTACTCCGTGTTATTTCTCATAAATAATACTAATAGCATTACAAAATAAATTGAACAAAATTACTACTTATAACTAGTAATAAAAAATCTGCGATACATAATCTAAATAAAATTAGCGTCCTCCTCTCTTCTACGTTGCCGTGCCCTACAGGGTCCATACTGTACTATATTATGATGTAACACCTTATAAACATATGGAGTGCAATAAACGTATTGAGTATTTATACATACCTATTATTTTTTTCAAACTAAAGTAACACATTAAAATGTAGGTCGTAGTCTCGTTTTTTTTTTTATTTTGGAGACCGACACGTCGGCGCCTAACGTCCTAAATCACGCACGTCCCTCACAATCTAGGTCTCGACTGGTAATCGCCACCTCAACTAAGTGTATAGTCAAACCGATGCTGGTTATAATGTAACGCATATTTTATGAGAGTAATGAATTTGGGAATTTGAAATATATGAAACCATAACTTACACGGACTACAAATAAATGTTTTTATCACTGTATCAACCAGTGCTAGTTACTTTACAGATATCATTACTCCACAAACATGGGCACTTATTCTTGAAACCAATCCCAATGTCTATGCAATTTCAATCGAATAAAATCGTAACTTATTCAATGTTAAATAAATTATTCAATGTTTAATAGTAAACAATCCCCCTAGACCAGGGATGGCCAACTTGTTTAGACCCAAGATCGATTTTTCCCTGATGACGCCTATTACGATCTACCAATTACATTATTACTTAAAATCTGAAATGAAGCAGCATAATTCATACACAATTATTTAGTACTTTTATTTTATTATGAGGGAAAATATAAAACTACAAATTATTCTTGGTAATATTATTGCAGTTGGTAATATCATTGTGCAATGTGTTCTATGTAGGTACGTATTTAATTTTTTTTAATTGCCAAGATCGCCTGGATTTATAGTCGCGATCGACTGGTTGGCCACCCATGCCCTAGACGGTGTTCTAGTCTGCGGAGAACCTAAATGGTTACGTAAGCGTAGGAGTAGGAACGGGGTGGGTTTATGTCAGTAAGAGTCTTCTCCCGCCTGGGTGAGGCGGGAGGGAACATTCGATGATATTCACCCCTTAAAATAAAGTATACTCTCGAACTTGCATATAAAATATGTTATGTACTATTATAGCTTTCGCCCTGGAGAATATTCAGTTCGACCCGATGTGGGTGAAGAGCATGTGGTGGATATGTTTGATCTGCCTCGTGTGGGGCAGTGAGTTCATCCTCGGCTGCCAACAGATGACCATCGCTGGAGCTGTCTCTCATTGGTATTTCAGGTAAGAGAAAGCCTTAAGTTGTATTTAATGGAGTTTTACTTGGGTATTTTCTTTTTTTAAATAGGTTTAAACACAAATGTTTTTAGAAACAAATAGATACTAAAGATAAAATAACAGTTTTGAATCTATATTAGGTCCATAACAAAGACCGCAACAGTCAATAAATACATTATTTTTATTATTTCAGGGGACCAAACGCAAACTCGCCAGTCTTATATTCAATTGGCAAGCTTATCAAGTACCATCTGGGTTCTGTCGCCAAAGGATCTTTCCTGATTACACTGTTCAAGATACCTCGCCTTATTTTAACTTATTTGCATGCCAAGTACGTATTCTTTATTAATTTATTTAAGTTCCAAATAACTTAGCACATTGTATTTAAAATCCCTACTTTAATTTTATTGATGTGATAAAACTGTCAGTCTATAATAGTTTATATCCTAAAAGACTGAACCGAATTTGATGAAATTAACTAACAATTTAATTATAGGTTATCAGCTAGAGCAGAGAAGGGTTCGGAATGCGCAAAATGTGGTCTCAAGTGTGGTATCTGCTGCTTCTACTGTCTTGAAAAGTTCATTCGCTATCTGAATCACAACGCTTACACTATAATTACCATTGAGAGGTGCCACTTCTGTAAAGCGGCTGGAAAGGTAAGTTTGTTTATATTTTTTGTACTGTTGTAATTATTGGCTTATCTGATAGTAGTTCAGTAATTTGGTAGCTCTACCTGGAATGTTTTCCGGGAGTTTTGAAAATCGGCAATTTTTAGAACCCGTGAGCGGCGCACGTATAAAGGTGCAAAATGGAAATCGTAAAGAGCACTTCAAATTCTACAAAATTTTGGATTTTCAAAATTCCCGGAATTCTTTTCAAGTAAATATTTCCTACTTATTTATCGGGTTATAGTGATAATTTTTTTTTTCAAAGACTCGTTACTAAATGGAAGGAAGGAAACAAAAAATCAACTGATTAGTTCCTGTACATTGTTTTAATTTGTATTAATTGATTAATTGCTTCCTCTTTGCGTTATTCGAAGTCTTAAAATGTTCCCGGTGTTGCTCATTTTGTTGTAGACTTGAATAGCACGTCATTTAAAGCAGTTGGTCTTACTCCTGAGTCGAAACCTTATTTTCGGTCGTAGCCTCGAACACGACACGATAGTCGTGTTGAATTACCGTATTATACGGAGAACCTAACGGGTTACCGGGGCACCGGCTCGACGTGCAGGAGAAGGAACGGGGTGGTTTTTAGTCAGTAAGAGTCTGACACTCCCTCCCGCCTCACCCAGGCGGGAGCAGTCATTCGATGATTATCCCCTCTTAAAAAATACCGTCTACCGTCGTTCATGACAGTCCAAGAACAGAGAGTGCACCTCTGTATGCACAAATAATAATTGTACATACACTATAAATCGCTTATCTTCACCATAACTGGAATCCAGGAGACCATTTTATTTTATCATCAACCGTGGCCTCGGCCAAGTTCAAGGCGTGAGAATGTAGTATTATTAATAAATTAATCGTGCTATTGTTAACCTACTCTACACGAGGAAAAGCATTATTATTATAATATTATGCGGACCGGATTGGGTTAAAATGCAATCACAACTAATTATTATTATTGGGTATGTAGTGAAACAGGTTTGTTGGTGTGATAACAAAAAATAATTAATGAATATACCTACATAAAATATTATCAAGACTATAGAGTTACTATTCAAATCCAAATGCTGATTATTGCAATTATTATTTATTGTTTACACTTTAGCCATTACAAATGAATTTCAGTAAAATGTTTGTTCAGCATAAGTTGCTACAAATTTATTACTTGCTGTTTATCACAGCAAAATTTTTATATGTATTATATTTTTTTAAATACTGAATAAACAGACAGCGCTTAATGTAGCCATAGTTTTGTTAGTATAAATTAGGGGTAAATCGTTGTAAATAGTGCACTCAGTTTGTAAATAAATTCCTGAAACAGACCCTACACGAAAGTACAATTATTTGTTAAGTATTAAGAATTATCCCTAATCAAAACATTACATTAAGAAACGTAGTAACTCAGTGTTTACCTAGAATTGCTTCTAGAATCTAGACCGTTAAATATTTGATAATTAATTATTTCAGGCATTCAGCACAATAGTAAACAACGCACTGCAAGTGGCGACTATTAACAGTGTGGGCGACTTCATCCTGTTCCTTGGCAAGTGCATAGTGACCGCGGTCACCGGCATCATTGGCCTACTGCTCCTCAAGCGAAACTCTGACCTCCACTTCTTTGCTGTACCCACATTAGTCATCTGTATCTACTCGTTCTTCATTGCACACTGTATCCTTTCTCTTTACGAGGTTTGTTTATATAATTATGTTTTTAGTTTATTTTATGTAATTTCTGTTTTATATATAGTGTTTTTGTTCTTAAAAGTTTTCCATTTTACTCTTGGTGTGATCCTATCTCACCATACAATTAATTATTTGAAAAAAATTGTTGGTAGATTAGGTTAGACCATTTTTGAGTATTATTCACACATTTCTTTCTGGAACTAACTATCCATAACAAAAATTATTTATAAAATCCACAGATGGTAGTCGATTCACTGTTCCTGTGCGTTTGTGAAGATCGCAATATGAATGGTGACGACGGCAGATGGAAGAACTCTCGTTTGGCGGAACTCGGCGGACATAAGGGGAACAAATATGACGAACAAGACGGCGCCGAGCTGCAGGACGTGCCAGACAAGTACTAACTCGACGCCTGTTGTCCTTGGGGCTTTGCATGTCCTATCAGTGCCTTATTGTGGATGCTGGCTGCAGACTATGTAATTTATCTTGCTTTATTTGTTGTTACACAAAGTGTCAGAATTAATGCAACACCTGAAGGTGCAGGTTAGGTCTGGTTTCTTTTGGAAATACAAAAAAGGTACTTTCCATAGACTCCGAAACGGTCGGCGGTTGCGGGTCATCTAGGCAAGTTAATTAAAGTGCTGTAACAAATCCTTTTACTGTTTGGACTATTTCATGGCCTAAATCAGTATCTGTGGCATTTATTCTTTATACCTTGTATGTAGAATATATTTTACTGTGGTTAATGTCTAGGTTAGTTGCTATTTGGTTTTGATTACTAAATCGTTTGTTAATGCGGTGTTTAGGAGGAGGCACTATGTCCTATTATGTGAAGATGTCTGTGTAAAACTGCTTTTGTGTGTAGAAAGATATAGATGTATGGTGGCAGGGTAGCTTACCATAAAGCTCTTAAAATTACTGTGTACCTACCTTATTGGTTTTTCTAACTTTCTGTCCTTTCATAATGGCATGTAGCATGGGAAAAATTAAAAGGTGTTGAGTTTTGTTTGTCGTCATTTTTAGATTTTCTTTTCAGCTGTTAGAATTGGTTTAATTCAGGATATTGTCATAAATGCAAAAAACAACGTTTTTAACAGATGGTAATGGCAGTTGATTAGAGATAATAATTGGCGGAAATCTATCAAACTGTTTGACTTCCTTTGACATTATATTTATAATGTAATTTTATTTTCAGGTAAATGGCAGTTGAATTACAAATAAGAAGAATCTTTTACGCTTTTATTCAGACTCAGTAATTGCATTTTTATTATTTATAATTAATAATTAATATTTTATAAGCACATTGACACCGTGATTTGACAGCACATTATTTGTGTGGATCACTTTTTGTGACTTTTAAAAACTTTCATAATAATGTTCGGTGCAATGCTAGTAAATATGATAAGCTATTTTGGCATAATATTTTTCTAATACTAAATATAGATTATAGTTACGTACTAATATATAAAATATGTGTTTTATGAATGTTTACATGAATTTTAGAAAAGTTTATAAAGTGCTATAAATATTATTTTTGTGTATCTAATGTTGCGAACTATATAATTATGTCTTGATATTTTATTATGCATAATAATTATAGGCGGATCAATCATATTATCGACGCAGATTTTAGAAGAGTATGAATGTTGAATAAATCGATATTTTGCTCGTAAATGTAAGAATCTCAAAGTACACAGTACTTACATTTTTGAGTGTAATTTTAGCACAAATGATTTGGATAGCACAAACTAAATAAGAGTTTCACTTCAATGTATGTTTGTTGGACTTTGCATTTTGCATTCCAGTGCTTTTTACTGTATTGCATCTTACTGTATGCTTTTGCATTTTTTTATTTATTAATTTTGACTATTGTCTTGGAATCAATTAATTTATTGCTTTTTTAGACATGTTTTGCAACTAAGGCTAATATAAAGTACAATTTTTGATATTATATTTTTCTAGTACCTAGTAAGTAATAATGTTACGTTTTTAACAATACTTTATAATAACAGATACATTTTAATGAATGCTATAATCATGTTGTGAGTTGTGACAGATAATTATGTTTAATGCATAGTTTTATTACATTCAGATTTTACAATTTTTTTTAATAGGGTGCTCAATTTTTTGTGTACTTTTATCCTAGTATTTTAGCATAATTTGACTAGTTTTTGTGAAATGAATTTAACCGTCCATTATTTAATCAATAATTCTCCAATTCAGCATAATAATTTTACATAATAAGAGATAATAATGTATATCTAGTGAATCTCTTGCAAGGTCTTTGTATTAAGTATGTACATTACATGCTGTTTGCACAACAATATGTATTTAGAAAATAGTTAGTGTTGTCTCGAATTATTTCAGAAGATCTAATCAATCTACGAAAGCCATACCCTTGATTGTATGCCATAATTATATTAAATTTGTTTACCAATCTTGTTCTTCCGTAATAGAATGTAAGGAATTCTGTTCTACCTATCCATAATACATATACAAAATAAAAATCATTGTATGGAAAATAAAGTTTTATTATTATGATTTACCAGGTTTTTTCTTTTTAAACTGCTTCCTCTTTTTGATCTGATCAGATATCGCCTTGCTTTTAGCTTTGAGTTGTTTACGTCTTATTGTCTTATCAGGATTTGTTTTAGATTTTTTCATCAACATACTGAAAGCAGGTTTCGGTGCTTCCTGTTCACTTTCTTCTCCTCCTTCCTCTTCATCTTCTTCCATAGAATTTTCTTGTTCTTCTACCTCTTCTGTAAACAACATTATACAATATGAATAATAGTTTGAAAAAATTAAGAAGATATCCCATTGATTGCCAAAATATAGGTGTGACAAACAATGTATTTTCTATTCTCTCTCATATGTATAGTAGCGGTTAAGAATAACTGCAAAAATACACTTTAATTTTCATCCACTCACCTTTGACAATGACTTCTTTAGCCTTCTCCATAGGATCACCTTTGAAGAAGTCAGCACCCTCTATATCAGGATAACCAGTTTCTGGCTTAGTAGCTTCATAGACAGCCTTCTTTTCAACTCTCCTCTCATATTTGCTGCCAGCCTTTTTAGATGCAGCTTGTCTTAATTTTGCAGGACTTATGTATTTCGGATTTTCCCATAGTGTTGTACCACCAAAAGATCCAGAAAATATTTTAACCTGGAAAGACATCAGTAAATAAGTAAACTACATTTAAAGAAATTGTTGATTATACAATTATTATTGGAACTTACTGGATTTAACACAAATCTTGGTCCGATTTCAGCTAATGCACCATCTTCAGAAAGGATTTGGTAGTTCCTAAACCAAATCCTGTTATCTAAGATCATGAAAGTGTACACATGATCAAAGAATGGCTGACTCTTGGGGTGATGATTAGGAACACCAAATGTCTGTGTTAGTAATTCCTTCAATAATGCATAATGAGGGTCTTTAGTAAACTGTGGGTCAAAGGATAACAGAGGCCGGGATCCCCTCAGACAGTTTCCAGTCATTTTAAGTTCACCCATTGTGTAAACTGAAAAGAAAGCATAGAATTAAATAATATGGTACTGAGTATCAAAAAGTGTGTTGTGGTGGTTCAAGCAAAGAAACATACTGTTTTCGACCAAGAATTTAACACTGGGCCCATTAGGTATGTTAGACATCCACAAATAGAGGTCTCTCATCTTCCTGCCCTCAAAGAGAATGCACTTGTTACAGTTCTTCATTTCACTAATCTCATTAACCACATACAAGTTTTTACTTCTTTCCATCTTGGATTCTGTTTTGTGGTGTGGCATTATTTTTTTGATATCTTCCATCAAATGTCGATGACGATGATTAATCCCACGTGCAGCAAACACTAAAACCCTTTGCCGGTTGATCCATTTCACCTAAAAATGTAAGAGGTTCAGATTATAACACTGTGAGCTGCTTCGATAATGTTTTTTGTATCAAGGAAGCTCTAATATATTAATATTTACTCAAGTATACAGCTCTACGTCAATATATAAACCTAATTTTATCTGTAAAATTCTGATAGAACATGAAATTTCAGTTATAACCTGTTTTGGTGCCGGATCATCAGACATTCGAACCGGAGGCAAAACTACTTCATTTTGTTCATCTTTCTTATTTTGAAGTACTACAGGTACTTTCTTCTTTCCACTTTTTGCCTTTAATTTCACCATGTTAAGAAACTAAAAACACGTGTTGAACTTTTAAAATTAAAAACACTACAGCACTGAGCACTTGTCAATCGAAAATGTCAAACTGAACCACAGACTAACTAAGAACTATAATCTGACACGTAAACGTCATTTGTCCCACAGATAATACAGGGCTTATGAAGAACGAAAATATTTTGTAAAAAACATGGAAGTAAAAAGGAAGGTAGTAAAAAACTTGTAAAAAACAATTTTATTATATAATTTTCAATGGTAAAGTAAACATAGCATGTAATTTTTTATTCAATATAATATTTTGACTTTACTAAAATTATTAGATTGTTCGACTTATTGGACGATGCATGGCTAGGATTAATTACATTTTATGTGTACCAGTGTACCGTTCATATACAAGCGTTCAAGTACAGCGTTTGTTTTCTTATTTTTATGACGTCATGAAATTAAACTGATATGAAGAAATCCATTTGTATGTTAATTATTTTTGTAATGTAATCATTATCGTTCTGGAGATAACCTTTGCGATTAAACTTACAGCAGAAAACATATTGTTAAATCGCTAAACATATTAATTAATAATATGAAGATTCACTATTTAGTATAGTGAATCTTCTATGTCTAATTTATTTGTAATTGTAGAGCAGTAATGCGTACCAGACAGACCTATTACGCCGCAGCACGACTGCAGACTGTTTATCCGATTACGTAACTCTATGTAGGTAATCTAAATGATTTGACTTCGGGACTAGCGAGTCATGTTTAACTATTTTACATTCGTATATTCTGTTGGACTTGTAAAATTCTAATCAATACTATCTTTACTGTCAAAACTTGGTTCTAAAACTACCTACCTATATACTCGTAACAAACAAAACAATGTTTACGTATCTAAATGAGCTCTTCGTTATCTAATATCATACAATCTATGCAGGTTTGAAATCTACAAAGTTTATTTATCAGTATCAATTTTAATTCGGTGTGAGGCACTACTGTCGCTTTGTGCGTGGTGTGAATTAATTTATTTCGAAATGATAAAATCATTGGCATCGTTTGTGAAGTTAGTAAACAAAAATAATGTGTTTTTGGAACAAGTTAGATATGCGTCACAAGCACTGCCACAGTTATCTTCGGTAAGAGTTAATTTATTGTTATTTCAAATAAGCCTATTAGCATTAACATTAAAATTTTTGGAGACGCTGCATTAATAGATAGATAGTTATTTACTACGAATGTTTAATGTTTGTATATTGTATCTATGAATTTCGAGTAGGTACCAAAATAATGTGCTCGAAATGAGCATTTTTGCAGCTACTTAGATATGCTACGGGGAATTTAGGTATAGGTAAGCTACTTAACTATTTACTTACTGTGTAGCGAATACATAAATAACATTGAATTCATGTACGCAGTTAACTTACATAGCTTTACTAATATAGATTCTGATATTTTTTATGTAGGTGCCGTACTAAAAATGTTTATGCAGTTTCTTTACGAATAAAATATTTAGTGGTCATGAGATCAGCACTTCTATATATTTAATCTAGATTTATTAAGTTGACTACCTACCCCGTTGCTCGATTCGCAGTAGCGAGAGTCGAGAGCCAAACAAGGTCTTGAATTCGATTCTTGATTCGGATGAATAGGTCGGTTTCCGGTTTACTTAGCATATTTTCAGTACCTACCAAATAGTTAGCATGGAGTTCCAATTATTCGGGAGTCCGAACTAACACCGGGGAAAGATACTTTATCCGTGTACCTATAGAAGACAAGACAGAATCCAGGAGGATGTTACTATGAACAAATATTGCGGATTTTTCCTAATCGCACATTGAGAAGTTACCTAGTTTTCAGGCCAGTTTAAAATTGTCCCTTATTTTTTAGGAAAAATACAACATTCATAGAAAAGACTTCGGTAGAATCGAGTCATCAGATGTAGATTACTTCCGATCCGTACTTGGCCAAGATCGAGTGCTGACTGAAGAAAGCGATGTTTTACCTTACAATGTAGATTGGATTAAAAATTGCAGAGGTAAGTACGTTATTATAAGATTAGTGACTACCGAACAAGAGCTCTCAGATTCAGTTACCGAGTAAAGGTCCTAGAACTTATGCTGTCTATTTTTCTTAGATTTATTAACACGACAGCGTTTAACGACTACCGTTGATATTGATAAGATGATCAGTATTGTCGTAAACGAAAACTTTTTGCACACGCTCTATAGAGCAAAGCAGCGCTGACAAGCATAAATGTGGTGGAATTTGTGCAAAAATTGCGTCGTCAGGACGTATGTTTATTAAATAACGCCGTGTGCATAAGCTGAAGGTGTTATTTATCTACGATAAACAAAGTACCTATATATCTATATACTTAAATAATGCCCGATAGAAATAAATTATAATGTCATTCTTACTCTTACTCCTTTGATTAAACTAGGTAATAACTCTGCTTTCATTAAGTCCTGCCCCGCCGCAGCCCTAAGAGACCCCGGGGGGAGAGGGATATCAATTTAAGGGGTACTTGATATCGTATGTACTGACTTATTTAAGCTTAATTTTAGGTCAATCAAAAGCTGTCCTAAAACCGAAAAGTACAGAAGAGGTTTCAACGATACTTAAGTATTGCAACGAGAGAAAACTGGCAGTATGCCCGCAGGGTGGCAACACTGGGCTCGTTGGTGGGTCTGTGCCCGTATTCGACGAAATTGTGATAAGTTTTTCATTGATGAACAAAATCATCGACCTCGATGATCTTTCAGGTACCTTCCTACTTATCATAATAAGACTATCTTTTACTGAAGTACACCTTTTACTTAATTATCAATTTCACAGCAGGCTTTTCTTTTAAGCGGTTAGTTTTAAGCGTAACGGGGTTGTTGAACACGAGTTCCTGGGTTCGATAAGCCGGGTCAATAATATTAGAAAGAGACAATACGAATAGTGGCTATACTCTGAAGGGTAATAATGACATTGCCCTAACAAACTACTTCAAATAATTCCCTAACTGCTAGCCACTACAATTTATGCTAAATCCTTTATCATCTAATGTTTCATCAATTTTGCAGGAGCCTTAGTCTGTGAAGCTGGTTGTGTTCTTGAGAATTTAGACAACTATGTTCGCGAACGAGGTCTTATAATGCCTTTGGATTTAGGCGCAAAAGGGACATGCCACATTGGTGGGAATGCCAGCACCAATGCAGGTGGATTGAGGTTACTGCGATATGGTAACCTGCATGGATCCATTTTGGGTGTTGAAGCTGTAAGTAAGAGATCTGCTTAAATATTTTTATGATGTAAATTAGTCGACCTAGTCGAGTTACCAGTCAATCGTCAACCAATTGCTTCAACTCACCGTGTCGTTGTTAGGACTTTAGGAGATAAGACGCCGTAACTTCCCAGCAGGACTACCACTATCCTATTGACTTAAGTGCTTTAAAAAATAAAGTTAGTTACCTACACCTTTTTATGACCGTGAAATGACAATGACCAAATTTGTATGGAGCGTGGTGCCTTTTCATTTTTTCGCGGCAGTTGATCGGATGTGGAAAAATAGATGCAGAATAACATTACAAATAAAAAAATGTATGGGGTCTTATATCAAAAACACAGTCCAAACCGAGTTAAATCAGTTCAAAGATGTGAAAATAGTGCTATATAATTCCTTTGATTTTGTTGATGGTGACCGTACACATCGCATATTTCTTCATTTACTTGTCAGAAATATTTTGTAATAAATGTTTATAGACGATTTTAAGGAATATAATTAAGCTTATTATGGACTTTTATAATTATTTTTTTTTGTTTATTTCTTTTTTTTTTGTTTTAAGGCCACGGATTCAGAACAGAGTGATCCATTAACTGACCATTGCTGAAGAAAAAAAAACATTTCGTTTGATTGACTTGCATGTTCAATTTATATGTTTATGTATTTATAGGTACAATTCATATATTTATAGGTTTATGGCCTATGATATGACAGATTTTCATGATCAATTTCCTCTCAGTTAAAAACCCGCAAAATACTTTACTGAGCCCTATCATGAAATGGCTATGTTTGTCAGCTGCGGCGTCGGTAGCAGATTGAGTAGTAACAGTCATCAAAACACGAAAAAAACATTTTTATGTCTACTTCTCCTGACTTACTTCCGATTAGTAACTAATCTAACTACAGTTAATACTTTAATCTACATCTAGCATAAGATTCTGTACAAAGACATCGTCATTCAGTCACAAAGTGATGCATTTCGAATGATCACATTATATGAAAAAATTATGCGCTCATCTGACGTATAGTCCATCACTTTACAAAGCCGACGGTTTGCTTTTTTCAAAAAATTATGCTAACTATAAAGTAGATGAGTCTCCCACCAGGAGTCAACGGCAAAAAAATACTTTATTAGATGTTTGGACGGCTACTACTACTCAACCCACCAACGGTACCACAGCTGACACTCATGAAGCTTCATGACACAACTCCTAGAAGCATCCCACAAGTTATCGACTGAGAGAAAATAGCTAATAAAAATTATCGACTGGCAATATGGATATATTGTGGTGTGATTTGGTGTTTCTGTGCCCGGCGTACAGTGGCGCGCAATTTGAAGTTAGAAATTGTGACAGAAATATGAATAATTTGAATAAAACAACAAAAGTAAAATGTTTTATTCCAGCTTCTTTCAACGCTCATAACTCAGTCCAGACTGAGATTTCCATATATGAGCCCATAGACAATTTCGTTTGTAATGACATTTTAGATAATATTTTCCATAAATCATCGACTGCCGCCAGAAAAAAGAAAGGCACCAATTTTAGTCAATGCCCTTTAGGTAGTGTTTGGTGTAAGTACGTACCTAGGTACTTCTATTATTACGAAAAATTGGTATATAGGTAGGTAGGTAACATAATCATTACAAAACACTAAATTACCAACTGCATGCATAAGTATAGCGATGACGTAATCCACGTCGGTCGGTGCAAGCTGTTGTGTCGACTTCGGAGATCCGCGGAGCATTACACCTAAATTACATAGTATATACCCATGTAGGTAGACATAGGAGTTTAAAAGTAAACTGGTTTATTTTATTGCTTACGTACGGCAACCTGTTTTAGAGAGAAACAGTACTAAGTTTAACTGCCTAGATATCTACTTTTATTTAAAATAAAATAATTGACCGATGTTTTGTAGAGAGGTGGATGGCGGTGGATATCCACTAACAGCTAAATCTGCGTTAACTTCTAGTAACGCGTTAGTATGGTCTTGAAAAATCTTCGTAACATACTATTGGTACAACTAATTCTTGTACCGTACCTTCTAAATGATAGGTAAATATTTAATAAATAAAGTTACCCAGGTATATGTGTCGTCTTCTGTTATCAAAACCACGGGTTATTTTCCACAAGTTTGATTGGAATGGCTCAGTAAAATTCTCAGTGTGAGGTATTAAACCGGTTTTATAACAAATTCTAAAACCATTACTGTCGTGTCGTGTATCGAGTGATCTAATGTGAAAGGCAGATGTAAAATAAGAAACGTGACACCCTCAAATATTTGAGCGTCAATCGGTTGAAAGAAAAATGCCCTTAAGGATAATTTGAGATGACCAAATTACAATATAGATTTTGCATTAAAATCGGGCGGAAAAATAATTTGTAATTTTTTTATCGTGTGGTGTTTCTGTCAATAAACAAGATGTATGTTTTATGGTAGTAGGTACTTTCTACTATAGGTAGGAACAGACCGTTTTTTGCAATCCAACAGTTTGGAAAAAACTAGGTACCAACGTAGGTACCCTCACACTTGTCCCGATAAATAAATATTTATCCATATTCCAGGTAAAAGCTGACGGCACAGTCATAGATTGTCTCAGATCTCTAAAAAAAGATAACACTGGATATCATTTGAAACATCTCTTCATAGGATCTGAAGGGACCTTAGGGCTGGTTACCAAAGTTGCTATACACTGCCCTGTACTTCCTAAGTCTGTTAATTTGGGTTTCTTTGGTAAGTTATCGTTTTCAATAGTAAATAAGATGCCTTCCTACTTGGGTATTGGTTGACCTTATTAAATGTACCTATGCTTATTTAAAACCTTACAGGTGTGAAAAACTTCGGGAATGTGCTAAAATTATACAAGAGTGCCAAATCTAAGTTGGGTGAAATCTTATCGGCTTTTGAAATGGCCGATTTTGACTCGATAAACTTCACTGCTAAAAATCTTAAGCTACCGTAAGTAACGATGCTTCGATAGCCCATAGGTAGATGTCAAAATAGGACATTATATAACAGTCGTTTTTTTTTTCTTTTACAGAAACCCTATCTCAGATTATCCATTTTACGTATTGGTAGAAACACATGGAAGTGAAGAAACTCATGACGGTGAGAAATTGACGAGGTTCCTAACAAATGAGATGGAGTCGGGGCTTATTTTGGACGGAACAGTCACTTCGGAGCCCGCTAAGATGCAGGTAATATTCCCGCGAAACAAACATAATAATAAGCTTTCATCTATTGCATTAAGGTGTTGTAAGTACCTATAGGACACAATTACTCTTTATACCACGCCCAACACCCTCCCTGCAGTCAGGTAAAAATTTGACTGTCTTATTGATCGAGTGCAACTGACCAGCAAAGGAGAAAGTCTATTGTTCGATTTCCAGGTCACGTAAAGTATTATTATTGGGGGTGTTACACTGTTTATGGGCACCATTGTGTATGCCTTCGGGGAATAAATGGCATGCCGTTTTTTTGAATTAAAAATACTATTGTCACCTAATATATATATATAATAATATCTCCTAATAATATCTTTGCAGACAATCTGGAACCTACGTGAAAGCATAGCAGCAGCGGGGTTAGTCGGTGGTTATGTATTTAAATATGATGTGTCTATACCGTTAAAGAATTTTTACGATCTGGTGCCCATATTGAAAAAGAGACTTGGAGATAAGGCTACAAAAGTTTTCGGATACGGACACGTGGGTTAGTAACTAAATCCGAATAAATAGTCGTATATTTTGTAAAAATACTCCTTACTAATTGCTTACATATTTTAATGACTATGAATTTACAATAATTGTATGTTTATCTGAAACTATAAAATGACTTTTAAGTTTAAGATAAACAATGTGTTTTTGTCAATTAAGTTGGCATAATTAACTATCATTTATTTCTCTACGAACGTTTAAGACAATCATTAGCCACTAACAATATAGGGGTGTTCAACTGGGCAACGCTTAAACTAACTGCATTTCGTATTCCAGGTGACGGAAACATACACATCAATGTAACGGTACCACAATATAACAAAGAAGTGTCATCTATGCTAGAACCCTTCATCTTTGAAGAGGTTAGCAAACTGAACGGCTCCATCAGTGCAGAACACGGCATCGGCTTCAGAAAACCCAAGTACATACATTACAGCAAGGACCAATCCGCGTTAGGACTAATGAAGGACCTCAAACAGCTGATGGACCCTAATGGAATACTTAACCCTTACAAGGTCTTGCCTGATCATATTTAGTTTAGAATATCATTCAAAAGCATATCTTAAGTACATTACAATAATAAAGATAACAGGGTTGCGTAATATGCCATAACACATAAGTGCAAGTCGCGCTGATAACGACTAAAGATACGAATAAAACAAAACAAATATTATTTAAATGACTTTTATTAAAATATCCATTTATTCTTATAACATCCATAATATCACTGCAACAAAAATACAATGGAATATTATAAACATTTTCCTAATTGCTTCAAATAAATAAATGTTGTATTCCATAAATATATTCGAAAAAGGTTCAATATAATCAGCACAAATGGTTTAGTTTAGCAGGTAACTTATTATTGCTTTGTAAATTATTTAACTCTATAGATCACTGTAGTCTATCGATCGGCAATTAGGTATTCGGGTTTAAATCCACACTCAAGGCAACTGACACACCATCTCACTCACTTCAAATAGGCAAATATAATTACAACAACACACGACATTAGTGTAACGAATTTGGCAAAACATATTGTTCTACACCACATCGATAAACCATTAAAAGTTAGGAGGAAATGCAACTGGAAGTATCGATAGAACAACTTCAAATGCTAGTTGTCGTAGTCTAGTTACTTATATAGATCTTCTTTAAAGAGTAAAATGACAAATTATGTAAAATGCAAACAAGTCAAATGTTCCAAATGACTCAGTATTCGTGTTGAATGGAAATAATGATAGATACAAAGTGAAATAATAATCTAAACTAAAGAAATTTGTGCCAAACAATGTATTAAGCAATAGTCTTGATTGTATTTTTGAATGCATCCCACCCAAAGTGGGTTAATCAATTAATAATTTCATTAAATCATAATAAGTAATTCATCAGTAAAATGGACAAAATGTCATTTAAGTAAATAAAAAAATTTCAGCCTTCTAACTTATGCAATATTATTATGTAACATTTTTCTCCAGTTGGCATTGCTTACAATGGAATGGAAGTAATTAGCCTTATTTTTTGCATAAAGAAGGTATATTTATTTTACTTAGGTTTATTTCAACATTTTCTGTATTTTTGAGGAAATGTGAAGAAACCCCAAAATTAATGCAATGTTTTCTTCTATAATATGAAATAGAAAAAAATATGGAGAAATAATGAGATCACTAAACATTAGGTAATAGACGAAATGTAAACAAGAAAATGGCTCTAACATATGGCCGTCAAATTTAGTGGTGGGAACTAGTATATATAAAATATATTAGCAGCTTAACAATACAAGAAAACAACAGCATCTTTTTCATTAAATAAAACACTTAGTTACCTATACTTGTTTACATTTAGTCCATGTGATACAAGTCGAATGTGTTTACGTATAACATTAAATTGTAATAACTGGGCAATTTAAGATGCAATATATATACTCAATAACTCATTATTCTAATAAAAAACGTTGTATTTCGCCTGTACGTAAACACAAGACCCTCCGGAACAACAGACCAAAAGATTAAAATATCACACTAAAAGTAAAAATTATAAGACTGTTTTTTTTTTAATTATTCTAGTTTGGTCATACACAAAAGCGTATCTAAAATAAAAAAAGAAAGCTTTAAGTCGGTACATATCCTGATACTTAAATCACTACGATGGAGCACCTAAAAGTAAGTGTTTGTGGCCCTTAAGTAGGTAAGGTGGAAAACTGTTAGCAGGAGTATTGATAACAGTCGCGTAGTCTGTCGTGCTGGGACACCGCCGCGACCTCTGGCCGCCCGCGGTGTAGTCGTACGCGCCAAGCTCTTACATCAATCTCATTTAAATCGTTGATAGATGGCTACGAAATTGATCGCTCCCATTAAATCTTTTTTATACTTTTATATATTTTATATTTTTTTTATAGTTTTTCACCATTGTCCTAGCATAGTAGACGCAATTTGGTCTGTGCCCCGCGAGGGAAGGGGCGCATCGCGACGTGCGGTTATCGTTTGATTTGATTAGACATCTTGAGGAACTCCAAGAAGCCAGCCTGCATTTCAGCGTCCATGCCGGTGTCCCACGCGTCGTTTTCGAGCTCCTCGCTATAATAAACGAATTTTTGGTATAATATTATATGCTAAACCTATTTAAAATATTACTTCTATTAAAATTCACATTGAAATATTTAAAGGGAAATGTTCTAATAATGGAGTATCTTAAGTGTTGTAGAAACAGGCTACTCACAGTATATCCTCGTCGAGCGCGACGTTCTTGCCGGGCGGCAGGTTGCTCTGCAGGAAGGCTCGTTCCTCCGCTGTCAGGGTGTGCCCGTCCGCCAGATAACCACCGTCGCTCGGACCGCTCTCTACTTCACGATTAATTGCTGTCAGAATACAACTTAAGCTACCAAAGTCGGGGATAATTTAAGCTTAAAAGTATTCTGATTTTATATTACACAATAACATTACATACAATACTTCGACTGATACTCAATTGCGTGTAAAATGTTGAACATATCGTATTCAATTAGATAGAAAATGGAAATATGCGTGTACATCTGAATATGATTAAATAACATGGTGTCGATTCGCTTTCCCTAAGTTTGTTTACGGTACGGCTTCAATCACGTGCATAGTTTGTGTCGCCCGTTACAGTCGACGGGAACGGAGCACGTGGCGAGTGCTATCGAAGTGAAAAGACACGTGACTCAAGCCGTACTCAATGTAAACGTGAACACTACCCACGCAATTAATTTAGGTCCTGAAGGAAACTGCTTTACATATAAACTATTGTACCAAAAGTAATAAACTTGAAATATCAATTTGAAAATTTAAAAGAGACATTGACCTAAGTATTTAAATTGAACTGAATAAAATTTGCATGTTCAACGTCGCGTCGTAACGAAGGTGCCTAAATACAACAGAAAACAGCAAACAAATTCATAGACATGATACCAGGAATAGGAATTCAGAAAACTATTTTCCGCATTTTCAATACATAAACAATCGTTAGAAGGAAAAATATATAACAAATATTGAACAATCAGCATATTACTGTATTTTTCGACAACTTGAATACAATAATTTGTTGATGAACATTTATTTTTCACTCAATTCAACTAGCATTCGTGCCATAACTTGTCTTGAGAACAACACAGCAAAGTCAATGCATGGAACTAAGCATATTCTTGTCCCTATTTTACAATGAACTATCAGACGAGAAACTGGAAACAATAAGTTAGTGCTGCATATCCTCACCGGGGTAGTTGTACCGGCGGCGCAAGTCTGGCTGCGGCACGGGCACGGGCTCGGGCTCCGCCGTGCCCCACCGCGCCGCGCGCAGCTCCACCACGCCGCGCACGCACGCCAGGGACGAGCGCCGCTTCAGCCGCTCGAACGCCGCGTGCATACCCGACTGACAATCCGCATCCAGTGCTATACCCGACAACTGAAACATACAATTACATTACAGAACTTGTTTCCATCATTTATTTACTCATATATAAACTAACTTCTTTGTAGGATGAAACTATAGAATACTCACTATAGTAGTTCTTAACTCTCATAGCCATTACACTCATGCACCTAGCTTATTTTGACAATAACATCTCCGAAGAGATCTACATAACATGGTTTCCTTGGGTGGCCTATTCAAAATCAATAATTTATTTGTTTTTCAAAACTGGATTGGTACTGGCTTTATTTGCAAGCATGTGAGTTTGTTGACCCGGCAAATAGATAACGCACCTAGTGCTCAGCTATCGAGTGTTTATTTGAGCAAACTAAGGACATGAGGTTGGTGTCTAGCCATACATGTTAGGAATGACAGGCCCATTTCATTGGCAATAACTTTATCATCATGAATTCAATCACAGCTAAATATTATTGGTTTCTAAAACGGCTTATTTTATTAGTCATCATCAATTATGATTTGCATTAAAATTTTGCTATACTTAACGTAACTTTAATATAGTTTCTACCTAAAATTCATGCAAAGGTGCATCGAAAACTAGTATCACCGCGAATCGCAGAATATCTTGCGGAAGGTATGACAAAGAACTTTCAAGGCCACCTGTTGATATTTTATTATTCCACATAATTATTATCTACTTGATATTAAAGTTGACTGACCCCACTACGATTGCTATGACGATAACTGTTTGTCTTTGAATGTGTTTTACGTGAATAATGATTAAAAATAAGTTTGTTAATAAAACTAGTCTACTGTTCAAGTATAATGTATCGTTCTTGACTACAAAAATTATAGCTGTTGCGACAAAAATGCAAATGACGAGACAGGTCTGAGCACTGCTGAGTCATTGAATTGAAGATATTTTGATCAGTTTTCAACAGAAATATTGCTATTTCATAAATTGTGATTTGACCAACATAATATACCATAGCTATATACCTAGACAGAAGCTATTTTCAATTTCCTGTTGTGATTTCGAGAATGTTGCTTTTGCTTCTTGATGAACAACTAGTCAGTTTCATTGTTGATTTAATTCGCATGAAACGAGCCGTGAAAAATGTCAATACACCAAATGTACAAGTTGTTCTAATTTCACTTCGTCCTGTCTTTATTGCGTGTTACACAAACATCAGTTTTCGACGGCAATCAACGTTTTATTCGTTTTTACCATTTATAAATAGCTTTCAAATAGTGCATGAATACGGGAATTATTGGCACGTTCTAGAATCAATAATAATATTAATCATTTAGTATTTAGTTGATAGAAAATTGGTTAATTGACGCCAATAATAATAGCAATAGTTGCTTAGTATCATCACACATACCTAGGTTATGACGTGTAAATAATACTTTGATGAAGTCTGGTAATAAATCATTCAATGATTTTAATTGAAATTATCAGCCCATCGAATGCAATAGTGGCGTCGTGACTTAATTTCCCCAAGGAATAGGTACCTATTTTGTGAGTTAACAAGTCTACAAGAGAGTACCTAGTACATCAAGAGCTAAATAAACTTACTTTGAGCAGTTGACAGACAGCTTTGATGTTCACTTCCTTGTCCGTGTCAAGCAAATGCAGCAATACTTTGCACAAACTTTCTCCTAGAGTCTTGATTCTTCCTCCCTGTGAATAGAATACAAATTTATATTGGAAACTGAAATATTTACTCGCAATCTAAACTTACCTAAACAGGTCAACTCCAAACAATTTCAATTGATTTGAATTACCTGTGCATAAAAATATTTTTCCTTGTAATTATGATGAGAGGGAATACCAACCTGGCTATCTTCCAGTTGCGTGTAGATCTCAGCTAGGAACATTGCGAACCCGCGCATGTTCTCCTCTGATGTCTCCAACCCGCTGATGATCTTGTTCTCCTCAGTGGAACACCTCTCCAACAGACATGCGCGGAAGGTGGACTCTTCCGGCGGCGATACGGAATCGTACATCGAACAGAGTCTTGCTCCATTATAACGGAAGTTAGGTTCAGCTATCGACTGCCATAATAAAATTGAGAATATACATATTGATCCACAAAAAAAACAGTCTATTAAAAAGCTGATACATAATATATTTTGCTATCTAAGATATAATATACTACAAACTGTAAATAATATTTATTTTCAGCATCAATTGCATGATACATGATTCATATTTTCATAATTACTGAGTTTAATTACTTTTTCAAGTAGTAGTAATCACACTGAAATCTTGTAAATGTGCTTTCACCAAATTATCACAAGGAGGTAGCTTAATTAGAGCATTAGTTCAATATCTTTCTTCTAAATAAAATTATATGGTATAGATTGAAATGATATGAATAACCACAAAAACTAGCAATTGGTTCCAATGTATCTTTAGATTTGTTTATTAGAGGCAATGAGTATCCTTACTCATTTATATAAGATCCATTCAAGTCAGAATTTACCTCTGGCAAGCAAATGTAAAGATAGGTTACAGAAAGCAGGTGTAAATGGGTATTATCAGATTTTCATGTCAAGTAAACATAATGGAAAAGTTGAAACAGTCTCAGATTCCCTACACATCAATAAAATGTTTATCTAATCTCTTGCTTATGCTAGGTTTATTAGTTTTACCAAATCAATAACATGTGACATGCTTATTAGTTATAAACATTACAGATAAGTTAGCAACAAATATTATTACAAAATGGTGACATTTATCAAATTATACCTGATTTACAATAGCTTCAACTAGAGGTCTAGTGTAGTTCACATCATGTAGGGTTGTTGCAAAGGCATCAACCAAAGGTCCACACAGGGTGTCAAACTTGCCAGGATCAAATGTTATCTCACACATGACTGTTATCAGGTTGGCTATGTTCTCCTGCGGAACGGCAGACTGCTCAATAAAATGGGGTTAATATTTTTGTCATATTTCAAAACAAAACAATTTCACAATTTTAATATTTTTTAATACAAACCCTTAAATCCATATTCTCAGCTTCATCAAGTGAATAAGACATTTCTTCTAAATTGTAGGGATTTTGATCCTGAGCTTGACGAAGCCGACCTTGCACAGAGAACCGTTGAGGTCTATAAGATGCAGGATCCGGTGTGTATGTTGGTACATGCCGGGTGTAGTTAGGCGGGTACCATTCCTTGGCATCAGCCGACAATTTTGATTTGGAAGGTTCAACTGAAAGCAAAGTGTTATGATGAGTTAAACATGTTCGATTATATAAAAAAAATACAGTTGCATACCAAAACTAGTTGACCCAAAAACGAATTATAGCTTCATAATCGATTAGGTATAAGCACGGCCAGCAGACTTTGTCAAACCACGGCGACGTCATTAGAAATGAAAATCCTTACTTTCACCTGAAGTATTATAATTACGAAGAACGCAGTTATAAACTGGCCAAGTATGACGACGTCACACGGCACAAGATCGGTGTGGGAAAGTGTGGTATTTATCAAATTCGTTGTTTTGGTTTTACCTTTTGATTCCTCGGAAGCGGATTCCTCTGCAACGATCTTTGGCCTACGGAGCTCCCGTGGCTGATTATCGGGATGCTGCCATCCGCGGCCTTTGCCTCTAGGCCCTCCGATGTCACCGTTATTCATTTCAATGCAGATTTCACAACAACGATTCGATATATTGCGTTCTCTGACTTCTATCCATAAATCACTAAAATATAAATCTAAATCTAGTTCTTTTTTTATAGGTTCGACAGATTCGACACGTAAACAAAGAAAAATATACTTCGCTACTAATTTCACGGCACAACCTCCATGTTACTTTTGAACGAAGGAGATAGATAGATTTTTTTTAGCAACTTTGGTTGTATTGACGCAAAGGTATTTGATCCATACAGCCAAATATTTTTTAAGAGCAATGTTTTTTTATGATAAAAAATTAAATTATTTACTAAAGAATCATTTGTCACTCAATAATTTAGAGGAAAATTAAATTAGCTCTTAATTTATTTATAATTTACTAAAACACTTCACTGTTTGTTCAACTTAGTAATATTTTAACACCAAAATTGTTTGTTAAATTCATCGGAACTACGGATTCGAGTTTGAAAATTCTTTTTATAGTCTTATAAATTAAGAAAGACGACTAATCATCATCTTACGATGGATAGGATCCAACCAAAGGGCATAACCGCAGTACTTAACTAGTATTTTATACAAAATATCTTCCCATAATGAATACCAGTAAATTAAACGAATTAAAATGTAGCTTTACTAAAACTACTAAATTCAGATCTCGTACATATTATTTATAGATGCAGAAGGTAAATACTGAGAAAAGATATGGTACAACTGATTCTGATGGCAAACAAAAATTGTCATTTTACTAATTACTTAGTCATTTATTGTCAATCTATACATATAATAAAATTGTAGAAAAGTGCTGTCTGTACATTGAAAATAAAAATAAAAAAATAACAGGGGTTATTGTTATGTCGATGTCGAACCCAAAAATGTAATTAACATTTTTTTTTGTCTGTTTGTCTGTTCACGCTAATCTCAGAAACGGCTGATCCGAGTTGGATGCGGTTTTCACGAATATACTGTGGTATGCTTCAGTCATGCTTTAGTGTTTGTTTCATGTCAATCGGTTCATAAATAAAAAAGTTATGTCAAATTAAAGAATCATGTCGTGAGTACATATTAAAAAAAAAAACGCTGGTCATAGTCACTATTCCACACGAACGAAGTCGCGGGCACAGCTAGTGTGTAATAAATAAGTTATGAAAACTTCAAGAGGAGAGATAAAATCTTTTATAATTGCTTCAAAATAATATAAATAATCATAGCCATGTATGATACTACTAAGTACACAATAACCTTACACGATTTACAAAACTATACACACATCATTTGCTATTTTTTTATTTTTCAAATTTATTTTTCATTTTACACTAATATCAACAGGTACAGAAAATATACATTTTCAATTTAACTATATCTAAAAGTAAGATAGAAGATTCCAACTGTGTTTTTCAATACATTATTGTTTAAGCAAATATTACCAAATTCATGTATTTGCACAAGTGCAATAAAATAGTATTGTATTCAGCAATAATTATGTTAAAATTGTTTCGGTGTTTGAATAATGTGAAGGACAATAATTGCTTGATAGTAACCTCTATGCAATTAAAATATAGACTAGTCAGCAAATACTACATAATTTTATATACTAAAAGATTCTCCACAGCCACATGTGCCCTTTATGTTTGGATTATTAAATACAAACTCCGCTGAAAGTTTACTCTCAACAAAATCCATTTCAGTGCCTGAAAAGAAAAATAATAAATCATTAAAATAGTGAAATGGCATAAAAAGTTATGATATCATCATATGCTCTGCAAGTGATGTAGTATCTATTTAAGTAATTTAATGAGTAAACAACAAGGTGTTTGTTTGTACTACATTTGTGGGCAAACTTGGCAACCAACAGAGTTTTTATTATAATTACGGAATTAAATAATATTTTTTATGATGGGCTGATCAATTTGATTAATTTAATTGTTACATAATTACACATTTGAAGTCTATTATTTACAAACCCATCACTCAATTTGGAAATAACGGGACTCTAGGAAAGACCTACAAGAAAACTGATTTTTCTAGTCCAGCAGGTCTTTTGTTTTATTGACTTACCTAACAATGTTAATTGTGCTTTTCGGTCGATAATTATGGTAACTCCATCCTGTTTGACTTCTTCGTCTAATTTATCTTTACCTTTCGCATAGTCCAATGTATATGATAATCCATTACAGCCTCTCTGACGAACACCAACTTTTAAACCTATAAAGCCTTTGCATCATCTTTCGACATAATCTCTTTGATTTTGTTCACTGCGGAAGGAGTTAAGACTAGAGCAGCTCGAGAAGGTAGTAATCTTTTTTTAACTGCCCTCACAGTAGCACTCGCAATAGTTTTAGTGGCCATCTGAAAATTTTCCAAAAGAGAATTAAGGTTTTTTGCAATTTGAAGCACAGATTCTGCACGATAGCTTCATTTTGTGATAAAGTAAAAAAACAGCTTTTTACTACAAACTCATACCGTAATTTGTTTCACGCGCAGTTGTTGTTTTTATTGTTCATTGAAATATAAATACTAATAATTCAGTATTTCATAACTGCGAACTGCGATTTTGGCTGCCAACTTATTTTTTTGTCATTGTCAAAATTATAATTGAAAATTTCAATGTCAAATATGTCAAAAATCTCGACATTACTATTGATAAAAATCGGTATTCGTGGTCAACTAGTCATGGTAGTCACATACATTAAAAATAAAATTGGCAATCGATTTTGGACACTGATATGATAAGTGGAAGATATAGTTCGTTTTGATATTTAGATGAAATGTTCATAATATAATATTACTATTTATTTTGATTTTTAGATACTATTTAATTTTGTTCAGTGGAATGTGGATTCTAAAAATCGGACTAGTCGCTGGATTGTGAATGGCAAGTTCTAAAGATAAAAAATCATGTGACAGCGTGACAGATGACAGGTAGCTAGTGTTGCATGGTCGATCGCAATCGCAATATTCACAAGAGTAAAAATATCATTTAAAAGTACAGCCAAAAAGTCGTAGTACATCTTCAATATTTCTTTGTTTATGGCATGAATGTATGCATGCATTAAATACACCAATTTTCATGTGACTGTTACATAATATAAAACGTCCAAAACAAAAAAGTACCCTATTTTTGTTTCCTGCAACATTCGTTTCAGAAATGTCAAAGTTTTTAAGACAACCCATCGCTACATGACACGTCTTCTACCTACCAATCATACTTGTATAGCGTGTAATGATTTTTCATTCTCAATGTATTAAAAATTAACAATGGGTGGCCAAAAATTCGAATATGATGAAAGTGGATCTACATTCTTTTACTTTGTTCTTTCATTTCTTGCTCTGATTCTTGTACCTGCAACATTTTATTACTGGCCAAGGAAAAGGAAAGAAGGTAAGATATTCATGTTTCGCAGCGAAAAAATATTGTTTTGTGTGAAAATATTAATAAAGTGTAAGAATATTGCGTGTTATTATAACTTCAATGTTTATTCACCCATATTAACCACACATATGTGTAATAACTTAGATACCGTTATGTTAGTAATTCACTGATGACGATGCGGCAGTATCGCCTGTGGTAAAACCTTATGTGAAAAACGACTTGACGGAATACTTAATGAGTTATTACTTTTTTAGATCCAGCAAAACGAGCAGAACTATGTCAATGTCCAAATTGTGTAAACAAACAGATCATAATAGAACAATCACAACCTTACAAGGGTGTAAAAAACTTCTTTATAAAATTAGCGATAATATCGGGATGGGTGCTACTTGGATTCTTGGCATACAAAGTGTCACAATTTGACTATGAAATGTCCAACTTTGATCCTTATGATATACTGGGCCTGCCACCTGGTGCTACCCAAGCTGAGATAAAGAAATCATACCGCAAACAATCACTCATCCTCCATCCTGACAAAGAGACTGGTGATGAAAAGGCCTTCATGAGGCTTACGAAAGCTTATCAGGTAAGCATTCCTACTGGTCAATAACTTCAAAAATTACTAATAAGACATTTTAAGAAAGTTAAATTAAAAGTTAACTTATTTGTAGAATGTTGTAACTTAAAACTAATGATAATTTCAGGCACTTACTGATGATGAAGCTCGCCGGAATTGGGAGAAGTATGGTAACCCTGATGGCCCTGGTGCTATGAGCTTTGGTATTGCCTTGCCGAGTTGGATTGTGGAAAAAGAGAATAGTGTCTGGGTGCTTGGTCTCTATGCCTTAGTGTTCATGGTGGCATTGCCAACTGCTGTAAGTATTTAATCTTTCTTATTGCTTTTCTTGTTTGAATTATCTGAGTGCACACCAGCAGTGCTCTTATCAATCAAAGTCAAGTTGCAGTGCTTGAAATTGCATCAATAAAACAGGTAGCTGATTATCAAAACTGACATAAAATAGTACCAGTTACAATTATTTAAAGAATGATGTAAACATTATTCATTTTAGAACAGATTTTTTTTTTTTAAATTTTAATGACATGCATATTTAGGGATAAGATAAAAAATAGATTGGCATATAACATAATAAAATAATAAGTGTATCATGAGAACATGACTATTGTTTAATTTTTTTATCAAGTATCAATTACTATTATATTGCATGTTTAGGATCATGAGGTAAAAATAATGATTATGATACTTGCTAGACTAAATGTTACATGCAATGCACATGCATGTTACATGGTAGTGGCAATCAATGTATGTTTTGCTTGCTATACAGGACAAAAGCTCATTGTATTCTTCCTTTAAATCATAATAAATAATGTATAGAAAAAAAAAACACTCAACCTGAAATATTTAATTCATGGATTTTGTACCATGTAATCCTTTTGATTTGGAACGAATAAAAATAAACGGTGAAGTGATGCTTAATGCTAAGTCAAGACTGATTGATTGAAATGAAGTGATAACATAATATATGACTGTTTATTTTCAGGTTGGTACTTGGTGGTACCGTTCTATACGCTTTTCTGGGGAGCAAGTCTTGTTAGATACTACACAAATGTACTTCTATTTCTGTCATAAGACACCATCTATGCCATTGAAGAGAGCTCTCATGATCCTTGCAGCTTCCTGCGAGTTTGATAAACGGCATAATTCAGAAATTATAGAGAGGATTACTGATAATGAGGAGGTTCCTATGGTATGTATAAAAATATTAATATGTTTTAGTTGACTTATGTCACTAACTTGTGAATGTTTTTTACTGATTATTGTTTTAGTTTTTATAGGATGAAAACCACTATACGGATTCTGTAATTTTTTTTATGCTGTTGACACAGAATAATAAATGATCTTGATATCAATTTCAGTTGCTACGTGAGTTACCAAACTTGGGAGAAAAGAACAAAGAGCAGCCATTATGTCGACCATACAGTATCAAGGCGCGAGCACTACTCCACGCGCACCTGTCACGCATGCGCCTGCCGCCTGAGACCTTGGAGTGTGACCGTCGGTACATAGTGTCGCGCTGCCCAGACCTCATCGTAGAAATGGTCAACTGCGTCAACCAACTCATTGCTTTAGCTTATGCTAGGAGAAGTAAGTACAAATGTATTTGATGAAGTAGAGCTTTTGTGATCATTGTAAAGTCTGAAGAATTGGCCAAGTGGTTGGAGAATGTTACGCCACTAGTTGCGGGTCTGATTCTCGTATGGAACTATTTTTTGTTGGTGTTATTACACCTATAAATTCGCGCTCGCATCCGGTGAATGCATGGCTAACGCCTCTGAGACACGAAAAAATTCGTACGTGATAATATTGAAAGAATGTTGATTGTGAAGTTTATTTTCATTTAATAGCTTCTGATTTACAATTCAACATCTTTATAACTACTAAGTATTTAATATCGTAACTAATTGCCACATTTTCCTTCCAGTTCCACGCCTGCCGACTATCGAAACAATAGAAAATTGTATGAAGCTATCTCCAATGATAGTCCAAGGCTTGTGGGAGTACAAGTCACCGCTGCTACAACTGCCATACATCACTGAGGATCACCTGAAGTATTTCACAAATAGGAAGAAGCACATTAAGTCACTACTGCAACTCGCCCAGTTACCTGGTGAAGAGAGGAGACAAGTGCTAAGGTTCTTGAATGATAAGCAATATGAAGACCTCATGAAAGTGCTCGGCAACATGCCCTATATACACTTCCAGGTTAACACTGAAGGTAATGCATTATGTTTACTTAATAATATTATTGTTTAACCCCTCGAGCGTCCTTATGAGCACCCTGTGGATCATAAGAAAAAATGCTCCATGCTGCTTTCTCTTTTATCAAATCTATTACTAATGTTTTGTTTTTATTTTGACTGTATTTTTTATTTCTATTGTAATGATCCTTGTTTTCGTGTGCCAATGGCCAAATAAATGCATTTTCTTTCTTTCTTTCTCCAAATGTCACGTGTGCACCCGTTGGATCATAAGAAAGGCGGACGCTCGACGGGTTAAGACAATTTTACTTCATTTCAATCAGGAGGTGAAATTCGTTTTACAAAAACGAAGATATTCTTAAATCGACGCGTATATTTCTTATGTTCTATGTTCACTGATCACACATAATTTTACAGAACAGAGGCCTTCGTACGAGTTTAATTTACGTTTAAAGTATTCGAAACGAGTACGCGTTCGGCACTCTGATTGGCCGGCGCCTCTGGTTTTGATTATTCAACAATGTTTGAACTGAATGTTTTGTTTTCATTATTAATTATAGTTGGAAGACAAACAAGTGCCATCTATTTAAATAATTATTAACCATACCTACTTAATACTGTCTATTGCCCACTGTGTAAAGATATTGTAACCTTCACTAAAATTATTGTTTTAGTAATTGACGATGAGAACTCGACGGTAGTGACAGCGGGTGCCATAGTGACAGTGACCGTGTTGCTGCGTCGAACCAATATGAAGGAACTCTTCGGAGACACTACGATCAAAGAGAAAGAAATTATTAAGTAAGTTGTTTTTGCCCGCGTACCTGTGAGATAGAAAGTAGTCTATGTGTTAATCCACACTATATTCTACATGTAGAATGTAAATGTCCTGTCCCAAATTTCACCTCGATCCCTTCAAATGGTTTGGCGTTAATGAGTCACAAACATAAACACAAACTCGCCTTTATAATATTAAAAATAAGAAGTAAGATAAGTACGTAATGTCTACTGCCCGCGACTTGATTTGCATGATCTGATCATGAATATACGAACAGACACCATGTTCAAATGAAAACAAATTAATTATTGTATTATTTTAGATGTAAATTCAAACTAAGGTTTCTGAGTTTACCTACTTGCATCATTATACATAGTTGGATAGAAACTTCTTATCGCCAACTTACTACCTTGACTAAATAAAATACTAAATAAATTGTTTAGTGAAATCTCGACATTACTTCTTGGTCTGCATTAAAAAATACTTGACATAAAATTTAATTTTATTGTGATTATAACTTATTGTTTAATAGCGATAATTCACTTCGAATATCTGTGTCATGGCACTTTCATCTTGAAATAAAGTTTCATTTCCTTTATTTTATTGTTATTGATAATTACATGCTGCATTTTTTTATTGTTACATATCAGCAGCCTTACACAGTCCACTGCTCTATGTAATCCTCTAGGAAAGAGATATTTTCCATAACTGTTCAATCCTTAAGCAGTCACCGATGAGTTCTCTCCACTAACTCCATTATAGACCTTATTTTGGATATTTAGAGACTACTTTTGTATGAACAAATTTTGGGGATTTTCGGTGCAATATATCAACGTATCTCCTTACTTAGGTTTGGAATCTTAGTTCAAATGGTTCAGTGAGGTTTATCAGACAGTGCTGCTGCTTGGTCTCTGTTCAATGTGTTTTCCCTTAGTCTGCTCATATGACACTCGCAGCAAGAAATTAACTGCACATGACACTTTTATATTATATCACGTGTAAATACAATACTTAATCTTACACCAACACTTGGAACTTTAGCAAACTCACAAAACGTAAGCTGACTAACTCACAGAAAGACTGAATACAATTGGGCAGTTTTCTAAATTTTATTTTAATGCTCGTCTGGTAGCTTGGTTTAAAACATTAGACACGTATTTTTTTATCGTGTGGTGTCACAACATGCTGCATTTTGTTGTACTTTGTGACGTAACGACCTCCTACTCTTAAACTTAACACCATTTTATCTAAGTATTGTAACTTTATACGAAAAAAACAAATACGTGTCAAAAAAAATTTATTATTTAACTGATGGACTAGTTTGATTTTTAACTTTCATACCCTGGCAACTACCCTATTCAGACATTTTTATTCTGAGATAATTATCAGTTAATTTATTACATTGGATATTACTAGTAAAAAGAATTATTACATTGGATATTACTAGTAAAAAGAAGTGCCTCGCTGAATGCTGCTCATGAATATGAGCCTCTGAAATGGCTTAAAACTAGTCGCGTTCCTCGTCAAACTATTAAGTGAGTAAGCCAAAAAATAACAATAATTAATTTAAAAAAAAATGTTTATAGCATAAATACGTACGTGCTGCTAACCCCTTCGGAGCTTATAAAAAGCGTGATGTTATGTATTTATGTATGTAAAAAAACGTTGACCCGATAATATTGAGGATACAAAAGATTTATTTATCCTGTTCGGTTAATTAGTCTATTATTAGCCAGTGTTAGTATTTAAAATAAGGAAAATCTAAATTGTGCTACTTAAGCCTCGTTTAGATGTTAATAGTGCCACCAGTTTACATGAACTAAATACTAAAACAGCACTCTGTAACGTTGTAATAAAGGAAATCATATACGATTATTAGTATTACCCACAAATTTGTAGGTAAAGGCACGTAAGATTCAAGAGAAAATTCTAGCATATGGCAACGTTCTTTATAAATAACACAAAATCAAACCTACTATCAATCAAATATACTAATTTTTCACACCTACCAAGTAATAGAAACGTTTAAAAAAAGAATATTCTGGAAGGTGACAACACATTCTGGTGTTGCGGGTGTCCATGGGCAGCGGTATTTGTCCCTTACATTTGCCTAAGTCCCGTAAAAAACATCCTCTTCTTTCGTATTAGTATAAAAGTACACATTTAAGAAAGAAGTTTGTCGTGAGTACACCTACGCGGCATTGACATTGCAGTACATTGTGCCACTTTTATACCATTAATTTATATCAGTGACACCATTACATTAATTTACATTTTACATGTGTGACGCGCTGCGATCTTAATTTGGCGTCATGAATTTTTACGCTCATTATAAAGTACTTTCCTACTTTAAAATTTTGCAAGTGAGTGATTGCCTTGTTCGGGATTATGATGTGTTTATTTATTTTAGCCTACTTACCTGCTAAGTTTATTCTTGCATATCGTTTAATAGGTTACATTGTTATTGAATCAATTCAATTGTTACTTTTTTCTAAGGTTGATTTGCTGTGTTATTTTGTAGTGATTGTGTCTTATCTACATTTAAAATCACTCATAATAATTTTGGAGTTAAGAGATGATTTTATCTTTCATGATAACACCTGCAAATTGCCAAACTTTATTTACTTACTTTATGTGAGTTATTAAGATCAGCTAAGGAACTGAATATTTGTTGGCAACACTTATGGATGTATGGATGTACATAAGGATATATTTCCAACAAATATTCACGCAATTCATCTTCTTACCTAGGGACGATGAAGAAGGTGGTACTGGGGACAATGGAGAGAAGGGGGAGAATGACAAGAATGACAAGAACGACAAGAAGGAGACGTTCAAGAGGCCTGTATGGATGAAACAAGCTAAGAAGCACCCTCAGTCTAAGAAGTCCAAGAAGCCAGTTGCAGCTAAAGCGCAGGCCAAACCTGCAGCCGCGCCCGCCGCTCCGGCCGCCGCCACCTCCACGCCGCCACCACCAAATAACGAAACCAAGAAAACTAAAGAACCAAAGAAGAAGGATGAAGAAGGTAATTCAATGTGTTATAATTTTTCAATGTATGTAGTGGTCAGCACGTCAGCTTAATGTGCTGGCGTATGTTGATGTATTCATAATAGTCCCTTCAATACATGTTACGTTGTTTGAACTGCAAAGTTTCTTGATATTCAAGTGACATGACTCATTTTTTTCTGCGGAAATAAAAAAGAGAATTTTATTTCGTTCAAAAAAAGTTTTAAAATGTCTAAGAACGCTTCAATGTTATAATAAGCAGATCTTCAAAACTGGCCATTTCAAACATTTCACTTCACGATATTTATGACAAATACCAATACTCAACGAAAGAGCTGCGATTTATTGATAGACGCATTGGTGCTAATTTTATCGGTTGTCTGCGCTTATATTCGGGAATCAGGAATAGCGAATACCAAGCACAGTCATCATAGATATTTTTTGAGAAATCTTTCTACATATAGACGTACGGGCCGTTGCTCTTTGTAACGTGGGCGGTACATAATTTATTCCAACGCCGTTGTTTAACCGCCATCCATAATTATTTAATCGATCTTATAAATCATGGAGGCTAACTAATATAATACAATAACTTCTTTATTTATGAAATATGACACGTACTAATAAAAATGAAAATAAAGACGAAGAAGTTTCCGGATGTCAGAGGTCGCCGAATCGACCGATTTTATTCCTGTGATTATGTATCATATCGTCAGATAGTAAAAATAATAATTTTCAATCCCATAGGGGTTAAAATTTTTAATGAGATCTTGTTTAATCGAAGAGTTCTTGGCTAATACAAATTATTTGTACCTTTAACTCGTCGAGTACCGGTTTTATAGACACAATTAAAGAACAATAGGTCGCGGTCACCGGTGACCGCTTGGTGTTTGACAGTTTAAAAAACAATAAAGACTTGTAATACGTGAGGTAAATTTTTCACTAACAATTCGTAACTTTAATACTATTTTTTTCGTACCCAGGTGAAGATTCGGAAGTGGGCAGCTCTGACGAGTCTGGTTCTCACAGCGATGCGTCGGAAGACGAATCGCGCGACAAGTCGTCAGCGGCCGAGGACGACGATGACCAATGGGAGAAGTTCCAGAAGAGAATACAGAAACGTGAACGATTGGAGGGACGGTCGAAGAGCTCGCATCCTGTACATTGTCCTTACTTCCCACAGGTAAACATAATTTTATATACTGTTTATACAAATAAAATAAAGGAGAAAATCATAGTGTACGACAAACTATTTTGTCACGTGATTTATTTATTTATAATTTGGATAACCAGTAGTTGCTACATTAGGTCTTATATAGATATAAGGACTTACATAGTAATAAATATTAAATGCACAACATTTTAAGGTGTCACAACATGCACAGTATATGTGATGCATTTACCAAAATAAATTTAGACATAGACTAATGTCTATGTGTAAATGGGTGTGATCATCCAGATTATTAGTGTGATCCACAAATAGTTGTTATTTGGGAGAATTTTATTGAACCCGACGTTTCACCGTCGAGGAATAAAAGTTCGCCCACTCAATGCGCCAATCGTGCAGTCTATGCTTCACTTATCTACAAATTGTTTCTTCAAGGCTGAAGTAGGAAGGTTAATGTCATTTATAGTAACGATTAAGTCCTTGAACAGAAATGTAAACAACCGATCATGCTCCTAAAATACAGACATTCAATTTCATTTGTTTACATCGTCGACCCTAACCTACTTATGATAAAAGAAGAATTAATTAAACAAAATAAAAAAAATAAACTACTATAAGTACAACAGAAACATCAATTGTTGCAGAATAGAGTAATTTATTAAATTGTTGCTTAGATGAGGAAATCTTTCAATCAATACACGCTGATATTTATTTCCGCGATGCGTCACTTCAATATAATAAATAAAACGTTTGTATTTTTTTATTAATTGAAAGCTATCACGGAAATGTTTATAGCTTATCCATGCTATTATTGTGATCACAATATTTGAACCTACTTTGTACCAAATGATTGATATGATTCATAGCATCAAGGAAAACTTTTTGGAAATTACACTTTGACATCGCGACGGTAACAGTCATCAGTATAAAGATTGCTTGTTAGATTGTTTATTGTAGCCACCATTAGTCAACCGGAATACATCCACTACTGAACAAAGGCCTCCCTAAAGAGGTTTGTTTGCCATATTCTCATGTTGAAAAACGGCTTGGAGATCGCCACATTTTTAGAGGACACTCCTGCTGCACTCCCTGTTGGCTGGTCACAGTTTTAGGATAAAGGAATTCGAGTACAGACAATAGTCAGAATAATATTTAATTACATTTTGTGATCCTTTCTGCATTTTGCTTTCGACACAATATCTCATGTTATGGCGTTCAGATAAAAGTGTGCATAGTTGCAGATTGTTTTCAGTTCGGATGTTTATGTCTGTATGTTTGTTATGTTTCACTACATGGTCACTGCCACTGCAGTGTAATATTAAATGTTTGATAAGTGTTGTAATTTTACATTTATTTGATTAGAAATGGGAACATGGAACAACATTCTAGAACGGACTTCCTTTCGCTCTAATGAAAAATTAGGTTATTTCTCTTTACGTAACATTTATAACAAAAAACCTAAATCATTAGCATATTCTACAGAAAACTAGATTTATACTGTTATCTCGAATCTTCCGGCTCCACCCACAAGTAAATGTTTATTTATTAACCCATAGTGACGCGTTTACTAGTCTAATCAAATCGTTTAAATGCAAAATAACAGTAAGCGTGCTGCTTACATAACATTGGTGACTAATCGACGCATGCAGTGATTTTGATGCAATCGCGTAAAACATGTTTTTTATTCTACGGCCGAAATGTGAGTAATCAACAAGACGTGACACTACCCCGATGCAGTTGCAAAACGTATGATAACCCGCAAAGTAACGTAGGATTTTAATCTTATCTATTTCTAGGTCTATTAGAAAACTTCTTAAGAATAGTTTCTAGTGGTATTTTTGAGTCATAATTCCGGAAGTTAAAACATTATAAGTTCTTGGGCTTTTCCTTGCATGAGTTGATGATTAAACAGCGTGGTTGATATATTATAAATACTAACTTCTGTCGGCAACTTTCACCACATTAATAGGTAACTAGCCTGTATTATTCCTGAAAATATTCTTATTGGCAAATTCCAATCAATTCCATTCAGTAGCTTTTACGTGGAACAGTGATAAATATCCGAAGACTCCCATTTGTAATATTATATTAGAAGGGCTATCAATAGTATTACAAGAAGTCGTCATACTTCATATGGCCGTGTCATCCACAATACCAATCAATATAATTTATTAACACATCTACTTCGAACATAAATTCGTCTCAATGTTAGACACAGTCGCATTCGTTACTGCGTAAATTATGATTGTCGTCAGACATTTTAAATATTTTCCCGTAGGAGCATCTGTGAATGGTGACGAGTGAGCTCGACCTTGGCCCGACCTTCTTGTGCACATACTTCCGTTATTTTGTTGACCTCAATTACGACATGACATTTGTGCGTCAGGTGTAAGTAGACAGTTGTTATGTAATTGAGTGACGCATTGGCAATGGGTGGGTTCCGCGTACTTATTTTTCTCCCTTTCAAAAAATAATAATTAGGTTTTATCGACACAGAGCGAGTTACAAATTTAATCACACGACCCTATAGGTCGACCAGATTAAGTTACCCAAAATAAATGAAAGTAAACAAATTATGTAGGTGGTAAAATAATATAAATTTAATTTTTGATTGACATTAATCTACTTAGGTACAATAACAATTTAATCAGAGCAAAATTAATAGGTAGAGCTACAAAACTAAGAATACTTTTGTTTTGAACATGTTTGTCCAAAATAATTTTTAATATTTGTTTTAGAGGTGTTGATGTTTTCGCAAAATTTAAAAAAAGTTGTCATCCAATTAGTTTTCTACTTTACCATATTCTTAAAAATGTTATTTATTGTGTGTTAGGAGAAACAAGAGTACTGGTGGTGTTACATCTGCGACCGCAAGTCGCACACGTTGCTGACGGCGCCGGCGCATGTGACGGCGCTGGTCGACACGCACGAGCTACAACTTCGCTTCACCGCGCCCCGCTGGCCGGGGCTCTACACCCTTGCTTGCTGCCTACGATCAGGTAAATTAGAGATCTTAGCTTTATACTTGTTTGCTACCTTTAGCAATATAGGAGGGCCAATATAGATGGCGCTATTGAAGATTTAGGTCATGTTGGCCCAATTACTGTCACTGTCAAAGATTAAAAGGTTATATTAGCGCAACAGATCTTGCCCTACACTAGCGCTTAGTGGCAAACTCCGCGACACCTACGAAAGTTACGGCCACCCTCGATATAAAACTTATCTTTCAGATGTGTAAGTTACAAAATTTTGGAGTCTGTGTATGAATGACCAATAACTGGCCGCTTTGTACTTAATTGGAATAATTAGGCATCATTATCTATATCATTGGTGTTTCGACTGTGTGCTGAGTGGTTAAATTAATAATATTATTATTTGGTTTTTACTGAAATAGTAGTAATCGCTGTGACATGATTATGATTTCTTTTTGCTATTTGTCAAACATTGGGTTTTCCTCTCATATTGTAATTACTAGTATTTATAAAGTTGATTAATAGATAAGTTTCCTCTAACATATGTTCTTATCTGACGTCCTTTTGTCCCAAGGATTACGATTGTATGGAAAAGAACACCTTGCCAGCCATTTCTTAACATAAATTAATGCATGTCACGCTGTTCGGTGCAGATGAAGTGTTTTTGCAGTAACGCCTTTAGAATACAGCTGTATACAATTGAATAGATAATAATCTATAATGCCTAATATATGCAGTGATGTAAAAGTATACGTATAGACAAGTTAGCTAGATCTATTATGTTCCTGAATGCGTCTTATTGTCACCTACACAACATTTCTTGATATGTGGGACTATGTTGAACTGTAAATAATTAGTTGACTATGCAATCCATCATTCTGTCCCGAAAAAGATAACATCTAGAATTTTCCAGCTCTATGTTATAAGGGTTTGCCTATTATAAATTGCCAGTCAGGATTTTAGACTCAATGCTTATTAAAAAAGAAATGGAAAAGTCTTTGCACGGGACTTCGGAAGCCAATTTTAACATAAATCGCCATTATACATTTGCGAAGCTAGCTAACCTTTCTTGTTCGACAACTAAATAGCCTCATGAAAAATACTAATACGTGCTTATATTCAATAGACTCGTACATTGGTATGGACCAGCAACAAGACATGAAGCTGGACGTGAAGGAGGCGGCCGCAGTGCCCGCCGAGCACCCACAGTGGGACCTCAGCGACTCTGATACTGATAACAATGATCAGGTGAGTTTAGTCAAATCGTCACACTTCCCCATCCCTTTTATTAAGGGGGGGGGGGTATCGAATAACTTATCCCGCCTGTGTGAGGCGTTCCCTCCTGCACTTCGAACCGGAGCCCCGGTAACTTTTAAAGTTCTCGTATCGGCATCAGCCCTTTTGGGCGCCTTTCGTGGTCCCCCCATCCCTGTTGTGCATGTTCATGGGCGATTGCTTTCGATTGGTGATACGTCTGCTTGCTATAACAATATAAAAATAAATATCATCATCAGCAACTTAAAGTCCAGCACTTAACCGAGAATTTAGAGTTTAGATAAAATTAACCAAAAGTATACAATGCTCCTATATGTTTTAAAAATTTGCATATTGTAATTTTTTATTTTTTTTTTTCGCAGGGAGGCAATGAAAGTGAATTCACAACAGACGACGAGGTAGAAGAAGAGTAGTCGAAAATGAACTAAGTTATTTTTATAGAGTTTATTAATGAGGTGATTGCGCATAGGTTGTTGTATGGTCGGTGAGCGAGTGAATATAATGTTTTATATCCAAATGTAAGCAAGTATTTTATTTTTCCTGGCATCCTTGAATTTTCCTGAAAATCCCATTTCCAAGATCGAAAGTTGTATCATACAAAGGTATCTATTTCTCTGCAGGATGCAATGAGTATGAGGAGGCAGGTTTTCGGAGGTATTACCTAGGGAAGTCAGAACACAACTGAACACATTTCAAATTCATATCCATATAAAACATATCCAGACCAGTTTACTTAGTGTTGGAGGATTATAGGACGAAGCCTTCAAGAAAATGCTCGGTAAGTATTATGTCTTGTTGCACTCGAAATAAAGTCTAAATCTGTGCGGACCCCATTAGGTCTGAAGTCAAGGGTCCTGCCAGTACGTGGGCCTGTAGTAAGTCGGGTGTCAGTACAGTGGTACAATGTTACATGTAGCGCAGTGTTGCTGCACAAAGGGATGTTAGCGTAGCTGGTTTGCGAGGGTATCGTCCTCGCTCCTCGCAGGCTGCGCGGGCGCGGGCAGGGTGGGGCGCGGGGGCGGGGCGGGCCGGCGGCGGACGGCGCGCGCCGCGACACTCGCGCGCCACCGCTCGCCGCAGCTCCACGACCGAACGACTCTCGCCCGCGCCCGGTGTCGTATTACCGCTCTAAATATAACCCGCGAGCGCGATCGCCAATTTAGAAACGGTCGCGCGCCTTGTTTTGAACCAGTGATTGACAGTGCTAAGTGAAGAAAACTACCCCGACCGTCGAACTATCCGCCGCCGAAGTGAGTATCCCCTGAAGTAGTCTAGACTTTCAGAGGGCGAGACGTCCCTACGTATATTGTGTTACAGCATCGCGGTTTTAAAATAAACAGCTGTTCTCAGAATCTATGGTGCTGGTAACATGCTAAATCGGGAGTACGCTTTCAGCCGAGGATGTGGAAAATTGGAAATGTTCGTCATTTATTAATATTGACAGACACTTATCGGACTAATGTGCGGGTTCGCACCCAACTAATCTCAGGTGTCAAAGGATGTTCGCCTCGTTGTTTGCTATTTATAAAATTAGCGTGAAAGTTCAAGGAGTAGTTTCGGCTACTCTCACATGATGTGAATGAGCCAACATGTATGAAAACACTGACCAAAGGTCAAATGAAATATGTAATAGGCAAAGGTTCAGGATAATGGTGATAATTATTAACTTCATATAGATCTAATAAATTAAACACTGTCCGCAAAATACTTAACCAATAAACAATAATAATTTTATAATTAATTAAATTCCGATGTTCAAAGGGACATTTCATATAGGACTGTTTATGAGTACCTAAGTAAACCGATTTCGCAAGTTTATAATGGAGACCCAAATTGAACTTACAGTGCTACGAGCGTTGGAAGCTGGTCAATTGCATAAGCGCCAATATTGTTGGCCGGGTGTCGCGGCCAGTGAGTCAGGGTGGTGTGCGATTGTCGATAAAAACTTACTAACAGTTGTTGGCAACCACTGCAAAACTAATTGCCAATTACACAGAAGAGTCCAAGCGAAAAACATTAGAGTTATTGCTAGAAACCACATGAGGTACTGGACCTTATAGCATTACCGCATTTTTGCTTCATTGTCAGAGTAATTATCTACATCTCAGAAAACACGATTCGATTTCCTGTACACTTAACAACAATCGTGAAGTGCAATTTAGTTTGGATGTATCATAAAATTAAATCTACCTTCACATCTAAATACAATCATGTGCATCTCATGAATATTTACATGTAACGTGCTATTATGTATTTTTAAAACGGCTTCCCTTAGCATCCAGTGCGGTTGTTATGGCCGACACCAGGTGGTTAAGATTGATATTTCATGATAAACATCCTATTGCAGAAATAGCCTGAAAATATTGGTCTATTTAAAAAGCTCGGTAACGTTGGTAATGCGATAGCCTTGAAAATGTTTGTTTTATCCTATGATAGTAGGTATGTATGTGGGTAGTTTATGTTGAGAATCCAAGAAAGAGCAGTGTAGTGTGATGTATGCGTCTCATCCTAGAGCAGTGGATTTGACTAAATTTATGTATTGGCTAAAACTGAACTTTCCTGTCTAATCATATATTAAACAAAGTACAAATAGTTTTATGAGATTTACTCATTCTGCCAAAACTATGACCTAGCTAGTGGATCTCAGTCGTGCTAACACAAGCATGAAGGGAGTTATTAAGTATACCTAAGTCCTTAGGTACGTAAAGATGGATAAATATTAGACTGTTTACTATTCAACTAATTAGGGCAACAAATCAATTGAAAGTGATATCGTTGAGAATGTCTTAGATATTTTGACTGCCGTCTTTTTACAAGAAGTTTCTAGCCAGTACAGTGATTTCCAAGGCAATGAGTTTGAATATGGCCTGCAGTTACGATTGGTGATATCCCAGCACATTGGGCACGGGCGTGCGCGCGATGAATCGAACCGCGGACTGATAGCGGGCCGGTTAGACGAGTCCCGCAGCCAGAGTGCAACGGCCCAAACTAAGGGAATTTTAAAACGTTCATACTTGCAAGCCCTTTGATTTTATACTGCAAGCCTGCAGCTTCATCATTATTTTCTCTCTCCGAATTTTTCCCTGCAATTTACATGTCCTCAAGTTTTAATTGATTTGAATCACTTTGAAGATGATTTGCTATCGTCGGTCGTAGATTATAAATTAGCGAATACAAACTCATATTGTCAATGTTACGTATGCAGGACCTATGTATACCTACCTACTAATATTTGGATTTAAATTAAAAACAAAAAGATTAAATATAGGCCCTACCTACATTATTATAGTGATATTTTTCCCCTACAATTTGCATGAAATCATCAGTCTGCTGCACTGAACACAATAACGTAAATGTTTATAAATACCTTTTTCAGTTTAATTTTTCCTGTTACAAATAACTTGTTTACGATATACCTATTACCAGTCCTACTTGACCAACTTACGAATCAACCGATTTCCGACTAATTTGCGTACCTAGACATTGACTAATAAATTCAAAGGAAAATGCTAACGTGTTGACTATTGAAGTAAATTAAAATACAGACGAAGACAAAAACATAAACAAAGCTAACAAGATTCAAGAGTTAATGAGTAATATTCAAAACTCATGTATTTAAACCACGACGCGACGTCATCTCCATTATAAATACTTAAGCGAAATAATATTTAAACTGCCTATTAACTTAACATACTTATTTATTTGTAGGTACCTCGATTAGTGAGAATGAAATTTTCAATTTCATGATTAATCCAGTGATTAAATTGGTATATACAATATTTATGAATTTATGGATGTAATTTATGTTAAACTAGCTTTTACCCGCGGCTTCGCTCGCGTGACAAAAGAATAAAAAGTAGCCTATGTGACATATACCACCAATACTTTTGTTTTTCATCGGGAATATCAATTTATTTCGGGTTAAAAAGTACCCTATTATTTAATCCGGACTTCTAATTTTACGTCTGCAAAAATTCAAAGCAATCGGTTGAGTAGTGACGGCGTGAAGGTGGAACAAACAAACAAACTCACTTTCAGATTTATAATATTAGTAAGGATAGTAAGGATAAGGATATTAGTAAGGATACATAACTAGTACTAAGTTATTTATACTATCCAACCATACAATTAGTATGAATTGGCGCCAACTGGCGTTGTTAAGTTAACCTACTCAATACTCGTAAGATTGATGCAGTTATAGAGTAGCAGTAGGTAGATCATAGATCTATGATAAACGCCGTATCTTTCCATAATTTTCTTAATGTTTCCATACTCATCAGTATCACACACCACACCGTCTGTTTACATTTATAAATGCATAATAATTTGTATGTAAATGTCAAGTTCACATATGTCGATAGTGCAACTTGTTTTCTATTTGAACTACAACGTAGATAATTATTTCTTTATCAAAACTGAGAAATATACGCAGAGCAAATATTGCTAGGAAAGGAATTATTGTGTGTTTATCTCTAGGATAGTTTTGTTTATATTGACGTTAGAGGAAGTATTTCCAAGTGGGTGCAATTTGCTTAATTGTTATCGAAGTTTTAAATTAAATTGAGTTTATCTATTCGTTTACACGATGGAGGTCAAACGGTTATATATTAGAAGATATTCGGCACTTTGTTCTCATCCTCTTTTTGTCTGACATTCCATGCATCGAGTTTTTATTTTCATGTTATTCTTAATCCTTGGGTCTTAAACGATGAATCATAAGGGTCGTCTGTCTGGGTACGGTTTAGATTACTCATAGTCGATCGCGCCTTATTTCTTCGACATCATTGTGTGTTCTGTTGCACTTTTACGTATGCGATATTTACATATTGCATATTTTCATTTTTATTTGTTGGCCAAAGTATTCTTTTATACTTTGTACAAATATTTGTGATGAACTCATCGTTCAGGTTCAGGTGAAGAAAGGTTTTTGTTTTTGTAGTTGCTCTGGTGGTGTTTGAAATTTCTGTGTCATTTAGATAACGGCCGCGACGTAGTTTGGTGTGCTTTATGCCTACATATGGAAATTAAGCCGTCTAATGTTCAATCTCAAACAGATTATTCTCAAAATTTCTATGTAGTATTGTAAAATGTTTCTGGCGTATTTACTAAGTATATGGTGTGCTTAATATAATCAAAGATAATATCATGATCACTAATTAATGCCTATCACTCATCCGGCAACCTTATTTTCTTTTGTTCTTCGACTAAACTGTTGAAAAAGCGCAACTAGCTGTTCTTCCTTTGAAGTGGGTCATCATAAACAAAACATAACTTGTTCGTATCGATACACAATTAGCCTCAATTAACCTTTGAACTTAAAGAAATATTTTTCAATATCCGTTGTTTATATCGCTACTTTTATATTGGCAATTTAATTGCACTTTAAATTTTAATGGGTTCCCCTGTTAAAAATAATGTTGCCACAATATTTTTGAATGACTGATGTTCTACATCAAGCTGCATGTAACAATGGTTAGCACTATATTTCAAACTAGTCATAGCATACAATATCTAGCATATTTTATCCGGGTTATTATTATATTGTTAGTCCATTGTTTGTTGCTAAAAATAAACGGAAACCTGTCTGTCACTGGTACCTACATATCAATTCTCAGATCAGTGGGAGACGTAGGTATAACAATCTATATTAAAAGTCGTCGTTCAGTTAGATACAGACTGAATTGTGTCATTCGTAAAGATGTCAATAAGGCACCGGGATCAGTGGTGCACATCCGTTTTGTATAATTCATACATACTTTGACGATATATGAATTGGTCCAGAACAATAACGCTGCTATTTATTTCATTCGTTACTCATATGCGTCGAACGGGGTGACGTCAACATCAGACCATACTTGTATGTAACTTCTGAGAATGACCACAAAATGCCCATAACGAGATATGTGCAAAATACATTGCAATGAATCTGTGTCGCCACCTATGCTATGTCAAGATCATGAATGCAAATATATGAAAATGGCGGCGATCTTCAGTTGTGCAAATAATTCGTAGTTTCCGAATAAAGATTTTAAGGTGAATACATACATACTTAATATGTTTGGGTGTAAGAACTTACCAGTTTATTTTCCTAATGAGGTATCAAATTCAAAATTATTATAGCACATAGTATTTACCTCCCTTGTCCCTAATTGTTGTCCTTGATGCTCATTATGGAATGATGAAGAGACAAAAGGTGTTTCAAAGAAGACACACGGGGACGGGGACACAGTAGACGTGTAATGACCGTAGGTAAATTCATTTCATGGTTACGGTCTCATCTAATTTCGTAAATTCTTGGATAGAGATAGTTTAATATTGTTGGTGGTTTGCCAAAACTTCGCTTTATCTTGACACTTTATATTCATACGTACGACCCGGAGCTATTCTAAAAATTTTCGTTCGCGTTACGCTAAGCAGGTATTTTCAATGACAAAGTAATTTCGTAGCAATGTTGTGTGTAAAGTATTTTAAGCACAATAACATTGAACTTGGTGTTCGACTCTTCGCATCAATGAATGTTATTTTTATTTTATTACGTATTTCAAATTGCGCGTCACTTAAGTGGAAGGCGCCACGTCAGGAGTCGCGGTTTATGTCATCGTACTTCTAACAGATGATTTGCTTACGTATTTAATGTTGGCTTAAAAGTCGTTGTAATTATATCGATCCTTTTCGAGCTTTTCGTACTAAATCTAAATTAAAAGGAAGAAATATTCAATACGTAAATAAGACTAAGTTTTTGTAAGACGTCTATCAATGGGACAGACCATTTTTAAAATCCCGCAACTCTTATTACGTATAAAGTAGGAACATGTAAAATCCTTTGGCAACTGTTGAAGGATAATTACTTAAGTTCTACGGTCAGAATAATTTACTTTGTAGGAATGTTTTTTACTTAAAAATATCCACATATTTCCATCCAGACGCGTGTAATTATATATATCAGGCAGAAATAGATCGGTTATTTTTGCTCATCCTGGCAATAAATTGGATAAACAGTGAATGAAGGCAATAAAGCCTTCATGATAAACAATAAAACGTGTTCACTTTCTACTAAACCTTAGTGAATCGTGGATCAATGGGATTCTCACATAACTTGTCCACGCCCACTATTCGGCAGTTATGCCAGTGCCAAGAACACATTTAGATTTTTTGGAATACTCTGTGCCAAAACAGTAAATCTGTAACATGTGCTTACGCAGAAATATGTATAAGTAGGCGTAGCTTTTTTAATTACCTTCGCTGAATACTTAATAGATTTTATGTAGGTAACCATATTGAGATTAAGATTTGCTAGACCAATCTATATAAGCCGGTTAGTACCACTGTAATTTTATGTACCGAAGTATTTGCTACTAGTTAGCCAGAGCACTGAGTTACCGACTGGAGGACCACCCAGCTTATCTTGTTGTAGTTAAATAAGCGGGCGAATTATTATGATTAGTTGTTTGTGCCTAGCCACGTTATCAGTGAGGCGTCCGAACGACGCGATGGCTGATCGCCAACTCTTTCGCAACCGCTCTATATTTACGCACCAAGGTTTTTACATTGCAGTTTGGGGGTTATTGACATTAATACACAGTTATACAACACGTTACCACATATTTAGCTGTAAGACTTTAAATCCTGGAGTGCTACGGCGACGTTGACAGCCGACCGGCACCGGCAGTGTAAGTGCCAAGTTTACGCCAGAGCGCGGCGCAACCGACACCATGCTTACAGAAATAACGCGAGGCTAAACTATATATAAATGCTAAAAGAAAAATACCGAAAATTTCACTACATAACAAACTAAACGTGTACTATATAATATATCAATATTTATTGTCTAAGTAAAACGATGTTTGTGACTAAGAAGGAGCGTGCGTCTATAATTTTTATCGAATCCGTGTTATAGACATCCCATAAAATGCCTTTCTTTGCCATAACTGAGAATCGTACGCAAAATATACAGTTTTATACTGGTTATAAAGGTAATATTTGGCTAAACCAAATACGTTTTTGCATAATAAAAGCAACCCGCATGACTGATAAATGAAAGGTTGTAGACTTTGTAAAGGCAGTACAAACTGCATAGAAATATAAATTAGATCGAAGTGTCTGGAAATATGTACGCTATTAAATAAGAATACATGTAACTTACATGAGTTCATGGCACTTTCAATTTTAATTCTTTGTCTAGTCTAAATATGGATGAAAATACAATTATAATCTGGCACAACAATGTGAACGTGAGGGCTGTAAGCCAAAATAACAAGTAAAAATAGTGTACCGTAAATGAATAAAATATGCTACATCATTCATCGGTTACACCGGTGAGTGGAGCAGTGCAGCATGAACGGTTTGACGGCGCCATGTCGCGTCAGTTGGTTCGAATAGTTCAGCAGACGCCAAAGTTGCGACACTCGGCACCTCGGCTCGGCCTGAGCCTGACCGGACTCTGCTCTGGCATGCAATATGCGTTTGTCTCATACGCAACTCGATGCATAAGCTGCGCCGGTACTCCTACGCGTTTTATTGATCACGCTCTCGACATTATCGTTTCGCACTTATTAACAGTATCGATCGATTTTTTAGCCTTTGAAGCATCGTCGACACAGCGACCTCACAAGGCCACAGTTGAGTAAATAACGTTGGAAACACGTATGTGTTTTGTAATTATGCTACAATACAAAATGGCATCACTTTCCAAGATAGGTGCCTACGTCGTATCCAAGGAACATGTTGCTTCGCTTTCTAGTGTCTCTTCATTGATCTGCAATCTACGAAAATTCCACGTAACGGTAGATTTATACTCTATATTGTGGAATGAAGCTCCCACGCATCCCACATTAGTTCCCGCTATCCTATTGCAAGTGTGAGAACAGTAGGTATCTAATTGTCATTTTATCACTGTTAACGACGCTAGATTGCCAATTTTTAAACTCGTAACATAAGGTGGATTTGATTCAATTGGTGCCTTTTTAAACCTCTCTGTCTAAAGTCATATGACCCTTAGTTTGAGTCAATTATACTACTGCTTCTTCTTGTCCGTGGCGCCTCTTGTCTTTGAATGACAACCGTAACTGACCGATTTAGTCACGGGGTGGTCCCCTTGCCATTTTCAGATAGTTAATGGTTTTCTTGACAGAAAATCTCATCAACCCTATTACCCAAGAGTAGGGTCCAAACATGGAAGAATAGGCTTTTTTCTATAGGCTTCGAACTCAAGATCGTCATCCGCGAACATGGCTTAGAACGTTTAAATTAACAATGGCATTAATGTCTGGCAATGTAGCTATACTTTGTATAATATCAACAATCGTATAAAATTTATTGACCCAAGAAGTTAGTAAAAAAGAAACTGGTTCTGATTACTTGTCGAACATAATGATTTACAGTTTAACCAATGCCTGCTTTCTACATTTTCACTTAGTTTAGGCTGAGATAATGTATGTATATATTTTTGATAAATTACGTTGTTCTTTAATAGCTATTTCGGGGGTCATTTTTTTACGACGGTGGACGGTATAGATGAACAGGAATAGTTGAAATATTTTCTTTAACCCTTTAAAACGTGTTAAGTGTTAATCATACACAATCGGATTAGGGTCACCGGAGATGAAATTGTGTTATATCATAAAGTCTCAATTTCACCTAAATACCGAGGTAATCGCTTTTGTGACCGACAGCGGACGCGGGCTTTCGTGGTTACTCACCGCTGACGTCATTGATTAACGCGTGACTAACAATCCAAAGAAAAAATCAAACGTGAAATATATTGAACAATAATGTTTACATTGATAATTCTTGGAAATACAGCACAGTTTTATCAGAATCCGTATAAGGTAGCATTGTTCCTTGAAATGCTTAGGAGATAAAACCTAGATGTAATTTACTTAGATATAAAAATACATGGTGTATTTACAATCTTATCTGTTAATCGATCGATTAATGGATTCATCAACGAAAACTTAATATTATGTTTCTTCTAATCCATTTGTTCTATCCTGACTCATCCATCCATTTACCAACGGTCACTATTTTGTTTATTTAAATTAAAGATCACGGAATTACCTGTAGGTCACAAATTTTTATTCCGTTACAAATATCATGAATGAGCTACCCAATATAAACTATGACGTAATGTATCACCCGTACTAAAAGTATCGGTTTTACCTACTAAAATCAGTAAGTAAACAACGAATTTCAGATACGAATGGAAGTTATACCAACAATAAATGTTAGTTAGTTACCTGAACTAGTAAGATTTACCTAAGTACTTACCACAATTAACAATGGCATCACACATCGGTTAGAAATGAAATATTTATGTATAGTAGACATGGAAAGAGCCTTTCCTTTAGGTACCTATTACCATTCATATTTTGTATGGCTCATGGAATGTAAAATCGAATGTAAAAACACATTAAGTCTGAGTCGTAAAGAAGCTATAATAATTATCATGCACAGCATTCCTGAGATAAGGCAGTCCCCTGTAAACTACGTTCAATCACGAACAAAGACTTGAAGATGACATTGTAAACGCAACGACAATTATGTGAAGCTGCGAGGGTTATTGCAGGAAAATCAATACAAAACAAACTTATTTGAAATTATAATGAGAGAAGCGACTGTTTTATATTATTGAATTGACATATCTAATTGAACATTATCTTTCTATTAGAATCGTGGATGGAATATTTAATTTCATAGCTTATTTCATTAGTCATCAACTGAGTACTTACTCAGGTCTATACCAATATGATGTTAGTAGGTACCTAGTTATACTGCAATTATGTCTGAATATTTGAATGATGTTTTTCGCGTCTAGAAGTGTCTCTTCACGTGTAGGTTATTCTTGGCTATTGACACTTATTGACAAGCTATTGGTCAAATGGTCACTCACCTTTTGGCAGATGTTACAATAATTGGAATAACAAGACTTAATTTCACACTAGCGCCAACTAGGTATAAGGACCTAAATAATAACTCAGAATTTTCACAGAGCCTTAATTTAAGTTAACCATAAGTCGATAGAACAATGCAGTACCTAGGTACTTCTAGATATTAATTTTATTGATTTTTATCTTATGACCTACCTAGTTCTAAGAAAACTGTCTGAATAATATTGAAACATCAGTTCGGTACACAAGTACCAAATATTAAAGCCGTGTTAAAATCTTGCAAAATAAGAAGAATGCCAAACATTTTCGTTCAATTGCGAAATCAGCGGCTGAATGTCACTTCATTAACAATCAGTTTGTTTGGTTCGTTACCACTTTTTATTGTGTATTGCAATGAATTGATGAAGACGTAAAGTGTCCGCTGAAGAGTGTCGCGACCTTTTGATTGGCGCCAATGCAACGACAAGGTTGAGGAATGCCACAACAAGCGCACAGAGTATAAAAAAACGATTACATTACACTTTATTTCAGGCCCAATTGCTTTGTTTTTTAAATCGCGCCAGATAACTGTTTAATTACATTATTAGTGTTATTTTCAACCTGTAAACATGGCCGTAATCGGGCCAAGATTTTTGACTGAATATTTAAGATGGTTAATTTTGGACAAAATTCCTATACAGATTTTTAAATATGGTAATTGCTATTGTGCCAAACTAAATATTGCACATAGATAGGGCATTTGATTTATGGAATATTTGCGACAGTATTAGTCATAAAGCGTCTTCGCCGTCACTTATCTTTTAATTAAATTGCGAGTCGAGGGCAAAAGGTTTAAAGGTGATTAGACAGGTCAGCATTTCTTCTTACTTATCTACAAGTACCGATAGATATAGTATAACCTTTTATCGTCTGATATTCAGACTAGTAGGTATAGGTATCCAATAAATTAATCCTGTTAGTTATAAAACACTATGTGGTAGGTTCATTACGGTAAATACAAATAGACATCTACGCGTATTAATAGTTACTTGGTAATATTTTTATTTGAGTCATAAATAAATCGTACCTACCTGCGGGATTATTTTTATAATGCAATAAAAAATCTTCTATAACACGTTACGGTACCTTTAGTCAGTGTACAGACGTGTATAGTTCATCGTTTGATATTCACACAACATGAGCAGGAATGTAGCATTAGACAACAGCGATGCTATCAGTACTTTTTTTAATCAAATTTAAAATATCACGGAGAGAAATCTAAGGCCTCCGAAAACCGATAAATGATTTGATTATTGTTTATTCCTTGTATAAATAAACGAGTTTCGCTCTCAGCCTCCTTTCACTGATGTCTTTTGGTTTGCACTTAGATCTTGATCGAAGATAAAATAGATCGCAAGATGTCTGCATACTTACAGCGCGGTCCGGTCAGTGAAGCTGGGCCCGACAGAAAATAAATCTTCAATTGGGTCAATCAAATGCCAGGCTAATGGTACTTACCGCGCATTACTTAATCATTATTTGTACGCACTTTCCAATTTCGCTCTTTTGGGATCGATTATTCTATCTGGCAGCATATGAAGATGTACTAATTATCTACTGTCAGAGCAGAGAAAAAGTTAACAAATAATTTGAGGATCAAACTGTTTATTTTGTATGCTGATGTTATACATAAGATAGAAGATGCAGATAAGAGGAAGATTTATTCGCATTCACATACAAATTAGTTTTATGTTCTGAATAAATGTCTTAATTTCTAATAGACAAGAACATCGGCTAGTTTTATATGACTGAATGAATAATAATGTTTCGTTTTTATTGTTTACAGATGGCACAGTTGATAACTGTGCGGTTGAACAAATCCGATTCGCAGCCCTTGGGCTTCCGTCTGCAGGGCGGCAAGGACTTTGGCACACCTCTCGTCGTTCAGAAGGTTAGTACACATTACTACAACTTATTAAGTAGGAAAATTCACTAGATGATACGTAGCCATAACTTGACTATACTTGCTGTTAGACATGACCACGGTGTCCACCTAGTGAAGTCCCCGCTTTAGATTCTTTATGCAGATAATAGTCTAACGCTCCAGTCATTGTCCAAAATGGTGTCAAGAAACGAATTTGAATGAATTTGTTAACGAACATTTAGAAACCAAATTAAGTTGCCGAGTTGCGTATCGTTGAAAATATTGCCTATAAACTTGTAATTAAGCTATGGTGTTTAAAGCGCCTTGTAATTGGATGTCGGCAAATCTGTCTGAACAAATTGCGAAATTCGTAAGCTATGTTAGTCATAAAACATTCTAGCAATAACTTATTTGAAAGATCAAAGACTTCGATTAACAAAAAAGCTTATAAATTTTAATGAACTCTTACCTACTTTAAATGAAAGTCGACAAGATTACATGCTTAATCTCGTTTTAATATAACAATAAGAGATTATAGCCTCAGCGTCCACAAACAAGTATAGATATTTACTCTGGTCCACCCACGCGTTTGTCGAACGCAGGCAGCTTTGAAGAGGCGATAACCAGGCGACATCGACACCAGACTGCTACAAAAATAAATAGACAGTAAATATAACAAGTATACTCACGTAAAAAGCTTTTTCAAATAAACATATACAATTATCTTGCGTAACGTCCATACTACAGAGTTCATAGTTTTGTCCTACATAAGCTTCCTGTTAATATAGTTGTGCATTTGAATTCATCCTATTTTTAGACGATTGCGGAATATTAAATCAAATAAACATTATAGTTAACGTTTTATGTTTACTTTTATATGGCTATTTCAACTACATAAAGTGAATCTGCTAGTTTTGCCACACTGTCTTTAGTACATAAGTAGATAAATAGATGAGGGTTACAAAATAATACGTAGGTACTAGGCATCGTAGATAAGTTAGCAACTGTCTCTTAAGTTTATATATGTAGACACATGCACATATATGTACGTCTATGTAAATATCTACCTAGGCACTTATGTATGTCTACATCATCTACATGTCGGTACAAGGTACGTTGTTAATGCACGATTAGTTATCCGAAGGAGCTTTTACCAGCTCATTAACTGTTACCTGACCCCGTTGTAGCTCGTGTTTGACACTCGTCACTAAGTAACAAAAAAAAATTAAGAAAATACTAAATCACAGTATGTTCTTTCCTTATGTAAACATGTCGAAATTTATTTGACGAGTGTTCAAAGCTATAAAGATCTTTAAGTTAAGTTAAACAGACTCAAAAATAACGAAACAAGTTTTTGCTCCTTTCTATTAGACACTAATTACAGTCATCTAGACTCCATACCCGCTAATTTGAAATTGAACTGCAATTTTGAGAATATAAATAATAGTCGTTGAACAATAGATCTGCAAGTAAATGGAATGATTCAGTCAATAGATTGAAGAATGAGATAAAATTAACCTAACCTACATGCCAATATGAAATGTTAATGAACCCGTATGAATGACGTCGTAAATCACATGAAGTCATGTCCTTGTTATGTGCAAAATGTGAAAGAATTTGTTTTATTTCTTTTTTAAAGATTTTCGAATTGCATATTTATTAGGTGACTAGCTTCCGTCAGCGACTTCGCTCGCGTTCCCGTGGGATAAAAAGTATTGCAGACCAGACAGAAAATTCAAAGTTTCATCCCAATCCCTTCAGATTTTTAGACGTGATTCAGTAACAAACATACACACAATCTTTTGCATTTATAATGTCAGTAAGATTATAGTTCTTTGCAAATAAATATTAACCGTTTTGCCTACAAAGAATAACACATATAACTGCGACTGAGGACAAATAAGTATAAGGATGTAACAAAAACGGAAAGCATTCATAAAATGTAAGTAGCGTCAGAATTACTTATCTATCAAATATACTTATTTCAACTTTCAAAGTGTGCCCACTCGAGGTATATGGAACTCATAGTAAATAGCGAATCGTTGTTGATTTTTTTTATCTCTGCCATGAACCGTTTGGCTATATCGGGTATGACGTTTAGCAATGTCAATAGTGGAACAGCAAACGATGATATTGGCCGATGGCAACGGTACTTTCAATGTACATGCGTTACTCTCATGATGTTCCGTGATTGTGTTTAGCTAAATAAATGTCAAGCAAATCATGTATGTCGGATTATTCAAATTGATTAGGTCAATTTATTTGATTATAAAAAACTGATGAACTGTTCTGAGTCTTGTTTTCCACGATTGGTACTTTAACTTCGAGTGTTTATTTAGACACTGGAAATAGTTTTATCAATTGTCAATGAAACTAATTTGAAAACTAAGGGATGCTTCTTTAAACAGTTATATTTAGTTTAGTTAAATTGCTGTAGTTACCATTGCTGTCTGTACTAAACTTACGTAAACTTTACATTTAAAATATTTCACGATCCATAATTTTACACACTTTTTATGACCAAACGAAATGTTAGTGCTCCGAAACAATTTTCAGGCCAGCGTAACATTATTGTTTACTTATGAGGATATTCATTTTATGTCGTGTTAAAAATAATATTGACCTCCATCCTTTAAAGCCGGTCATAAAGGTATAACCGTGTAACGTTTATTGTTTGTTTTCCTGCATTTTGTTTACATTTGAATACAAAGAAAGAAAATTATTTAGTACCCCCGTTATGACCTTCGATTAACGTGCTAAAGGTTTAAACTGAAATTGGATATGCATGATTAGTTAAAGTTTTTCAAGAACGGAGTTCTCAGTATTCACATAAAATTAACAAGTTAAACGCCATGGGGGTCACCGGTGACCGGCGGCGTTAGCGGAGGATTTACCTTCAACAGTTTTTTATTGGCAGTCAAAGTCTTAAGGGGTTTCTTGCTACATACGGTAGCTAATTGTAACACGCAGATTTTAAGACAAGTTTGAAGTAGGACAACTGGGCAAGTCAAGCAAAGCATCTGGTCTATGAAAATAATTTTGGTATATCACTACCGAAACCAGCCAAATACAGTTTCAACAAAAGCTCGTAAAACCTATTGTCTAAATAAACAGCCAAATTAGGAACATTTGCGTTCACAAATCTGGAACATGATAGCTTTGTTTGATGTTTAAATTGTTAGTTTAAAAAGCATGCTTGCATTAGAGCAAAGCCTGTATTAAGACAGCAATCCCGACTTTTTGCTGATGTGTTTGTGTCCACGGCCACGTACCAGTTTCACTCTTATTAACCGGAATAGCGTACAGCTTGCCGGCCATTGGTTGTTGCGTAACTATTCGGGTTCTGTCGTTTATATGGAACACAATCTGAGTCACGTACTGGCAGGGATTTGTTTTGAAATTGGAACGGCAACCAGCGACAACAACGCCTTCTGTGGATTATCGCTATTTGTCTATTCTAATTACACACATACCACACTGGTAGGTACATTGAAACGAGTGGGGAAATATGTATTTAATTTTTTTTGAAAATAGGTCTCTGGAAAAATTCGCTTAGAAATACCGATCAATATCTCATTTACAATGCAGGAGATGTTGTAGAACTAAAAGTTTTCAGTTTTCGCTGGTCTAATGACTGACTTACATAAATCGCGGATACAAATAAATGGAAGTATCTCAAAGTAAACTCTTCAATGCCTGTTACTAGCTTACTACAGTCATATTTAAGAAGATTTTATGTGAAATACATTTACAAGTACTGACAGGCGTCGGTCTACTGACGCGTTCTCTTAGAAATTGGGAGTGTCAAGTGCAATGATGAGATCGGAGGCGGGTGGGAAGGTGACGGGCAGAAAAACATGTCAGTTGCTAAAACTTGGGCGACTGCCATCATAATATTTTCAGTAACGAAATCTCTGAAGTAAATCCCGTGACAATAGTAACATGTAAATGTGCTAGAGTGGGTATTGTACGTCTATTGTTTTACTTAAATCAGTTACTTTTAAGTCTTACCATCTAATGAAATCCATTTTAACTCCTTTACAAATTACGGCTGACTACCAAATAAGGTTTTAGACTAGACCTCTAACACAGAAGTTTACTATCAATGAGGTCGGCTAAAAGTTGGCCAACAAAAAATGAAAGGATGATAATCGTGCAAGTCGTGGTGTTCACCGGCTGCGTATTTCGAGAGAATAATGGAAGACAATAAAGAAAACATAATACGACGCGGCCTCGGCTGGGGTCGGAGCGGCGGAGCTGCATTTAATTTCTTGTTCTTGTACTTCTGTTGCCGTATATGGGAGGCGCGCGTGCGGCGCCGGTCCGAGGACACACATACATTGCACGTGTGTTTATATGGTAAAAATGGACCAAAATTAATATCAGTCATTATAATCATACGGTCCTATTCCACTTAAGCGGCTGTGTTCTTACTCGAGGAGAAATGGCCCGTAAGGAGTAGCACTTAATTATTTTTTTCATGACTTCATTGAACTCTCGGAAATTATTTGTTGTTTCGTTGATACTGATTAGGTAGATAACTCATTTGCAAAATTATATCAATAACGTCAAAATAACGTCCTTTCCTTACTTTGATACATTAATTTAAGCAGATAAAGATAACGACATGATTGTAATAATATACCGAATATCCATCAGATATTAATTCATTTTCCTCATTCGACTTCGCATTTCTAGGACTCAATAATTTTCCACGTATTAATTCAGGTGACATAAATTGACATAATGATTACATACATTCGTTACGAGAGGAAACAAAAAATATATAGGCCGGACAATGGCAATGTAGTATGCAGTTCCACCTGGCTAGCGACCCTCTTGGAATGTCAGTTTTTGCGCGCGCAAATTATTGCAAGGCATGTGTCTCGCCATCATAGCCATTTACAAAGCCGATCTATAAAAATTAATTCCTTGGCAGGTAGGGTCAAGTAACCAATTACCGGTAGTGACCGAACCGGAAGGAAACAGGCTTGGCGAGGGGTGGGGGGAGGTAATCAGTAAAATGGCCTGTCAACATAAATACTCTGATGTGTCATTTTCAACCAGTTGCGGCTGTGGTTTGCACTTGAGTGATTGTGGATCGTACCTATCAAATTTAGTTTGTGATAGTGCATATCGTGTATTAAATTGTTTTGTTATCGAGGCGACAGACGAAACGGTTGGTTCTTCGTTAGATAACCTACAAGTAAAGTAGAAATTGTACAGAAAACCCTTTTAAAATATTTTAGTGTTTTGAAGGAACTACGTTGTCCCATAAAAATGACGATTCTCAGTAGTTAAACATCTACTTAAAAACTGATAACAAGAATGGTTTCGATGAGTCATAAATCCATGGTTGAGTAAATAACAACGTGAGTATATAATAGCTATGTATGTTGGCAATTACAATGGTTTTTACGCGTCAAATTATTTTGACTAATAGTTCGACAGCTAGTGGTATCTATTGCCTAATTTTGGGATTGCCATCATTAGGTGTCTACCGTCTGGGTGTATCTACAGTAAATAACATGTCTGGTTGACAAAGTGGGCCATTACATTAGTTTGTTACGAGACGAGAATAATTTATCGTATTTTAAAGTGCTTTCCGTTCATCGATCAGTCACCTTAAAATTTATTAGATTTTTGCGACTTTTTCACCTTTTAGTCGTCGTAGAACTATTACCTATTCCTATCAATTCCTTTTTCTCTGAATTTGAGCGACGCAGTGATTCGATTTGAAAAGATACATATGTTGTGGCCACTTCATACGGAGGATTAGCTGTAATCTAAAGATAAACCACAAGGAAAATCTATAGTTACCCTGTCAGTGCCTGAAAAACACTAAAACTAAAATATGAAAGAGCGTATGTAAGGAAACAGTGATTATAATAATAAATGACTTTTGTGGAATACATACAAACATACATACATAACCGCACGCCTGTCTCCCATGGGAGTACGCAGTCTATGGAACGCCAAGTGCTACGACTTCTACATATATCTTCCCTTCCTCAATAGCAATATTCATCAGTCTTTTCATGCATGCCCGTTGGTTAAGGGTACTTTTAATTTGGCCCAAAGTCAAAGTCAAAATAATTTATTTCAATTAGACCAGGAAGACACTTTTGAACGTTGCCCTTCTTCAATATATCGCCATTCTGTCGACACATATCCGTTTAGGGCCCTAAGTGTACATGGAATATAGTACCTAATTGTAGCATAGATATAACTCGTTTTATCTTATATTTATTTATGGAATAAATAAACACATTTAATAAACAAATTACTGATTAATTCTATTTAACAGCAAAGATAAGAAAGCAAGTACATAAGTACGAAATAACTAGGTAAGCACCTACAATATAATATTTACACAGGTTCATATCTATTGGCTATCTCTTATGTATACAATTTCTCTGGAATGTATAAACACACCCGAACTGGAATTTAGCCTAGTTGTATGCAGTTATTTATACACTTGACATTGGTCAAACTGTGCCACGTATTCGACACACAAAACTAAAACTAATATATAAAGCAGCTGTGTAATAAATCTTAACTTTGAAGGCGAGACGTCATAGTACATCCATACAAATACTAACTACATAAGCTGTTGGAAAAGATTGAAATTCTATCATTTCATATGAGTTGTCATAGTTAGGAGATATAGAACTTTTTTAATATTTCTGTGGAACCGACACATGGACGACTGTGGGCTATTCTTTGTTACTCATTTTTGTTTGGGGTCACGCATTTTACGCATAAGAATTTTGACCTTTCTTTCATACAACAGCAGTTCTTATGTAAATAGAACAAAACCGAGAAGCTAATATTAGATTAATTTTACCTAAAGAATAGTAACCTTCTCCATAATAATTATTATAGTCGCACCGGTATTTTAAAACAAACGCGCGAACTTGGCACTAGTACTCATACAGCTGTTAAACGAATGTACATTGTAAATAACAAAATTCCTCCATAACATTAAATATTTTTTTCTTACATAAGTATTTTAAATTCAAAGAAATGAGTACAAAAAGTTGCCATTTATTTTATGAGACGATCCAGACAAGCTCTCGGCGCTCGCGCTGATCTCATGCTGAGGGTGACGTCATTAGAGCATCCTTCCGCACCCCGCATTGAAAATAACACTTTTTATTCACGATTATTATACGAATGCATGAGTACCTATGTACATAAATTGATCTCAGCACAAACTCTGAAGATGTTATGTTGAGTAATAATCGTTGGTATGATCATCTAGTGCTACGTTAAATGTTTATTACATCGATATCATCGATTTGATTGGTTGGATATTAAAAGAACATTAAGCTATGATTAGAATATTTATAAGTCACTGCGGAACATCTTAACCGCACCAATATGTATTAAAGGCCTATTAAAACCTAATTCCTAAAACTCAATTAAAGAACTATCTGCCAAGTGAGTAATTAAAAATATATTTTTTGTTTGTTTATCAGGTGAACGGTGGCAGTGCAGCCGAGCGTGCTGGTCTTCAGGCGGGTGATGCGCTGATCCGGGTAAACAACACGGACGTGTATCTGCTGCGTCACCAGGAGGCACAAGATACCATCCGCGCAGCCGGAGGCAACCTTGAACTCACCGTGCAACGGTATTTATTTGAGCAAATTAGACCTTTAACACTAATCGAGTACAAATGAGTTCCAAAAGTAGTCCAGATGTAAGTAAAATATATTAGATCATCGAACACTGTTCTATAAACCAACCAATCTTGGATTATTATTTTAGACCTCAATAACTTTGTTCTTTTGTCCTTAGTGGCGGTGGCACTTGGCGTCCTACTGTGACACCAACCGGCAGCCTACCGAGACCCGGCTCCAGGCCTATTGGTGGCACTCCAACACTCGTCACCAACACTTCCCTGAAAGCCACACCACAACCTTCACGTGCATTCGGCTCTGGTCACAACAACGTTGCTAAGCCTTTTGGTTACGTAAGTATTACCATAAAATGTCAGTCCTTAATGTGACAACATGAATGAACATACAAAATTCTTAATACATAGTTCACATTTTTTCACGTTTTACTAAAGAGACGAATTAGGATAACCCGAAAATTCCTCACCTATAAATTTGAATAGTGTGAGAGGTTTATCCACATCTCACTCCATTTCTTCAAGGGTCCATAAATTGCCAGATTACCTTATGTCAATATTAAATTACCTAACACCTCTTTTAACACTTTTGTCAGTGACATTAACGATTTTGATTGTAGATGAACGGTAACGACTCTGTGAAGAGCATAGTCAACAAGCAGTACAACACACCAGTAAACATGTACAGCGACAAAACGATTGCGGAAACTCTCTCAGCCCAAACTGAAGTTCTTGCGGGCGGCGTACTCGGGTAAGTAAGACTTTAAACAAATCTATTTCACTTTCCAAGAAAACTACGAACTAGTTGTTATTTATGTCAATCTAATTTACAAACTAGTAAATTGACACTTCAGATCGATACTAAACGAGACTTGTATAATACGTTTAAAAGCACTCTATAAAGCATATTTGAATGGAACGGTCCTCTGATGTCCTATGTTAATGATAACATTGCTAACTTCTGTTTTAGTTAATCCTTTAGTCGGCTGTTAATCGATTGAGTATCGATATTATCCGTATCCATACTTATAATAATTATATCGAAGTAATGAGTCGTATAAAGATATTTTAAATTGACGAGGTTTATTTATGATTGACAGAGTAAACTTTAAGAAGAACGAGAAGACATACGACGCTGAAAAAAGCGCTGTTTTCAAGGTTCTGCAAGAAGAACAAAACGACCCTGAGCCAGGTATAGAGCCTAGTCATTATAATTACATTACATAAAGCTTAACGTGTCTACGTAATCGACATCATGATCGATCAGGTAATACGGGAAATACATTGAAGACGATAATTTTTAAATTAATAACGAATTTAGGGTATGGAGCTGATAAAATTAGTCAATGAAATTAAGAGCACTTCTTAGTTGTCTAAATTAATAAATTTATTAATTGGCATAAATAGCCGAGCCAGTGGCTCCGACAGCCGCCCAGGCTGCTCCAGTGAGCGGTCTCCGTCACGTGCAAGCGCCCGTCACGCGGCCTGATGCCCCCATCAACAATACTGGAGGCTTGCCCCCTGGACAGAACATTTGCGAGGAGTGCGAAAGGCTCATCACGTAAGTCGGACGATGGGCGCGGGCCGACACGGTAGCACATATCGCAAGCCAAATTTGATTTCCGTTAAGGATTTTAGACTATTTAGGGCGTCGATAAAAGGTTTCGGTAGGATATATACTTACCTAGGTATGATCGCACACAGTTCTCAGACGAACTGCGAATATTTCTCGGATTCTTATTGTTGGGCAACGTAGGTAAGTTGTATGGTCGTGTTGAGAATGGAAAATAACCCGATATTGCGGGCCAGCAGAGCCTTCTCACTTTTACTCTCGAGCGAGCGTGGCGCGCGCGGGCACGCCGTGCAGCCTGCACCGCACGCACCGCTCGCGCTCGCGCACGCCGCGCGTGGTGAGCACGCCGCAGCCCGCGCCGCCGGTGGCGCGCGCCTGCGCCGGCACGCAGACGCCGCAGGAGCAACTGGCGCCGGAGCCGCCACACCGGCCCAGCATCCCCATGGGCTGTCATGAGGTGTTGCCGGACGGCCGCATAGCGCTGGGCGCGCCCGCGCTCCCGCAGCCGCGTGATGCACTTCCTGTTGTCAACGACACGCCCTATTGCTCCGACTGTAATCGCTACATTATGTAAGCGACGTCCCACTGAATGTCTTGCCGTGTTTGCGACCGTGTCGACCTGTGCACTAGTTCTATCGTGTAGATAAATAATTCGATGTGATTCCTTCGTGTTGCTCCTCCCTTTATTTATGTTGTAAATACAAAACGGCCTCGTTGGGAGATGTGACATGTAAGTTAGTACATTTATCGTGTTTTTACGAAACGACACTTTCCATTTCATTATCCGTTCTCGTCACGATATTTGTGCTAAAAAGCTCAAATCATTATTCATTAATTAATTGTCTTCATCTATCTCTACCTTCATTCTTTTAGTAGTTAGGCAGAATGATATGATGTATCAACGCCACTATATATCTTCACGCAGCATGTCCTCACTTCGCTATCCATATTATTTAGATGAGCACCAGTGTAATTTTGCGTGGCAGATTGGTGGATAAGCACGAGCAAGTCGGTGAGCATGTTTGTAGAAAGTAGCAAGTATATATAGCTCTTTGTTACATGTGTATCTGTATATATTCCAAAATGGGATTGAATGATGTAGAAATATTGATGACATTTTAATCATTGTGCTTAAGTTGCATCAAATCTGATTGATGCATTTACCCTGGCTGTCTTCTGACGAGTAATTCTGTATGCAACAGCGGTGTGTTCGTGCGCATCAAGGACAAGAACTTGCACGTGGAATGCTTCAAGTGCTCGACTTGCGGTACTTCTCTGAAGAACCAAGGCTACTACAACCTGAACGGAAAACTGTACTGTGACATCCACGCTAAGCTTGTTGCTCGCAACAACCCACCAGCGCCCAATCTTGAACCAGTCACCGTTCCACCGTAAGTAAAACTTGTTGTCGTTCTTTATCGTACTTGGTATCAATTATGAGCAATATTTTAAGATCGTGATGACTTTTTGTATGTAATTTATTGGTTTTCATATACAGTGGTGGCCGAATCCCTACCAACACTTACTCGACGCCTCTGCCTCCTCTGGCTACCAACAACTACACAAATGGATCATCATCGCTTTTTAGCGTAAGTATTTTTTCTTCTTAAACGTTTATATTACACTTCAGCACTTCGAGAATACATAGTTGTATTTTTGTCTGTGAACCTTATAATGATTGATGTTGTTAATTATGGCAGCCTTCAAGCAACTTGTCGGGCCCGAAACCTTTCGGATCATCGATTGGATCTGCTTACTCGCCATCACTGTCTCCTCGCTCGGCCCCGATGTCGCCCGCGAGGCCAGTAGTAGCGCCTGCCCCTGCGCCCGCGCCCTTAGCGGCTCCTATCTCTGCGCCTCAACCAGCGGCACCATTCGCGCCCAGTAAGAGAGTCACTTTTGCTGTATAATCCTAGTCATTCGTACTCTAAAGTACGTCATCTAAAACTATCACAATTGAGCTACATTAGTATTAACGACTACCTTTAAAAGCCAGTCAAATTAAACCGGAAGGTTTGCCTACTATCATAGTGACGCATTTACCGCCTGTTTTAGTATTATCATTTTGAAACAAAAAGTATCAAAAGATTTTTATTCTGGAGCTTATGCCTAGTTATGCTAAAAAGCTGTTAGCATCTTGCTATGATGTAATGATAGCATTAGATCCAAAAATAAACGTTTAATTAGACATCCTCTTTATCTCTTTCTAGTTGGTTTCATTATTCATTTACCAAAGGGCATCTACATATATTTTTGCAACGAGATTGTGATAGTTTTGGGTGTTAAAATACGGTTGCACATTAATCTACGTGAGTAAAGTCTAGTCTATGTAATCATACCTGAAAAAAAATTTAGGTACCTATTTATATTTTTAGACCAAAATATTTTTATAATCATGGTTTTTAACTTTTTATACTTTTATATTTTATTTTTTTATATGTACACCAGTTACTAGTTAAGAATACGCATCGAAGTATTTACATGCATACGATTTCATGAATTCATATCATACTATTGAATAATATGACACCAAACGTCATTTAATAGATCTCTAGAAAGATAAGATCAACTCCTCTACTTCATAGTCGTGAAATCCTATATCTAGTCAACATTTTCAGTATTAACAATAGATTTTTAGAGTAATACTATTTTAATTAAGTAACCTTAGTTTTGTATGTTTATAGTAACTGTTTGACATTTATTATGCAAATACTTAGCAATTAAAAGCTAAATATCGTCGCTACGCATTTTAACATGAAAAGTATAATTTATAATTATGTTGTGAACCAATTTAGAAACATGTTATTCAAGGATATTATTTATTTTCGACAGAGACCCCAGTTTCCCTTTTTAAAGGTAATTTATAATTAGGTGGAGTACAGCTTATTTTAGCTATTAATGGATATGTATATAATATACAATCATAGTGTGAATGCGCTACGCGGGAAGCCGATATCAATAGCAGCCGCCGCATTACAATAACTGCTGTCCTGGCACTGTATTCTACGTCACTTAATAAAATTAATCATAGTACTACTCTCAATTCAATCTTTAACTTTCTGGCTTCTTAAAACGATTTTGTTATTAGTTGATTAGCTTACATCAATCTACTGTAAGTGGCTTCTTCAATTTTACTAATATTTACTTTCATCTCTTTCTCCCCTTTAACAATCTTTCTAACTCTATAACCGACTAACAGCACAAAACGTTAAAAGCATTGTGTGGCCCCCTCCAGCAAATCCTTCTGATGATGAACCACCAAAGTATGAACCAACTATGAAACCCGGAGCCCCCGCGTGTGTCAAAGAACAAGGGACTCGGGTGTTAAACAAAATTACCCCTAACTCTGATTCAAAGATTGCGGATGCTCAACAGCAATCTATGGAAAAATTCATAGCGTCTTCGAAACAAAGAGAAGAATTCACTTCTTCTAGTGTTTCATATGCCTCTGCTGCTATGTCTTCTATGACAGCAACATCTAAATCTGAATCTGTAGTTCAGAGTAAACAATCACAAGTGGTACAAGAATCAACTAGTCGAACTATTCAGTCTTTTTCACAGGAATCTTCTGAATGCCAGAGTACAACTGTTTACCAGACACAAATGTGTCCACCAAAATCTTTTGAAAATCCTTGCGATGCTATTGAAAATATTAAAACACAAATGATCCAATCCAATGAAAATATTCAGTCAAAATCAGCTAAAGAAGTAGAATCTATCAATATATCAGAACCTCCAAAAGATCAAGTTAAAACACAGGTATCACAAAAGTCAGACATGAAAATGGAAAGCGATAACAGTTCTACCATGCAAGAACCTACACATGTTAACACAAAAGAAAACAATCCAGTTTGTAATGAGGCGTCGATGCAAAAAAACAGTGAAGAAGTTGTGCTAAATCAACAAAATATTTCACATGACACACAAATCAAAACCAGTACAGAAAAAACGTATACAGAACAATCAACTGCAAATAATGACTTGAGAGCCAAGGAAACCATGCAAACAACCATGAATCCTTCTACGTTAAATCCAAATACAAAGGGCTCTATGGTAGATGCATTGACAACTGCACCTGATCGTCCGTATTCGCCCTTGCCTACACCACAGCAGCCTATTAGTTTAGTTGGACAAACAGTGGCGGACGAAAAACACACCCCACATGAAATAGACGAAAAATCGGAATTAAAAGAGTGTGCTGAAATAAAGAACGTGCAATTGCCAGCACAACCATCACCAATGTTCTTGCAAGAGAAGCGTGGTATAACACCAATACCACCTATAAAAACTTATAATCCTCCTGAAAAAGTTGCCCCACCCGTACCAATGCCTGAGGAAACAAAACCGTACATACCACCTGATTTTAAAATAATTATAGAACCTAAGGAACCTCGTGAAACAACCTCGACGCCTTTAATAGAAGCTTTAACAATTGCACCTGATAGGCCATTTACACCCGTTACTACTTATGATCAAAATCAAGCAATAAGTAGAGAATGTTACGATCAAAATCAAACAATGGGTAATGGGCCATATGATCAAACTCAATCAATTGGCAGAGGATCTCTAAGAGAGGCTTTAACTATCGCTCCAGATAGGCCTTACAGTCCTTTTGGTGCTCCTGGTGTTACTCAATCCAACCAATATATGACAAGTACCACACACGTGACTGAAACAAACTTGACCGAAATTGTAAAGCCTATCGCCACACAAACGCTAACTCAAACATCTGACCAGTTGCATTCTGAATTTTCCACAATGCAAAATACGTGCAAATTACAATCGTCTTCAGAAATGTCTGCATTCAGGCCCGTTCCAAAACAAATATTTCCTCCACCACAGCCTGAAGAATTTTGTAAATTAACTAACTTTCCACCCATTAGCAATGAACTGAAAACCAGTTTTACACAGGCTACTAAAACAAAGCAGGAAACGACATTTTCGGAATCAATGATGGTCCAGCAGTCGTCCTTGTCCACCAGTATGGCCACCCAAGGCTATTCATCTGTTAAAACAGCTCAAAATTATTTTGAACAATTAGACAAAAAAGAATCTCTTACTTCTACCGCAGTTAGATCAAAATCTGGATTACATAAACCAGACAGTATTCCGCCGTATCAGAGAAATTTCGAGCAATTACCTTCTCAGCGAGGAATTTCTCCGGAAATATATAATGCACCGGCAGTTTTACAAAGACCCGTCACTCCGTCAACTGGTACACCAACTAGACCAAAAGAAAAATCCGTTGAACCAAATCCAAATTACACTACTCCTCAGGCATCGACTCCAAAGTTCCCACAAATTAGAACACCAGTACAACAGCCTCCTGTACAATTTCATAAAGATACTCCTATTACTATGACATTTCAGCCTGTGACTGATGATAATTTTATGAGAGTTTCTTCACCATCACGTAGTAGTCGTCCTGTTACACCAAATAGTTTAATAAACAAACCAGCACCCATTATTCCTCATTATCAGATGAACTTAGTAACAGTAGAGCATTTGGCACCCGAGAGTCACCTGTTTCAACCATCTAGTCGGGAAGGTAGCAGATCTCCGACACCAAAACCACGATCCCGCTCACCAGCTCAAGGTCCTCCTCCAAATCCATTAAAAGCACATGCTCCACGTATTAAGGAACCTGCTTCACAAAATTATTCAATGGACTCGTTTGCCTCACAAGATGCTTCTAATTGGCGAAAGCAGCACGAGAGGGACCAAAAAGAATTCCAGACGGCTGCAGAGATATATAATACAAGTGGTGGTAATAAAAACTGGGCAACACAAGCACCAGTAGTCAAAGAACAGAGACATTCAAACGTGGGATACAAGAGCGAAAATTATACCAAAGGCGACATGAAAATCAAGGAAGATTCTTTAATACAAGAAAATTATGGCCAAAGACAAATGCAATCACAAAACGTTATTGCACAAGGCAATACCACTGTTCAAACAACCAGAAAAACATTTGAAGAATTTGAAAGGACACAATCTGCTAAAGTTGTAGAAATCAGAAAGGGAGGTTCATCAATTACTGGGGCATATGAGCAAAATATGGACTGTAACATTCGGCCTTCTAATCTTAACCCAAAGCAAGTCTTTCCGCCTCCAATGATGAGTTTGCCATCAACACAACAAAGTTCATCACTTAACCTTACTAATCAAAATATGACGTCCGCTAGTAGAACAATAGACAATTACGATCCAAAGCCTTCGATTTCTGGTGCTAACCAAGGTCCAGTGTGTGATCCTACCCCATCGACAGGTTCGAGTGTAGGAGCTGCCGCTCGTGGCAAAACTTTCGGTGTGTCTTCTGCCCCTAAACGAGGAAGGGGAGTTTTGAATAAGGCTGCGCTGCCCGGCTCCCGTGTGCCACTATGTGCTTCCTGTAATGGGAATATTAGGTGATTTAGACGTATAAAGTGTGTTACTGTTTTGAGTGCTGCATGAACTAACTGTGTGAAGTTGTGAATGAGTTTGTTATGGCTATACAATATTTATTGTAGTGTTATTGGTTTGTTTGTTCTTTTATTAGTATTTAGAAACTGACGTAATTTTCCTAGTTATGCACTAATTTAATCGTCTAATAATTCTGCTTTTAACTGTTTGTATAAGTGTTGTTTTGATTTTCTAACAGCTAATGAACCGCTGACTACGAGCAGTCCTCACAAAACGGAGTTCAAAAGTCCAGCAGAAGAAAGACTTATCAGAAAAATGGCTAAAATGGCTCTGAATGGTTATGAAATCGGTATTCAAAGAAAAATAAAACCAGCAGATCACATTCAGTCAATGGCAGATAAAATTCAAGACACTGTCGTAACGAAACATCCACTCAATTCCGATAGTATACCACCTGTTGAAAACAACACTATAAAAACTCTAGAACGAGGATACAAGACACATGAGAATATTCAAAGCATTGGCGACAAAATCAAAGACACAATTAGAAATAACCATCCCGCAAATGAATCCATCACTAAGCCTAACGTCTTGATACCGCCACCATTGCCTACCACCCCAGTACCTACATTTAATGTTCACAGTACTCCACTTGGTCATTCAATAAATACAAATGGCGAGAAAAAGAAATATGATACTATACCCAGAACCCTAAATGCAAGTCTGATTTCGGATGAACATTTGATTAACAATAATGACAAGTCTCACAATGGTAGTGGTTACTCCAGCACTGAAGACTTGCAAAAGGATAAAATTGAAAACAACTATTTGGGTACATTACGAAAAACTGGGATAGAGAAATCTTCATTTCTTAACAGCATGAACGGTTCAAATGTTGCTAATACAAATTCTGATGTAAAACCTGAACTAAAATTTGATACCCCTTATTCTAACACCTTAAACAAACGAAAATTATTTGAGAAATCAGACAACTTGATAACGAACAATAAAGTTAACGACAAAATTAACAATGCTAGTGAGTTAAATGTTTCGCAGAAGATTAATAATTTTGACCATACTTCAAAGAGTGAAAATGGAGTCCACCAAGATGACGAACTCATCAAAAGCAAAGATGTTTCTGGACAGTTATATAACAATTCACTGTATACGTACAAATCCCCTACAAACATAAAATAAATACAAATGGCAATGAACAAAGTAATGATTGTGTCGATAAAGTTGAAGAAATTAAAAGTATATCGGATAGTGATGAAAAACAAAATACCGAGGAAGAGGTGGTTGTTAGACGTAGGCAAAAGAAAAATATTAGAAATGATGATGGCAGAAGAGATTCACATATAATTGCTCGTCCTTTGAGTACAATACAATGCGCAGATGTTGCTGAAGGACTTTATCCAGTATGTCACAAGTGTGACAAGGCTATAACGAGGTAACGTAATTTTTTTAATGGAAACTTATAACGTATTCCACAAATTATTTGCCAAGTAAGTTAAGGTAGAAAATGTTTGTTTTTCTCTGTAAAAAAGCACGGATGTTGTTTTTTTTTAACCAGATTAACCACGTGTTATTGAGTTTATTTAGTTCACAATAATTTTTGATGGCTAAAAGACTAATAACAATTCATATATTTATATAGGGGGCCGTTCATTACGGCTTTGGGTCGCATCTGGTGTCCAGAGCACTTCATCTGCGTAAATGCAACGTGTAGGCGTCCCCTACAAGACATTGGTTTCGTTGAAGAAAATGGTCAACTCTACTGCGAATTCTGCTTCGAGCAGTACATTGCGCCTGCTTGCGATAAGTGCCACGCCAAAATTAAGGGCGTAAGTTCTTAGATAATATTTTATAAATGTTTTCTACGAATTTACAAGTTAGTCAGTTTAATTCATATTTTGTCGTGATTCCAGGATTGCTTAAATGCTATCGGCAAGCACTACCACCCTGAATGCTTCAACTGCGTCTACTGTGGAAAGCTCTTCGGAAACAATCCCTTCTTCTTAGAAGACGGTCTTCCGTATTGTGAAGCTGGTATGCTATGGCAATAATTATTTTTTGTTTATCCTAAATCGGCGTACCTAAGTACTATATTTTACTGTTTCTGAAGGAGATTTTATAAAGGGACTTGTTTTCTCAGATTGGAATGACCTGTTCACGACAAAATGTTTCGCTTGCGGCTTCCCGGTGGAGGCAGGCGACAGGTGGGTCGAGGCGCTCAACAATAACTACCACAGTCAGTGCTTCAACTGCACGGTGCGTATGATGAGACTCCTACTAAAATACACATAAACACACACACAATTCAATTACTCCTTACCGATATACTTTTTTAAATACATAAAATAGTCCAAATCTAAAATAATGCGCAATGCTTTTTACCATAGCGCAGAAACAGGTATAATTTGGCATACATGGACCCAAATCACCAGAAAATTACAAATAATCTTTTCTAGATTAAAATAGCTGACGCAATTTACTATTCCTGTATCGAGTTTAAATTGCACATTTTTCAAGCGAGTTACCTTATTCATTTTACAGCATATATTTTATAGCATTTGCCCTGTAACCATTCCATATATAAATAAACCGAGTTACTATAATTATTATACTCATAACTTTGAAACCCATTTTGAAGGTTTTACTGACACTTCATTTGGATTATTCTAAATAATAATTTTATCAAATTCTGGAATGATGACGCAAAATTTACTGAAGCATTAAAGTTGAATTCGATTACCACGTCAATATACAAAGCTCGTCATACGCTGCCAGTCTGCTCCCTTTTTACCAATAACAGTGACCTTGTGTGTGCGTTAATTAAAATTATATTATCATATCTGTATGTTCTGTTTTGTAACTGAGACATGTACATATATACCAATTTAATATATTTATACCCAACTTCCCAAAGTTCAGGAAGTTTATCATAGCGTGTTTTGATCCATGTAGTATCAACCTTACATAATCTGCTTGTAGAAATGCTTTCATGAAACGGTTTGAGTAGTTTTGGCTATTTTATGTATTTAATTTATATTATTTATTATGTTTTATGTTCTGATAATAGTATTCGTGTTGTTATGTTTTGTTTGTAAGTAGTTTTTGTTTGAGTTATATAAGTTGTTGGATACTTCCTTAAATACGTTTAAATGCAATGAAATCTAGAAATAAATTGTGACAAATAATACGATTCAGAAAATACATTCATAGAAACTGCAGTAAAGAATTATTTAATTTTATCAATATTATGTTATTTACAGGTGTGCAAAAAGAACCTCGAAGGACAGAGTTTCTTCGCCAAGGGAGGTCGACCTTTTTGTAAGACACACGCCCGCTAGAAGTCCTCAGCAAATGATGTATAATTCCGACACTGTTTATACGACTACCACTTTCCGTCCCGTTTCTCCTTCTCCATCACTCCTCCTCTAAACACGCCTTCGCCGCAAAGAACAAGGAAGTTGGAAACACCCCTCCACTTCGATGGAGGACTGTTTTCCGACATAAGAAGTACAGACGGCAAGCTACTCAGCAAAGTAACCGTAGATCGAGTTCAACAGTCGTCACGACATGACATCTCCGACTCACCGAGTGTTTTCACCGATGGCAAGAATTATGTGGATGACATGGTAAAAACTGAAACTATAACAAATGAAAACGTTATCACGGTGAAATTCACTCCCGTGCCGCCAGAACTTGACTCTCCGAGATTGCTGACACCGTCTCAGATGTACAAAACCCGACAAAAAACTCCAGTTGAATATATCAAGGACAACTTTGAAGACTTACACAGCTACAAAATTGTAAGTTCTGTTGTAAAAGAAAAATTGCTTGACAAGGAAAACTTGAAGCCAGTATTAAATGACGGGGGGATCTTCGAAAAGCATGATACCTTTGCAAACACCGTACTCAAAGAAAATGTATACGAAAGAGACGATTTCGTATCAGATTTAAATGTTGAGGAGAAAATTACTACCAGCTTAGATACTTTTGAGCCAATAAAGAGAGCTCCAAGTCCACTCGCAAATCTTTTCATTTCGGAACAATTAACTAAAATAGACAGTTACTTACAAGAGAGTTTAGAGGTATGTTCTGGAGTTAAAGATCGCTATACTCCAATACCAATTATTATCGAAGGAGAAAAATCTGGATCGGTTGACAATATAGAAATGGTTTCTTGTGTTAAAGAAAATTATGAACAACAAGAAGTACGCTTCTCTTCAGAAGAGAATAAACTAAGCTCCAGTGAGGGCGAAGAGGAACCTCTTTATCGTCGTGACAAAACAACACCAGAACCTTATTCTGTGGAACATAGCAAAACCAATGCGTCCAAATTAAACAGTGCAAAACATCCTGGTGTGCTGAGTGCTATTTATAACATGCCAATACATTATCACGCAGCCATACTGTGTTTCTTATTAATTATATACAATCTCATATATCAATACGTAAAACAAAACTGTTATGGTAGTAAAAATAAAATTGAGTGAAATTGGACAAAAATATATGCATACTAAACTAGTCATTGAGTTCAGGGACATTTTGTTTCTATATATTTACCAATTTGATTTTATAAGGTGTAAATAGTTACAGGTAACAAGTATTTCTCGCGTATTTTTTGTATCAATAATACCTACTTTATAATTAACAATTTGGTGCTTTTCACTACTATTCTATAAATTGCTGGCAGTATTTGTGATATTTCACATTATTAAATAAGGCTTTGTATACAGCTTCCGGAATGTTGCAGTAAACTGTTACTAACATTAACAGTAGTCCTTAAACTTTGAAATCCACAAAGCGGATATCGGAAATAATATAATAGAATTGAAATTTTAAATAAATGATTGGTGCACCAACATACAACCTATTTAGAATAGTATATTAAATGTACTCATAAACTTTATATGAAATTTTAATATTATATTCATGCATTAATTTGTTTAAGTACTTTTTTACCCTGCTATTTGTAATAATATTATGGTAGATGAATAAAATTTTCGCAATCTTATATTTTACAGTTGGTAATAATATTAATATTAAGAACTATTTATTTAGACTTACTTTATTGCAATTAGCGTAACACATAAACATTATGTGGGCTTAAATAAAGTATTTTATTTTATGAATTTATCCTTTTATTACCCTTTACAATTTAACGTGTTATATTTAATAGATTTTTTACATTTTCTACGTAGAAGAAAGCTGGGTTTTCTGTATGATTGCAAACGTCCTATACTCGATGGACAATTCGCCGAAGATCGAAGGACCAGATTGACGAATGACAAAGTTTCGTGGCTTCGATTTACCCCATATTCGAATAGTTATTTAATAAGATACAAAAAAACATGACTACCTAAGTTAGAAAAATTTGGAACAAATCTAGACCTTAGGAAGGTTGCAGACTTAAATCTTGATTGATGCAATAAGACTGTAAATAGCTAAACCACAATAACAAAAACCCTAAAGATTATACCAGAATAAACGCTGGAAATAACATAATGTATCAAAATGTAACATCCTTTTTTACCAGTCTTGTTATAATCTTACCTCTATAAAGATCATGTAGTTCCTCAATAAATATATAAATAACTATCGTAAAACGTAGGTACTAAATTAACTAAAAATCGCCGGTTACGTGAATATACTGAGAAAAGCTCTACTAGTTTCGAGCCACAGAGGGGGCTCTTCCTCGTGAATAGCATGCGCGGTCGCGGCTATATCGCGGGCAGTAGGCCGCGCATATATATTAGTCAATAAGGTATTTATTATTAGTCCACGGTGTGTACGTACGAACATAGATAGTAATGGTTAACTGTTTTAAATGCCTATATATGTAGCCTTTATAATTATGTAGGTAGGTGTTAGGTAATTCACTTAGACTGGAATCTAAAATTACCTTTGACAATTATTTGTTCCGGAAATAAGCGCGTCCAACCGTTCGAACTGGAGGAACTACTTTTGTGTTGGATAGTCTGTTTATCAAAGAATACCATAAAACATCACGCTTCAAACTATAGGAGCAAGCAGCGAGTGAAACCGCGCGGGAACACAAACGCATGTAAACGTTGTAAGCCCAGCCCACCCTAATCTATCCCCCTTTCTTTGTCTATTACAAATTATAACTTGCTTGTTTTGCATCCAAATCGGGCGAATGCACAACTTGCGAAAATTGCGCGCGAAAGTTGCGTAATTTAGAAATGTTCGTGTGAATACGAAATGCATGTGTCCAGGTCGTGAGAATGGCAGAACTTAACTTCAGACAGCATGTTGACCATCAGACGCAGCCATAAACTGTTTTAATTAGATTTGTATGCCATGAGAGTATTAGTGATGGAACAAAGTGTACACCACACCAATGTTCAGTTCAAATTGAAAACAACTTTAGTATAGTTGGTTACTTTCGGCTGAGATTGGTTGCCTTATCTTACCCCAAAATAATTAAGCCTTTAACTGCCGATAAAAACTGTTAAAGGCTAATCCTCCACTAGCGTTGGACATCACTGTCCGACATGACATCCAATGTGTTAAGAGATATGTACAATCATAATCAGTAAAAATAAATAAATAAGAATATATTTAACCATTTTTAATTCTTACTACACATAATTAAATATTTATTACAAATAATATTTTCTAATGACTAGCTAATATTTACAATTTACATTATTTATAATCAAGACTACTATCTACTACTAAAAATTGTTAACCTGTGGTATGCTGGAACACAGACCTATGCTGGAACAATGTGTTTTCTATTGTGTCTCATAAACCAGCCTACAAGAGGTTAATAATAGAAGTCATCAAAAGAAGTCTTCAAAAATATAGATATTGTATTACTATTATTAAGGTACATAGCTTTATTACCTATAGTCAGATGTTTAGATAAAAAAGTTCTATTGTCAACTATTTTCTGTCACAGAGTTCTGGTCGTTCACAAAAACACTTTCTTCATCAGCTCCAAACAAGAAGGTTCTTATCCTGAAAATGAGAAATCAGAATGTTTTATTTAGTTCAATCAATATCGCAAGCTTGTGGCCTGTGATAACTCACTACTGGACTATGGGCCTTGCTGCACAACTAAAAGACTTGCTGAAGTAGAGGAGAGGGGTTCCTCTTATGCCACTTAATCCACACTTAACAAGCAGGTTATAGAAAGGTTCAGATTTATTAAATTCAAAGTTGTATGCCCAATCTTTAATAAATGTGTAGTCCCTTAGTGAACTCTTTAAGAGTTGACACTCACATTGGTAAAAGGATTCTACTTTGCGCTCAATACACAGATTAGATCGATTGTACATATCGGTAAATATTACAGAAGTTTATTTTACAAATGCAGAAATTTAGTTTTCGGATCAACAAACCCGAAAAGCTTGCTCTGTAATAAACATATTTGGCTTAACTATAAGTTTGTTATAATAAACTTAAAATTATGTAAAATCTCTTACCTTTTCCATTCGATTCCTAAACCTATGAAAGAAAAAGTTAGGAAACCATGCCAGAGGGTGGTAATAACAGGTATAGGTTGTCTTTTATGTCCAAAATTTTTAAATGATCTTTGATTTATAATAGTAACCGGTTTTAAATATCGCAACATATCGAAATTATTGTAATATAGCTTTTTACTTTGTAAACAGAATTATAACCTAAACACACTGACACTGACGGCTTACTTGAATTTGACAGATTTCACATGTACAGTATACGTCAACTGTCAAAGTTATATATAATGTGTTCAGAATTTCGGTTCATAGGTAATAGGAAAATGGTCTGTTAGTAGCACAGACCTACTATAATATAGTAGGTCTGTGGTTAGTAGTAGTAGTATGTGATGGTAATGGTCTGTAGTTCTCAAATATTTTTGTATCCTCGAAGTTTTTTTTTTAAGGGGGGAAAAATCATTAAATGTTTGCTCCCGCCTGGGTGAGGTCAGACTCTTACCTACTGACTAAAAACCACCCTGTTCCATCTCCTGCACTTCGAGCCGGAGCCCCGGTAACCCGTTAGGTACTCCGCGACATCCTCGAAGGGGTAGGCAGAGATTTACATTAATCAGTGAGGGAATGTCATGCTTAAAATGGGCCGGTTCGACTGGAGTGATAGTACGGCCTCAAAGAAATATGGTATGAACAATCCCAAACACCGTGCTATTATTATTTTATAAAAGACAAATACAACACCTAATGCTTTCCCCGAACTGGAAGCCTAACTCCCTAATTGTTTGCGAGCTGGACACTGCCATGTCTTCTGCCATTCTAGAAATCGTAAATGCTCAAAATCATAACAGTATGAACTCTGATGCGTAGGCAGTTAAGTAGGTACCAACCCCTACTTATTTCTTTTTTATTTCTCCTTGTACCAACGTGTGTGGTACAAATTGCATGCACTTAGCTTCTATTTATGTACTTTATGCAATGTAAGTAGTTCTTTGCTTTGAGGGTGATATTTCCTCTTTGGGGGTGATAAAACGACGTGCAAAAGATGGGAGTTGTTTTGATAAATACTACATAATATACTTTGGATTCATTTTAAGTGTAATATTATTAATAAGTTTTTGAAAAAGGAAGTGTTGTTACTTTTATGAGTCAAGAAAAAACTTACTGTTAAAAATAAAAATCATACATAATGTTCTTAAGTTTTATATTCAAAAGGCGGGCTTATCAAACTAACAAAACAATACAGGTACATAGCTGTTAAAAATACATGTTATTGTATGTTTTCACACCTGTTCGTATTACTTACTACAAGTGTAAGTCTATATTCATTTATCAATTAATCTTATATTTAGCCTATGTACACAGTATAGTACGTAAAATACACATCTATTTACATTAACACTTATGAAAATAAATCATTCAGAATTATAAAGTTTTCAGTAAATAAGTATCATTTAAATATAACAAAATTTTGGCTCCAACAAAAACTGGATTTAATCAGAAATTCAATAGTTTGTTTGAATAAAAAAAAATCAACACAAGTCAGAGCATATATCAATCCAGTATGTAGTGTGCAAATAATCAAAAAATAATAAGTCAGTACAGCATCGGAATAAGGTCCTAAAAACTAGGTCAGTAAAAATTAAGTAAAAGCTTAAGGAAGTTATACTTACTCATTGACTAAATTAATAATTACGTCTAATAAAATGTCATTGTAAAATCGAACGCAAATAAGTTTTCAAAACCTCATAAACAATTAATTGCCCATTATACCAAGATTCAGTGGAGCCAAACCCACTCACACATTCATGTCTAAGGACACAATAGTCAACACTCTAACAAATTTGATAAACAGCAGACATAACAGATTAGTTTCTGAATTAACTATTGTATGAAGTTATGTAATACAGAAATAATACAAGTACAGGTGGCAATAAAAATAAATACCATCACTATGTGGCGGAATGCGAAGCTGTATCGATAAAACTACGAGCTAAGCCAGTAATATCGACAGCCAAGAAGTAATTATGGTGCTTATCACAAGCACACAACTATTATGGCCTATGAAAGCAATTAAATTAATCTAGTCTTCAAATTTTATGGAGTGTACACCTGTATCGATTGCGCCACCGCGATATGAACCCCTCTTTTTCTTCGTCTTCTCATGCTTGAATGACTTGCCACGTGTATGTTTTAAGTCTTGATTAGCACGCTCACCCCATGACCCACGTGAACCACTCTGAAAAAAAAAAAGGTTATTATGTTAATTGACTAACACTTCGTTGGTGTAGTCCGCTAGCGCGACTACCTAGCACAGAGTCTCGTGTTTAATTCTAATAGTTTTAACCTCTCTACTATATATATCATGGGATTCATGGCAAAACTAAATATAAAGTGAAAAGGGGTCTGTAAAAATGTATATTTCTAGCACTGGCTAATTTGGGAATTTAACAATATGTTTCTTTAGAATAATAAATTTACCCATCCAATACTTTAATAGTAGGTCTAATACAAAACATATTGTGGTGAATTAAAATGATGAGGTAATCTGATTGCACATTATATTAAAATAATCTCACCTATTTACTTAATCAAATGTTATTTTCTTGTTTTGAGCATTATCCCCTCCCTCAAAACTTTTTCGGTCGTTAAAACCTCCTTTGTTGAATCCTCCCCTATCTCCACCCCAGGAGTGACGGTCACCACGACCGCCACGGCCACGACGATCTCCACCTCCGCGACCTCCCCTATCGAAACCACCGCGACCTCCCCTATCGAACCCACCACGACCCCCTCTGTCAAAACCACCACGGCCACCTCTGCCTCCACGTCCACCTCTGTCATTGAAACTGCCGCGTCCACCCCTATCGCCCCCGCGACCTCTAAATCCTCCCCTACCCCTATCATTGAAACCCCGACCCCCGCGGTTGAATCCGCCACGTCCACGCTGGTTCCAACCTCCAGATTGGTTTCCTTCTTCCTCGTCGTTTTCTTCGCCTTCATGGCTTTCACCCTCCTGATAGATAGAAGCGCTTATTATAACCAAGACAACCCTATGTGATGCTGATGAAGTGTTTTCAAAAAAGTAAATGCCCAAAATGTTATAGCAAGCCACTGGCAATGAAGCCTTGGGCCAAAATGTCCAAGTCAGACATAACATTGAGTTGCCTTGGCTTCTCAAACTTTGGGGCATTTACCTTGGCGTCGAACGAGTTATCCTTAAGTCTAGGATCCACTTCTATAGGTTGCGACGCCACTCTTCGGAAGGGAGCTGGCTTACTCACTTCATTACTTTTTTCTTTGGGAGTTGATACACTAACTGTACCCTAAAAGTTATTATTCATTAAATTTAATTATTTTTACCAACACCAGTTGCAAATAAAAGGATTCCATAATTTCGACTTGCATGAAATTATTAATTATTAAGTATTGGTTGGTAATAATTATGGTTATGGTACTAGTATTCATTCATAACTGTTAATAGTACAGGGACTTTACTGTCTTTACATTTTTTATACAATTAGTTCACCTTTACGAAGTTGCTGTAGGGTTTTTTAGCTGGAGCATTTGAATCACCTTCTGATGCTTTCCTTTTTTTCCCAGTTTGAACTCCATTTTCAGCACCCTGAAAAAAAAAATTAATATCACTCAATTCTATCCCTCATTTGAGTTGTTTAAAACAGAATTAGTGTTAAAAGTATTGATATCATACTATGTATAATTTTACCTGATTATTGGAATCCTTTTTCGATATTTTAGCAGGAGGAGCATCGTCATCACTGTCGTCACTGTCATCAGAAGATTCAGCTTTCTTGGCAAGAGCAGCTTTTTGTGCTGGTTTCTGTTTTGGTTCATCATCATCACTTGAATCATCATCTGATGACTCTTGTTTCTTTGCTGCTGGTTTTGGTTTAGTAACACTGACAGGTGTTTTAGGAGCAGGTTTTGAAGGTTCCTCATCACTATCATCTGATGATGATGCTTTTTTAACTGCCGCCTTTACAGGGGTTTTAGCTGGTGTCTTTACAGCTGCTTTAGGTTTTTCATCTTCACTACTGTCATCACTATCTGAAGAAGAATCCTTTTTAGCTGATGCTTTAATTGCTGGTTTAACGGGAGTGGGTTGAGGTTTCTGGAGAGCCTTTTGGGGCTTTTCATCTTCATCGCTGTCATCACTGTCATCCGAGGACTCTTGCTTTTTAGCTGGTGTTGCTTTAGGTTTGGCAGGGGTTATAGCAGGTTTCGGAGGTTGCGTCTTCTTGGGTTTAGAATCTTCGTCACTGGAATCATCTGATGATGATTCTTGTTTTTTAGCAGGTGTGGCTTTGGCTGCTGGCTTATCAGGAGTACCTTTAACAGGTGCTTTAGGTTTTTCATCTTCACTGTCATCACTATCATCAGAGGATGATTCTTGTTTTTTGGCTGGAGCTGCTTTGACTGGAGGCTTTGCAGGTGTAGGTGCAGCCTTCTTTGGAGCTGGTTTTTCGTCCTCACTATCGTCACTGTCATCCGAAGATGATTCCTGTTTTTTGGCTGGGGCTGCTTTAGCTGGAGCCTTCGCAGGTGTAGGTGCAGCCTTTTTTTGAGCTGGTTTTTCATCTTCACTGTCATCACTGTCATCAGAGGATGATTCTTGTTTTTTGGCTGGAGCTGCCTTGACTGGAGTCTTTGCAGGTGTAGGTGCAGCCTTCTTTTGAGCTGGTTTTTCATCTTCACTGTCATCACTATCATCGGAAGACGATTCTTGTTTCTTAGCTGGAGTTGGTTTAGCCTGGGGTTTAGGTGCAGGTTTTGCTGCAGCTTTTGGTTTTTCATCTTCACTGCTGTCATCGCTATCCGATGAAGAAGCAGGCTTTTTAGCAGGAGTTGCTTTTGGAGGAACTGCCTTAGCCTGAGGTTTTTGTTGAGGTTTAGGTTTTTCATCTTCACTACTACTATCATCTGATGATTCTTGTTTTTTAACTTGTTTAGGTGTAGCATTATTGGGCTTCACTGGTTGCTTTGTTGGCTTAGCTGTGGCATTATCTTCACTATCACTATCATCTGATGACTCTGCCTTTTTAACTGGTGTAGCTGCTACTTTTGGTTTGGCCTAAAAACAAATATTTTTTTGTTGAGTTTTGAATGACTTTATATCTGGTACATAATTAATATTTTATAAATCAGAGGTAGTGACGAATAAGTTTAGTTTAAAATCATAGGCTTTCATTTAACAGTTCTCATCATTAAAATCATTACAAAAATTGTTTAAACAAAATATTTTTAATGAACTTACTTGTGTCTTGGGTTTCTCATCTTCAGAGCTGTCGGAGTCAGAAGATTCTTGTGCTTTTTTAGGAGCAGCAGCCTTGCCATTGACCTGAGCAACGGGTTTTTTCTGTGGCGCTTCATCTTCACTGGAGTCGTCATCAGAACTATTATAGAGAAATAATAAATTGAGTTCAAATATTTTTTAACCTTTAAGTTATGAGTTATTTCATTATGTTGTACAACAGCCAAACCCACAATAGTACCACGCAATATTTGGGTACACCAAACCATGTAGTATAATACTTTTCCTTTTTTCTTGGTTTTGAGTAGTTTGTTAAACAATGTGAACATAACCTTAAAAATTTATAAACTAGATTTACCTCTCAGCAGCTTTTTGGGGCTTCTTGTGTTTGTTGTATTCTGTTAATATGTCTGTGAGCGAAGGTAGACCCTTGACACGCGGTTTCTATAATTAAGAACATAACCTATTAATATTTACGAAAAAAAAAACACAAACTGTAAATAACATTGTGAGTCAATTACGACATGTTAAACAATATGAATACAGATTTCTATTGCCTAATTATATCTTAACAAAATTAAGGCCAATATCACACTTTATTTGGCAATAAAAATGAGAATTTTGACGGAACTTCGGTCAGTGCTGAAGTACAGGACACCATAATGGTGTATTATATTACGTATGTACACCGCAATGAATAGAAAGCACTTTGGAGAATATATCCTTAAATGTAGATGTTGAAACAGTCCAAACCCTAGATTTATTTACTACTTTAACTTGGAATGGCAATAATAGCAACGGTATTATAATGTTTCGAGCACGTGTGGTGACCGGTCACACGTGGTTTTTCGACATTGCAAGCACTTACCGCTTTTGTTTTCTTCAAAAACTCTTGAGCCAGAGACTTGTCAATATTTTGTAGGAATTGATATACTATAGAAATAGCTTCTGTTTGTAATTCTGCAGGGACCCCCATTTTTGAGATTTTTTAAAAACTATAATCGCACGGCTACGCAGCGCCGCCGCTTGTCACTAATGAACGAATGAATGAAAATGATCAATGAATGAATGAGATAGACAGGCATAGTGCAGGCCAGAGACCAGAGAGGAGATCAAAGATCAGGAAAATGGGAAGACTGGAGGAGACAAACAGACAGACGGATCACAAAAACGAATATTTATCTGAATGTCCACCCTACCATGCTACCTACTGTTGAGAAATTGAGTAATCTTATACTTACCTATTAGTTAGTTTACTTAGTTTGTAACTTACATAATACGTAGTTTGTTTGTTTGTTTGAATGCGCTAATTTCAAAAACGACTGGACTGTTTTTTTTATGTTGGATAGCTCATTTATCGAGAAAGGCAATAATAAACAACATAACGCTACGATCAATAGGTGTCGAGCAGAGCGCGTGAAACCATCGCAAAGCAGCTAGTCACAGAAAAAATCTAATGATTGAAAGATTGAAAAGAGTATGAGCCTGATAGCACTACAATATTTCATCTGAAGTTTTTTATTATAGAAGTATGTATGTACCTACATCCCGCGATAATAAATCTGTGTTAGGTATTTTCATTTCCTGTATTGTGAATGAATATAGTCTTAAATAAGTTTTTACCCTCTCAAAAACTCAAAATATTATTAATATTCAGGAACATTTAATTTTATTATTTTGTTGAACTTTTCTTTTTCGACCGGATTCAAAACGTTGGTTCAGTCAGTATCGGTCAGATGGCGTTTCTGGTCCTGTCATGTCATTCGCATTCCGTAATGAATTTTGTATTATCTATGTAGTGCTGTAGTGTGTGTATTATATTTATGTGATGACAAGTAGCTAGCAGTACCGATAACTTTGGTTGACGATTTATTTTATGAATTTTGTATCTACTCTATTTCATAATTGCAGTGTGTTAAGTAAGAGATGTAATGTGAAAAACAAATCATCATCAACAGTGTACATACTTATTAAATTAGTACTTAGTAGAAGTTACTTAATAGATTGAGATGTGAGGTGACATGTTTTTATATGTTTGCTTTGTCGATGTTCAATGTGATCGCGAAGAAAATCTCTGAATGTTATGTAGGCTCGGTTGAGCATTAAAAATATACGATACCATAATGCCTGTTCAGCAAATTAGTGTGAAGAACTCTTCGGATATTGAAAGTTGGGAATGGGGAGGAGGATGTGGTAGAGAAGTGATTCGTACGGGGTCAGGGAGCAGCCGCACGTCATGTAGCAACTCCAGCGGTGATATATGCCGCATATGCCATTGTGAGAGCGAGCCTCACAATCCTCTCCTAGCACCATGTTATTGTTCAGGTCAGTAGAAGTTTTGATGCCATTGTTCATGTAACTAGCTTATCCAGCAGTCTTACACGTCGCAAGAATTAAGCGTAGTACACAGCTGTTCTCTGTTTACATAATGTTATTTGACACAGTTAAATAGAATTTTTAAGCCAAGAACATAGCCCAGTACTTTGAAGGGCAAATGTTGAAAGTGTAAAAATCAATACAGTTAAATTAAGTGAGATAAACATACTGCATTTGAGAGATAATATTTACCTTTATCATCTAATGGAATATGATGCCATGTTAGTGTAGTGTAGCAATAGTTTTGTACAATGTGAGTTCATGTTGGAGACTGCACTTATTGTTGGAATATTGGTCTCACATTGTACATAATTATTATGGACAGTTATGAAGGTAAGGAAAACCATTAGTGATCAGGAAACCTATTGTATTATTATTTAGTTGAATTAAGGAAAACTTGTGAGTTGTAATATCACAATAGGTATCCACTTAGTTAAATTGTATGAATAATAAAGCTGAATATTCCAAGTCATATACATTATCCCCGGATACATAGGATTTAATTAATAATAAGCAATAGGTACTGTGTTAATAAATTACTTAGGACCTGTTTCACATGTCTGATTAAGTTACTTTCAGCTGACCTTACTTACTTACTTACCATATTTTGATACAGTTGTTATGGAAAATACCTACATTAAATTATTTGCTATTTCAAAATAGAAAGCTATTCAGACATTGTGAAACAGCCCTTAATATTACAATACCTACAAGTTCATTGAAGAAACCTATTTTCCTACTGTTTTGGTAATTAGTAACACAATAATTGAATTTTGTCAATACAATAATAATTCTTTAAATTCAATGAAGCCCTTTCTACTGTAATAATATTTATATCTATTGTTTTCTATCTTTGAAATGTTATTTGTTATTGAAACAATTTATTTGCTTCACATTTAAGTATAATTAACTAATTGTGACATTTTTGTGTACCTCTAGCTTTGTGATAATTTAGTGAAATGAGGTTACACTTACAGGACATAAAAGGGCTTGGTTTCATAAAACTTATTACCATATGAATCATCTATAGTATTGAATATGTAATTTGAAAACTAGGCTATGAGTAATGCCTGTTTTAGTTAACTCAACATAATTAAGTCAAAGTCAAAGTCAAAGTCAAAATCATTTATTTCAATTAGGCCAGAATGGCACTTTTGAACGTCAACAAAAACAAAAATTTAAAGTGAAGCTATTTGCTCATTCCAAGGCGTAGATTCCTATGGAGAAGAACGAGCAAGAAACTCCATAGGTTACTCTTTTTCAATCAGGTTCACAATACAATTTACTAGTTACATAGTTTTGCTGTTTGGATTGTGCGAGAACAATGTAAGTCATGCTGATAAAATTGTATGATACTATAATTTACTTTTTAAAATGTAATACATGTTGGAATGTACACATATACCTTGGTATGTCTTTGAGGAAAAAATACCAATCTATAAATAAACATGACTATTTTAATCAAACAATAATTGACACACCTAATGTAATAATGGAATATTAACATATCAAAACATAAAAATAAAAAGAAAAATCTAGTTCTACATATTATTAACAATAGTAAAGTTTAATATAAAAAGAGGTGTCAATTGTTAAGTAATAATATTACAATATTTCGAGTTTCTGTGGGTTGAATGTTGCTCATGAGTTGTATAAACAATTACATGTATACGTAAACAAATATTGAATTGAAGGTCCTACTTACTGCTTGCGAAAATGTTGTATTGTCAAGTAAGCTGAAAATGGCATTGACATGGTCTGATAACAATATTGCAAAATAGTCTTTTGTTTACCCAATTACATTCACAGTGAAAATTGTTTTAATGCTTGCATTTCATTTTTGTTATACAAAATTTTTCCTAGACGTTAAGTTATGCAAATCATATTCAGTATATGGTCTATATTTACATGCATGATTGTAGAGATGACATTGAGACAAATCAACTAGTTACATAACTTAGGTGTTTACATACTTGGTCAGTAATTATAACTTTATTATTGCATGTTGTTACAGGAAGTTTAAAATATGTTCATCAAAGCTGTTTACAACAGTGGCTGACTGCATCAGAGACAAGGTCTTGTGAACTCTGCAAATTCAATTTCATCATGCATACCAAAATAAAGCCATTTAATGAGGTATGCAATTTTGTTTACATGTTTTTGTAAACCTTTGTTGTATTATTTAATAGTGAAATATTAATTTACACAATATTAGCAGGCCTCTTCAAAGTTATAAGTTAGGCAATGCTAATTAAAAATAATTTGTCAGTGTATATTTTTTAATTTGGAGCTTCCTCATGTCCTTGAATTTTGCAGGACTTAGTTCATTGGAATAAAGTCATCAAACCAATTTCTCATATATTATGTTGATACAAAAATGCAACAATAGAAATTACAACTTGCATCTAAGAATTATGAATAACTGCAGTTAAAAATATTCAGACAGATATAAATTGGAGGTTTTATTTAGCTTAAAAATAAGTAACTATTTAAATGATGTATCTTACAATAGACAATAACAAGGTATTTAGAAGTCTATCAATAGATGTAAACAAAATATTCGAGTTTTAGTGTGATTAAATAAAATCAACATAATAATAATATATTTGGTCTATAATGAACCAGTTGATATTTAGGCAAGAGACAATTAAGAAATGTTTGCTATAGTAAAATGCCATTGTTTTGTTTTTGTATTCTAGTGGCGTTTGTTAGAGATGTCCGGTGTGGAGCGCCGGAGACTGTGCTGTGCTGTACTGTTCCACTGTGTCGCTGCACTCTGCGTCATGTGGTCCCTCTTTGTACTTATTGAACGAGCCGTAGAAGAGGTCAACCGTGGGATGATTGGTATGGAATTATACTAACATATTTTAATTACACTCTTACATATTTAGACAATTCAACAGTTTTGTTGTCAAGATCCATTCTCATCACACTTTCGATTTTCGATTTCCAGGTCATTCAGGCTAGGAATTCGATAGTTATTTTTTTAAAGGGAAACACATTTGGACGACTATCCTAGACAGACTAATAAAATATTATAATGTTCAATTTTATGATTAAACTAACTTGTTCCAGCTTGGCCTTTTTGGACAAAATTGGTAGTTGTGGCTGTAGGATTTACTGGCGGCGCAGTCTTTATGTACATACAATGTCGGCAATATCTGCACCTTTGTAATCGTTGGCGAGCACACAACAGGTAATTTTTACAACTAATATTCTTTCACATTAGATACTTTTGAAGTACCATGAAGTTTAATAAAATATTTTTGACAGGATACTATTAATTCAAAATGCGCCGGAGAAGATCCCAATCGGAGGTGGATCTCCACCCGTGCGAGTGAAGAGACGCGAGAGAAGCGCGCGCGGGCAAGTGATCGCCAACATCGAGCCGCCGCCGCCACCCGCCGCTTACCACGAGGAGGACGAGAGCGGCGGCTTCGAGACCTACCGCGGCAACCCGCACCGCCGTCTGTCCGCGCTGCCCGACCCGCGCCCCGACGACACGCGCCGCTACTCCGACACGCGCCTGGCGCAGGCGTGCGACGAGGCCGCCGTGTCGCCCGAGCGCGGTGGCGTCTACCACATCAGCGTGGACCCGCTCGAGGCCGACATCCGCTCGCTGTTGGCGCTAGAGGCGCGGCGCGCCGCCCGGGCCGCGCGCTCGCTGCCCAACCTACGCGCCTCGCGCGAGACGTTGCTGCCCGCGGCCCCCACCGGCCCAGGCCCCGCGGGCCCCGCACCCGGACCCCCCGCGGCCGGGCCCCCGGCGCCGGCCCCCGCAGCCTCCTGAGGCCCGCTCCTGCTGTACCCGGACGACACGGTGTACTAGCGGGTACTAGCGGCGTAGTGTGCGAAGTGTGCTTGGTGCGTGTACATACTGACATGGATCTTGTAAATACTTATTATCATAATAATAGTTCAGGCGTCGCTCGTTAAGGCCACCGCAAGACCGCCCGATAGATACTTATTCCCTGTCCTTGCATTTTGTACCATAACGTCCATATGTGTACATAGCGTAAACAGATTTAACTCCATGTTTTTCGTGATAGCAATATTAAGTAATTAAGGTTTGATAGTAGACCGCTTGCAAAATATAATTAGTAGGTAATAGGTATGATACTGTTGCCAGTTACCTTGTAGAAAATTGTCCATATTCTTTAATCCAATCGTACAATATTTCTTAAACTTACTCCAACTTTCCAAAAGCCATTTTAATAAAAACCATGCTTCTGACGTTCGTTATATAATTTACAAGTCCATACTAACATCTTCATGCAAATATTGCGAAGTATGCTGAGCATGTGCTACGAGTATGAGAGATTTTAACGCTAAACTTGATGAAGGGTGATACATCAAACTATAATATCCAATAAGTAGATATCTCAGGTTTATATTGGATTTGTGTATAATGATGTACCATCGCTTGAACACTCGTGACTCATGCGTAGCGTCGTTTGCTTAAAAGTCAAACAATTTACTACTAAGCTTCATGTATTTAGAGTCCTTATTAATCTGCTAGATTTGCGAAACTAGATACTGAGCTGATAGTATTGTCCAATCAACTGCATTTGAAAATATTGGAATAAAATTCCACAAGATAATGCATGTGTGTTTTCTATGTGTAGATTAGACATTCATATACTTTTAATAAGTACATCAATTATTCAATGCTTTGTCATCGCGGGATACAAGATCTTAATACTTTTGTCGAACTAAACTTTAATCTTCCAATCTAGATATATATTTTTCTCTAAATATTATTTGGGACTGTAGTTCAGTCAACTTTATTTAAAACACCCTTAAAATATTGTACTTGGAAGTATTATTTGTAACTTTTGTGAAAATTTAATATTGTGTTTGGGGTTTTCGATACTTGATTGGTTTGTGCCACATGTTCGGACTCGTATATTATAAACTTGTCCAGCACCATCGCAGTGTGGGTTATCAATGATAACCTAAACCCAATTGATTAAAACATTGATAACTTATCATTTATTGGGATTTATCAAAGGAAATTAACAATGGGCTGTTCAGTATACTTACGTCCTCGATAATTATGTGGCACTTGTATTCACACTGCCGTTATGAGAAAACAAGCTTATAAAACTACGAACTTTTGACGTGCTTCACCCGCGTCGAATTTAGAAGATCTCTTGCGAGTATTGCAAGAATATTAGGATAAAAGTAATCTATGTCAATCCCTGAGAAGTAAACTTTCCAATAGTGAAATAATTTCTCAAATCGGTCCAGTAGTTTCTGTGTTTATTCAATGCAAACAAACAAACAAAAATAATTCCTCTTTATAATATTAGTATAGATTGATTTTTATTCTAAAGTAAATGTTGTAAATAGGAGTTCAATTAACTTCATAAAAAATTATATGAGGTAAATGTACACACACTTTTGGTAATTCCAAATTATTATTTCGCGGTTTTATTTTAAGTCAATTAAAATTAGGTACCTATCGTGTGTTCTCTGTCCAATTTTCCGCCTATCATAAATAAATTGCAACGCAACAACATAGGTGGGTACCTCCCAGCATCTTATTATCCAGTTTGTGACTTTCTTATCTTAAATATAAAGGTGCCTATGAAATTACCAGGCCCTGTCAAATGTGTACTCAGTCGGCTCTCAAGGCGCCCGCGCGCTCCCCGCTACCTCTTAAAAATAAACTTCAATAACAATTTATAACTATCAAAAGATAATTAATAGTCGCGCAGCTTCCACGTTATATCATAAAATATAGAATCAAGTCCAAAGATTTTATTTTATTTATTTTATGACTGATCACTCTTTCATAATTCTATGAGTCAGATATCATCGCGTGTTCGATGTTTTATTATTTCTGTTTTTTTCTTATCCTATTTCAACTGTTTAGAATATTTCCCTACAACAAATGCTACCTATATTTCTTTATCTAGGCCAGTCATAATTATTTTTCCGATGCCTGCATGTGTGTATGAATAGGATTTATTGTATCACAACATGTATTGTAGGCTGGTATAATGCTTTGCGAAGGAACTGGTGGAAAATAAACAAGTCACATGTGTTTCTATACATGGACATATGTATCGTTAATTCTTTGTTACCTTTAATAATTTTAGATCGGATTTCTAAGTTTACTCAAGTCCCGCCGATATGTAAACAAAACTGTAATTGCTGTCACCAAGCTTAATTATTCCGTCTTATAAATTAAAAGTGCAATATTCGCTATGTATACGGATACGAGCGAGCCTTCCAAAAGAGGCTCATATAATGAAAAACAAGGAAAATCTAATTGGCCCTAAAGCAAGAAAGTAAAAAAAAGAAATAGGAACAGTTTTGATTGTCGTAAGATGTTTCTAAAATAGCTAGTACTTTTTATTGACAATATTGTGTTGTATATTCTGCACTACTGGTGCATTTAGTTAAGAAGTTAATTTAAATGTTGACTTGTTTTTAATTCAGCCGTAATAGTCTTGAAGAACACATCCATGACACCAATCTGATGATCTGTTTATGTTGTAGACTGTCTCATGGTGTCTGTCGTGTTTCAAACCATCCCCAATTTATTCTTAAAATAATGTTGAGTACTGCCGGTCCAGTGCTAGGCGTCTCTGACTACATGTATAGGGTGTTTTAAATACACCCATCACATCTAGTGTATGTTGTCTCCCAAGGTTAGAAATCATTAAAACATGTTTCAGCTTAGGTTTAAAATGGTGCCATGTTATTATCTTCTTTTTTGTCTTATTAGTAAATCATCTTGTTCCTCTATGTAAATACAAGTTTTTATTTCCTTTATTATATCTTTAATCACATACAAATTTACTACCGTCACTTTCACTTAGATACTAATTGTAAGAGTTGTTCAATTTCTAAGCCGTACATTTATTGGCCAAATTAATGTTCATGTTTCATTATGTACTATAGTTAGCCGAGTATCAGTGTTTTTGTATACCACTTTTAGTTACATCCAATTCAAATAGAATGATCAGTTTTTATTAAACATTTAACTGGAATTTTAGTGCATATATTAATTAAAACGTAAACATCGCTATTGAATTTTAGGTAGATAGTGTTTAAATAAAATAGTTCGGACTTTGGTGCTAAATAAAAATGAATATCAGTCCAAAATTAGGTATCATATATTTTAGTACGCAAGAAATAGTTGATGAAATGTCCTAGTAAAGTCATAGTTTTCTTTAGATCGGTATGTATAACGACGTGAACATTCCAAACTTATATGTTCGACTTCAACACGTACGTTCATATTTATTAGTTGTGCAATTGACAAGCGTAACATAATTCTTGATGATGTAACACAAAAACCGGACTGTTTACTTCCACGGCATGAGAGTGTGCCATACCTATGCATTTTGCTTTATTTTCATTCTGTTAGTATCAACATTAAAAATGCCTTCATTTACGTATAACTTTTCGATACAATACAATTGAAACTAGTCGTTTTCATTGATTATTATGTATATACACTGCATGTGTCCAAACACTATTGTTTCTGTTTATAATAAAATTGTATCATCTCTTTTGTCTCAACTTTATTAGATATTTTACTCATATTAATTATTCATGTTGTATATTGTAAATTTATTGTATAATGGCTAATTATAACTGAAGTATGGTGATGAATGGTAAGTCTGTTGTGTGTGTGCAGTGAACGAATGCTAGATGTCTCTGCAGGGTGCTTGGGGATGAATCTTAACGTTACATGCGTATTATGCACTTACTTTCGTGTACTTACATTGTGTTTACATATCACATAAAATAAAAACGAAATTTAAAATCTAAAGCTCTTGTAAATAATCGCTTGGAAAATATACGATCTCAATGCTTGTAACAAACGTCCATCTCCATGAGTCTCGCGTGCTACGAATGCTTATTCCAGGGTTTTGTTTCAAATGAAATAAAGTAGTGCCTTATTTGATGTTCTTTGCACTTATAATTATTTCAAAGATTGTAACAAAGACATTACTTAATGGCTATTTGATTTTTCTTTGGAGTCAAAGCAATAACATCGGTCATCGCTAGAATGACATGTAACAAATGGTTGAACTAGATGTAAGTGTCCTAGCCCGAGACGCCACCCTAGTCTGTATAATGTGATTTGTGATATAAGTTATTAGTGTTATTTGTTTGCTCAAAATTACTTTCTCCTTTCGATCTGTGTACTTATGGTTCATGAAATTTGTAAGACTGTATTTTATTTTGTTGTGTAATATCGTTAGTAAACTTCGGGTTATGAATATAGTTATTTTGAAATTAATCTTGTTATTATTAACCTTTCAGTTTGTATATAATGTACTTTGAAATAAAACGATTATAAATTAATAAAAATAAATTATTTATTTAAGGTTGATCGAATTTCATTCTCGTGGGTACGACCGGAGCTCTGATCGCAGTGACTAGACTGTACACTCAACATTTCTCATAAGTATTCATAAACAATATATTTCTGTTCAAACAGAAAATCAACACTTAGTAAATAAACATTACATTTCTACTTAATGTAAATATAAATTATATCACTAATACTCGAGTATTAGAATAATTAAATCCACCGAAAAATAATATTACACACTGCCAGGAGCATATTACAATAGCTTCCTAAAATTAATTTTGTTAGTCTTATCGTTGCTAACCCAACAAGTCATTACGTCTAATATTGTCTGGCGCCTGCAGCTAACCGCCGTTAACCATTATAAAAATCAGTCCATTGTACTATGACGACAAACTAGGTCATTAGGAATACAGTCTACACGGATCGCAAGAATATAATATTGCGAAGTGACTGAGGACGGTTCGTTTTGTCGTATTCGATTCAATTTGACTTTTAAGAAATATGGCGAATATTTTTTAGTTGTTTATTTGCCACAATGGTTAGGAGCTTAGCCCTATGACGGTAGTGTATCGCGTGCGAGCGGTGCGCCGCTAGAACTCCGTGTCACCGAGCACGTTGTACATCAGGCGTTTGAATGAGTTCGACTGTTGAATGTGCTCTTCGTGTAAGGAGTTCACCTGGAACAATCGTAACATTATAATATTAATACAAAGAATTTGAATGCCAATCATGGCAACTTGCGATTGATTTTATGGTCTGTCTCTTGAATTTGATTAGACTCAGTGCTGACATCTAGGAAGAAGTTATAACTTACGAAGGTCGTTTGTTTTCCTTTCGGCTTCTCTTCAGGCTTAATTGGTCTCGGAACTGGCTTCTGAAATGTTTTTTCTTGTTTATATTTTTGTGGTGATTATTGAGGATACTAAAAACTTACTGGAAGCAATGTCAACTTGGGTTAAAAATTAGACAGATTTTGTTTGGACTAACTTATTGAGTCACTGAAGCCGTTGTAGGTAAGCAAGTATGAGTGAGTACCTTGTTGGCGGGCGCGGTGAAGACCTTGGGCGTGACGGGCGTGGGCACCTCGTGCAAGTCGCCGGTGATGCCGTCCTCCTGCAGCGCGCGGAATGTCTCGGAGCGCGCGGGGTCGTACTGGACGGTGGGCTTGTGACTGCCGCGCCGGGTTAGGGTTTAGTCGGCGGTAGTGTTAGCGGGCGCAACACAATCAGAGACAGAACACATTAGATACGACTCGAAGGACGTTAGAGGGACGCGGAAGCGGTTAGTGAGTACGGAAGTTTAGTTTTGTTTATTTTTCAGGAAGGAAAGGTCGATAAAAATACTAACATTAATTATGTAGAATAAGTCCTCTACCTTAATAATATTATTTAGCTCAAGTATATAAATAAGTATAAATAACTTAAGACTAGTTTGTGTATAGTGATGGCCACACTGGTCGCGATGTAGTCGCGTGATCGTGGGCTCCGACACGGCTGGCAACATGTCGACGTCGTCACCATGCTTGACGGTAAGAACTGAGCGTGAAGTGAAAGAGACCAAGACGGCAAGATACGAAAAGAGCAAAATAAAAATAAAGAAAGCATTAATGCATCATGAGGATGGGCGTCGACTGTTGTTTTGGCGGCGTTCTAGTAAAACACTTGCCTCTTGACAACGTGCGGCCGCCCGTAATGGCCGTTAGCGCTAAGTAAGCAAAGAAATACTCCATTATTATATTGAATTTGATATTCACGCAATGCCCCGGGGTGTTTCTTGTATTTGTTATGTGTATTGTACATGTAGGTAGGTAGGTACCTAGGTTTATTGCAGCACCACACTGAAAGTACTGGAATAGTCACCAAGTCCTGTTTGCTTCTATTGCATAGCGGCAAAGCAAGGGATATTCCAAATAATTATTAAAGAAAACGTATTTACAGAAATTCCGTCACTTTGACAAGTACATCTGGTTATGTAACGGTTGTTTTGGCAATCGTCCATGTTGTTCAAATTCATTGCCAAGATATGCGTAGTCTGAGATGACTGATGCTACATTTACTTAACGTTAACTAACTGTAAGTCTTGTAATATCTCAGTACGGGGCAGATGGCCCTTTAAACCAGTCTATAAGAGCTGGAGTCAGTGTGGGTCCTCTCAGCATAAGGCCAAAAGGAAATAACTTCTAATAAAAATATGAACTGTCAGTCTATGCAGATACTCACGGCAACGGCGAGGTCTGTTGCCTGATAGAGTTAGCGATGTTCTGTTCCGAGTATAGATTGATCGGCGAGTTGAACTGCTTGTGCACCACCTGAAGAGATACGAAGCCATATTAGTACAACTGGCCAATATTTCTTCACTGCACAAAATAACAATCATTAAATGTGTGAGAGAGCAGCTACAACATCTCAATATCAAAAAGTTAACACACCAATTGTTCACAGTTAAACATTTCATCGGAAAATATTCAGCAATATTTCAATTTTAAATAAACAAAAAATGTAAACCGATATCAAACGTTTCGTGACAAGGCTGTTTTACATAAAAATAAACGTATTGAAAACTGTAATTCTTAAAAAAAAACCAAGATTTCGGTTAACATTTTATGTAATAATTTGGGTAAGTAGTTACTCTCTTATATTGATGAATGAAAACGATTTCAAGTCATAAAAGCTCAAACAAGATGGCGTATAGACACATGAGTTCATGAGATTGACGATACTTTGCAAGAGACATTTAGTAGAATAACAAAATTATCTAAATAATCAAGGGTAAATGATAATATTTTTGTGTATGCAATTGCAAGGTATCGTTTGATCGACCGGCTTCGTATCGGAAGTTTGTCGCTGTCATGCTCGAAGCAGACACAGTCCACACAAGTCAATTACTGCACCACCTTGTTCGCTTCTTCGCCAACCACTCGCTGCAACACCGACTCTGCCACCTGAGTTTTTATGAAAAATACTATTGTACTATACAATCCGTGCGCTACATTTATTATTGTCGTTAATTCTTTATGTGGAGTCAACAAGAAGGAAGATCTTTTATATTATAACTGTTACGAGACATATTAAATTAATTGTGCTTTACAACTAGCTTTAAGTCACAATAGGGACTCATATTCATGAGCTACATAGCGTGACATTACTAAATAAGCCTTAAAGTATATTGACGAAGATTTTAGGAAGATCTTTTTCTAAATTTCAATTTTATAAGAATTATATTCTTCTGCAACATCTTTATTTACGTTATAACTCCCTTCTTATTTCTCTATATATGCGTGTAAAATATACATTTCATTTTCTGTTTGCTTTCTTGCTTACAGTTTTAGTATATGAAACAGTGAACTGTATGTGTGTACGTGCAATGTTTGTGCGTGTATTGTGTAGCGTGCAACATCTAATAAGTAATGTATCTACAAAACTGCATTATTATTTTTTCTAGACCTTCTAAATCTTAGCATTTGAGAGACTAAGTAGGTATAATAGATTGTCTGATATCATCAAAAATGTTACACATCGCTGTAAAAACGGCAAAGCTTCTTATCTCGTTACATTTGACAATTAAATATGTTTCACATTTTATAGCACATTATTTCTAGCAATGCGTATAAAAATATAAGTTGATTCAGCGGTGTAACGCCACAGACGAGTGGGATTCCATTTATAACGTCATAAATATTTCCACCGCGTGCGACGGGGATCGTGGAAAACGTTATAATGGATCCAACATACTTATATACATATATCTCCTTATTATTATTTTCTAAGGAAGTATTTTAACTGCTCTCAAGATAAAAGGCACTTATCTGTGTCTGTGAGTAACTGCAAGGTTGGTTCTGTGTTTATTGGTTTGTGCTAGAATCATTTACAGTGAAATTTCACGAAAATGGTTTGGAGCATTGTAATTTACAATTTGAGTTTTGAAACTATGCCAGCTACTTAAACTCACATTTCAACAGCAAATCAAAAATGTTTATAAATGGTTTAATTAAAATTTCATTTCATATGTAGTAAGACCAAGAATGGTTCCTTGTGGCATTCCTTATTTTCGTCGATCGCAAAACTATTTAGAAATCCGTTTACTTTGGGTTTTTAACTTTATACATCCAATAAGACATTTGTAATACAAACTTCTGTATTAGACATTTAAAAGTAATGTATAGAGATTCAACGCTTCACGTTACCGTATCAAACGCTTGAGATTGATCAGAGAAATTTCGATCCTTTTTATTGTGATAAATCAAGTATGTTGGTGTTACCTTCTGTCTCATAAGGGTGTCGCGGTAGTCGTGGCTGGGAGGCGCACGCATAGCGGGGTTGGGGTGGTGACGCAGGTAGCTCTCCGTGGGTCCAGGCTCACGTCGTACCTTCGCGCCGGGCAGTACCAGGGGCGTCGTGCGGTATGGCTAAAAGTTAATTAAAAGTATTCATTTAGAAGATAGAGGATCATGTTAAGTTTTTGACTTCAAACCTAACAAATCCATCCTAAATAATGTTGCCTTATTTTCACAGCCAAATAATATATTATGCGAATCCTATTCATGTATTTCGAGCTCTGTTATGTATTTGTGTTACTCATAACGCTTTAATATTTAAAACATTGGTTGGATTGCAATTTATATCCAATCTTGTAATAGTAAATGGAAAGCCAATGATGTTAGCATGAAATACACAACCATGATCTAGAATAGTTGGCTCACATCACACGCTAATAATAGTTCACGTAGTAGGCACATAAACTACATAACACCGTAAAACAAACAGTGTTCAACATAAAATTTGTAATTTGTTTTATTGCTTCAGTTTACTGAGGTTTTGCACATTCAAATAAAATCTCATGGTTGTCACATTAAGTGACCTTTTACATTTAACAAGGTCGTAGACGCTGCAATTAAAATACCAATGTTTTCCTTCAAAGTGTGCGTAAATCTGTCAGAAGCTGACACTAATCAGACACCATTTCTCTAGAAAATGTTGGGTATCTACGAGAAAGATTAGCTGCTAAACCTCGTGGCGTACTTCACGTCGCGTCTAATTATAACGCGAGGTTATTCCATGTGGGTTATGATATGACTTCTGACACGATTTCGTTTTATTTATACGAATCTATGATATGTGTGCCGTGGTCATATTTCAGATTCAAAATCCGAACTAAGTAAATACTCGAAGATTGGTTGGAGATGCTAGGATATTGAATTTAGTAGAGTAAATATTGTTGCCGTAGAAATAGTGCCAATACATCCAAGACCGTCAGTGCTATTTCTCATCGACAGAGCTGACTAACTAGATAGACTAAGGAATAGCGTGGAAAGAATATCGAAATTAATGTGTTTACTATCAACACATAAATGACTAATTGATTAATGATGATGATGATGATGTTTGGGCACGTAATGTATGCTCCAGAGAGCTGGCTATCCGTTAGTATCGAATATGTGCCAATGAGCAAACAACAAGCCTCGTTTATTTGCGGCGATGTTTACAAAAGCGGGGGCTTTCGCCACTGACGCAACGTTCTATGTTGGTCGAAGAAGTTTAATTTGACTAAATGTAAATAATCTCAGTAATACTCATTCATTACCAAGAGCAGTATTTTTAAATAATTGGCTCGTTCTGCCTCCGAATTATTACTGAAAGTAGATAAACCGATAAAAATTGAGCTACACGTTTCGTAGTCTAAATATTGGTACATTTAGTCTTGATTGTTTAATATGGCGCTAAAACATATATGCTTTAAATCTGATAGGAATATAATATATATAAATATAATCTGATAATAAACCGTGAATTTGGTGAGTTTTGTTAGACTTTTCTACGGAGGATGGATTGCAATCTTAGTAAATAGGAGCTTTAGGCAAGTAGGTCCCTACTGTGATACAATTTATGGTCCTATAGGGACGTAATATACCAAGATCACTGGATCAACTGCTTAAGTATTTTATATTGAAAGGTCGATATGATTTTAGTACTCATTTCCACTACAGTTCTGTAACTTGGGTTTTACATCGAAATTGGAATCTTGGCATGGAGACTACTCTACATTGACATTACATATGGTAACAATCACGTCACATTTTCGTGTTGAAAGATCAAGTGGGTGTAAAAAATGTAGAGAAGTGACATTGATGCTAAAATAACTTCCCAGCTGGCGATTTAATATCAAAAAGTCTGTTATTTTGTCCTCGAAGTTCCGACGACCCCCGCCGGAATTCTGAAGGCTGACAACCGAGTAAGCGTTATATTGACTTTGAATCTGGGTTAGTAATTTAAAAGAAAACTCTATTGTTACCTACCTACATATAGTCATGTGCTTATTTATTAGTAGCTTACAAAATTAAAATCCTTTTTTATTTTAAGACAGAAAATATGGGCCCTTTGCCCACCAAACTTTTACCGGATCCAAAAACCAGATCCATAAAAATAATATCGTCGGTGTAATTATTCAAAGCGACATTGGACTTTGTTGATATACAATTTCATAGCTTCATAAAACGCATATCCTGTTGTAAACTCACTTACATTTTTTTCCGGAAAATTACATCGTAAATCTTTCATCTTAGTTATTTTGTAACACTACGCGCGTCTCAAGTGCTCCAAATTTAGATTGGGCTTCAACATCCCATGTTACGACCCAGTCGCTGACGTTACACATCGTTTGTAATTTAACAGATATCAATTAATATCACTACACATATTCATTGCGAAGATTTATAGGGGTTTTAGTAGTCAAGAAGTTCTAGGGTTATATGTAGTAGGTAATAGTCGCACGCACCCAGTTGGTGACGACCTCGTCCTCAGGATGCATGGGATCCTGGTACCCGTTGGGGAAGAAATTAGGATTGACGGCCATTGTGGAAGCACTTAGTTGCGCGGACGTGTGCCGGGCAGAGTTTGATCGCGGACTGCCGCTCCAGTCGTCCTCTCCCGAGTAAACAACGCGATTTCAATGCATTCTATTTTGGAAATATGGCGGGAAAATAGGCGTCAGCGTGGGCGAAAACCTCCCGCGCGGCCGCAGAGCCTTGCGCCACATAAAACATGAATAATTTATACGATTTTTCAAATATTTTATAAGCAATGATAAAAGGAGGTTGTCTGTGTTTTGAATTCAGAAAAGACAATTCTTACGATTTCAGTGTACCTAAAAGTTTCCGTCGAAACTACGCCAGCAGCGCCATTATCCACTTCGTTTCTGTATTTAGTTTAATGTGTTTTCCGGTACACAAAACATTTCAATGTCGATGAAGTCAGTACCTACATCTATTGCAAATTGTATTAGAAATACGACCGCAGCAATCGTCTATTATTGTGATTCATGATTCAGAAAACCGATTTAGCCTAGCTCGGGAACGTTCTAAAACTTGGATGAATTATTGCTACATTTCAGTAACTTTGCTATGTGTACTTATAAAGTTTGCTTTATAGGCAATGTTGTCGGGTGTTCTAATAATCTAATCCGAGTGCTTCTAATTAATAACTTAACATCATTAGACCATAACATTTTGGCGGGTGTCCAACTACGGAACGTCACGCGTTTGGTTTAGCAAAACACCGTTAACCTATTTGTTGAAAATCAAGGATACATGTGTTGAAAATGAAGAATTATGCGAAACAATATCAACAACCGATAGAAGTGATAACTTGTTTCACAAGTAAGTAGTGGCCTGCATAGCTAAGGAAAATGAAATATTCTAAGTGACACCACGGGATGTTACACGCTACGAGTATAAAGAAACGGCCTACCATTTGGCAAAGTATCAAAGAAAAATGATGAAGAATAGTAATCAATTTAACGATTGATCATAAATTCTTATAATTTCAAATAATTATGTCCTTCGAATGTTTAATAAATATTTTTAATTTCGATTGGATTTTATTTGAAGTGCTTGAGCCATCAATTTCTACTTCTAATTAACTGTTTAAGTATTTTTTGTGTGGACTGATCTCATCAGATCATTGTATCATCATTCATCATACAAACACGATCCAGATTTCAGTGGGTTATTGAAATGCAGTAGGGACGGCCTGATTTCTATAATTTGCCCGATCCGGAAATCAAATCCCCAAACTTCTTAAATTAGGTTGTGACAACAAAATAAGGAGTCCCATAGTAACAAGATCCAATATTTATCTTTCCTGCATCTATTTCTTATAGCATTGTTGGTTGCATCAACTTTTACCACGAGAACTATCTTGCTTGAAATTGGCGCTAGAGTCGCTAATGAGACCTAAAATCTGTAACTAAATAGACAGCTAAAGTGACTAAACATGAAGGACCTACTGCTACATTAGCGTATTTTTTTTTATCGCGTGCAAGTATAAAACTTGCTCTTCAGTCAATCAAGTACAATTTTGTCTACTCTAATGTTTGTGTCATCGTTTTAATTAGAGTAACCCTTCTCCGTGGAAATAAATGTGCAATGGAGACTAGCCGTTTATTGATCACCAGATGGCACTAACATAGTCTATTTGACCAATCACTATACCTAGCTGACACAAATTAAACATCCAATGGCGTGACATTAGCCTTTTTTAAGGGGGGAAAAGGGACGGGGATGGAGGAGGAGGAAGGAGTGAGTGACAGACTCTTACTGACTGAATACTGAAGTACCTGGGACACGTCCTCGAGAGTCGGCGGAACTTCGTGGAGCATTTCTGACGTTTGACTCCTAAGTTGGAAAGGACGGGGGCGGCGCTTAAATACGCCGGGATCGTGCGATCCATGGCCCTCTACGGCGCCCCTGTGTGGGCGCCGAACCTGATGTGGCGGCCTGCTCGGGCGCTGCTGACGTCACAGAGGGTCATGGCGATCCGAATAATCCGCGGATACCGCACAATCTCCGCGAAGACGGCGAACCTCCTTGCCGGATTACCGCCGTTGGATCTGGAGGCGAAGGTGCTCGCGCGCGTGTTCTGTCTGCGCTCGGAGGCACTCCGTCGGGGCGAAACTCCGCTGCCGCACCAGAGTGCGTGGCGGGAAGAGCTCCGGCGCGATCTCATGGCCGAATGGGAGTAACGACTGTCGTTGCGACAGTCGTTACTTCCATTCGACTGCTGGGCATTCGAGGGCTGGGCTCGCTACCATTACAGCGGTATCCACTTTGAGAGACGCTACGTCGTCCTCACCTACCGCCTGACGCAGGTCCTCACCGGGGATGGGACCCTCGGGAGTTACCTATGTCTGATGGGGCGGGAGGAAACACCCGGGTGTCATCACTGCCGTCTCTTTCTTTTACGAAGCAGTAATGTTTGCTAAGGAGGAGGCGGGGCGCGTGAGGCACCGCTTCGCTGTGAGTCACAGCCCAGCCCGGCCCAGCCACCTGCTCGTCCCGAAGTACGCTCCGGGCGTCGGGGATCGCGGGACGATCTCCGGCCACCGTAAGCACGGGCCTAAGGACGGCGAGCATGGGTAGCTCGCCGCCCGACCAGAACCTGACCCGAATGTACGGCGCACCGCGTTACGCCCGCGCCTTAAAGAGCCATCAGGCCACTACGGATGAGGCCCAATAGGGCTGATGCCGATACGGAGCCGCAGAGGACTTAACGGGTTGCCGGGGCTCCGGCTTGAAGGGCAGGAGTAGGAACGGGGTGGTTTTTAGTCAGTAAGAGTCTAACACTCCCTCCCGGTTCACCCAGGCGGCGATGATTTTTCCCCGTTAAGAAAAAGTGCCATCTGGTGAGCAAAAACCTGTATTAAACAGTTCCTAGTGGTCTACAACATACTTACGATACCTGTAGTGTTGCAGATATACAGAGGCTACAGTAACTGCTCGATATCAGTGTAGCTATAACTTATAGCCTACAAGCTTTATTGCTACCAACACTAGTATACCAAAAACAGTACTAACCTGGCTTTGAATGGACTCGTCAAGTGTGTCATCAGTACGTGTGGAAGTCGGTGAGAGCATTAGTGTCCTGTACTCGCCCTCCAGTTGCAACGGGTAGGTGTAGTGAGGCAGGCCGGCCGGGCCCGCGGGACCGTGCGGTGGGACCGGAGTGCGGGGCAGAGACTCGGGGCCACGCCAGCCTGGCTGTGGGCTCGGTGTCCTGCGAGTGACACAATTTATTATACTTATATACAATGGGATGCGGATTTCCTTTGACTTTATCATTGACTTTTAATCAAGTATTACATAACTGGTGATGAAAAGTTCGGGTCACATTAAACATATCTCTACCAACCTCCATCATTTTGGAGATAATGTCTTATAATCACATGAAAAAGATTTTCCACCTTCCAATAAGAACATCCAGTGTTGTACAAAGGTATACTCATTTTTTCTGTTCTCATAAACCCAATAATACTTTTGTGCGAAAGAATATTTAGGATTGTCGAAAAATAAGTTTAAAAGAAAGTCTAAGGTTAATATTAGCCTTGGTTAAGTTATACATCATCTAGTAAAAGTTTACGAATTTCCATTCGTAAGCTAGTTCACACAAATATCATCTACAGAGTTCAATCCTATGTGACAGCTGCAATGTTTTGTAAACTTTGCTTTTAATAGAATCAATGAGAGACTGACCTTTGGCTCAATCTCTCAGTTCGGTATGCCGTTAGCCCGTTATTATTGTATGTTCTTTTTATTCCATAGGACATTTAATTCATTGTTTTGTTCCCCAAGACCTGATTTAATACTTATTTAACACAAATGTTTAGGACACAAAGAATTTAGTCTCCTCGTGTCATTGACTTTATATTTTTGGCAGCTTTGATAGTGATGCATCATAATTTATTTTGGCATTGATTGCCGTATTTATATAACGTTATTTATTATGTGGCAGCCGCCGAATATTTATCACTTGCGATCACTTCACATTCTATACTAGAGACAGTCACATTGGGTGCTGATATGAGTGAAAGGATGGTATGGAAGTTGTTTCAAAGACTGCAATAATGTTCTTCTTATCCATCTTGTTGTAAAATCGTTGTAAAGAGGTCTTAAATGTATAATATAATGGAGCGAATGATACCTGTATGGTGCTGCAGCCGCCATGGGTATCGGTGATCGTGGCGCCATCGGGGTGGTCGAGCGCGGCCCGTCTCGGTCCACGTCCCTACACACCGTGCACAATGAATATGACTCGAACGTGGATTCACGTCAATTCCATGCAGTGTTGGTGCCAACTTTATGAAGTATTGACGACGACAAATATCAAATTATACTCACTAGACCATTTCGAATTTAACCACGATATAGATCAATGTAATTTTACTAATTACATCGCCTTAAAAATATTCGAAGTAATCCAGTGGTAAGACTAAATGTGTTTATCAACATATAAAGGAAGGATGCAATGCATTTAGTATATACCTTATCAACCTAGACATACAACTCTGTTTCCAACATCAATATATTATAATAGAAAATATGCATAACATAAATATGAATAGTAGGTACAGTTCATGCATAGAGTTGTCGACAGCATACAGGATGTTACGTACAAACTGACGGGGATAGAACGTCTGTTCCAACAACAAATAGTCTTTCAAGTGTATAAATATTTTAGTTATTTGCAAAGTTTTTCTACAACACCGATATAATTACCCATGCTTAAATATTTCTCAAAATAGATTAACAAAAATAAATAGGTAATAGAAGGGCTAAATATAACAAGCAAATAGTTTAAATATTTCACGACGAGCTCTTTCAAAATGCAACGTGATACTGAATCAAAGGGTTTTGGACATGGATATTTATCAATTTAGCTTTATTTTAATGACTAGCTTTTAATTTGTTTGCTCATGTGTTGAGCTCATTCGCCGAAAAGTTTTTACAATATTATCAACCTCACTATTCATTTGAGATGTTTTATTTCAAAATTAAAGTGATTTCTTGGAGTACAATTTGGGGAATTCAGTATCACCAAGAACATTAATAAACATCTAGGTGAAGGGCAACATGGATGACACCTAGTGCAGTTCTTACTCAGCGAACTCGTGATAGAAGGTAGGCGTGGGCACGCGGCCTACAAAGCTGCCCGGAGACCGAGGCAACGAGTACAGGTGTGCACTAGCGCCGCCCCTGGAGTACACTTACTTATCTTTACCAGGAAATATCCATAAAGGAAATCAATACCTTAGAAAGAAAATGGCAATCGTGTTGGAGAGACACCGTTTATTGTGGTATTGTTTGCAAATACTCCCAGACATTCGTTGATAGACTCAACTTTTAATTGTGTTTTTTTAGCTTTTCGGTTAGAATTTTATCGTACCTCTGTAAAATACCGATATATCTAAGTTAATATAGTTACGACTCATTACCTTTGCACTACAAGCTTGATCTGTTTGGGTGCATTCCTGAAGAGATTCTGTGCATCTTCGTGTCGCAGGTCGCGTGCGTCGTAGTCGTCGATTTTGGCAATGATGTCTCCACGGACCAGCTCTTTGCCAGCGGGAGTACCCGGTGTCACCTGGAAATTAAAAGATTTATCAACATCAGAAGTTGAATACTTTTGCTAATAATCGTATAATTATTTAAGTATCTATGAATAAGAAAAATTCTATTGAAATAAGATTTTATTGTTTATTTTGTTCGTGGTCTATTAAAATAAATACTGGTGGTAAATTGCTTATTTCGGATTTATTATAAGAGATCCGGTTTAGTTCTGTAACCAAGTGTATACTGCTGCTGCAAAGCGAAGTTCAAAGAGCCAGTGTGTCAATCTCAATGCGTCAATGTTTATCCAAACTGAATATATGGAGGTGTTTGAAGTCCACCATTACGGGAATTCTACGGAAAACGCCCCGCATCAAAGGATCGTTTTATTTTACTGGGATACTTTACAACTTCGTAACAAACTTTACATATTTTACGAATAAATATGTAAGTTTGTGAACTATAAACAATGTAGGATTTGTTTTTGGCACTCATCTACGTTTAAATAGGTGTTGCCCGTGTTATACTGTAATATTAACAGGTATGAGACACTTATAGAAAGAGTAACAGACGGGCCGTGACATTCTGAAGTGTGAACCAAGCGTCCATTCGGTTCGGTCACCTTCAAGGGTAAGTGTCACACGATGACGATCCCACCCAGCTTGTTTACTTTCAAAAAAATTCATACTGAAATTAATATTTTATGTTGTTCTTTTTAATGGTTTCTTGATCGTGGTAACAATTTGTATAATGTAACAAATTCCGAGTAGCTTATGTATGATTCAATTTATTCAGTTTAGAGGCGATGGTTATTATACCTACCGATATTTAAGGTTAATTTTGTAAGGGGGGAAAATCATTGAATGACTTCTCCCGCCTGGGTGAGGCGGGAGGGAGTGTCAGACTCTTACTAAATAAAAACCATCCCGTTCCTACTCCTGCACTTCGAGACGGAGCCACGGTAACCCGTTAGGTTCTCAGCGGCATATTTAGGGTAATAGAACAAGCTTGGAGGGTTATTGCGAAGGGTATATACATTGCATACAGTACTAGGTCGACCTTGTGGCTGGGGTAGGGGAGGGGAGGCGCGGGACGTATGCATTGAGTTTGGCTGATGGCCAGGCTAAATGCGTCCGTCGGCGACGCCGCGCCAACCTGACATTTTTTATTGAAAACAACCGTCGGATCGGATGGAGGCCGCATCGCATCGACGACTCGACCTGCGCAAATCCATCACACTCTTCCTCGAGTCAATGGCGAGGACATGCATCTATATTTACTCTTCATCTATCACCGTGGGTCGCGGTTAAATTTTTGTGAGGACGTCAATTTCATTTCACTCGTTTTTGACAGATTTTTTTAAACTTTCCGCCTGGCTAGCGTCCATCCGCATAGCACACATATACGCAAGTGACGTGCGAACACATCCGTCATTTACGTTACAGAATTATCCAGGATTTAGGAGATGCATTACGTTAGGTATGCGATGACTATATCAATATATTATTTACTAGCTTTTACCTGCGGCTCAAAAGGATAAAAAGTAGCCTATGTGACATATACCAATACACACAGCGCCATCTATACCAATAATTTTGTTTTCCCTCGGGAATGTCAATTTTTTCCGGGATAAAAAGTACCCTATTATTCAATCCGGACTTCTAACTTAACGTCTGCAAAAATTGAAAGCAATCGGTTTAGTAGTAAGGGCGTGAAAGCGGAACAAACAAACTCACTTTCAGATTTATAATATTAGTAAGAATAAGGATTGTGTAGTGGTTATTCAACCACTGCAAAAGTCCAAACGTTTTTTATTTGTAGCTGCTGCAAACTTAATTTTAGGGAAAACTGTAATGAAATGTTTTTCTACATAAGTATTCAAATATTTCATCTATGTTGGGCGACGGTTCTAGCGGACTATCTACTGCGAAGTCAGTACGAACAGCTAAACTTGTTTTTGTGAAAACCTTTCTAAGCTAAGTAGATATAAAGCACAACTTCTAAAAATTAGAGCACATATTGCAATAAAATAAATTCGAAACCAGATATATAGAAGTAAAAAACAGGACGTAGGGATTTAATCGGGTTATGTATGTAGAGCAGAGCTCGATCATTGAAATTATTATATTGCTGAAATCACATAATTAAACAGGTGCTGAGTCTCTTTGCCAAGAAGTGACATGAGTTATGACAGTGCTAATTACTCAAATGCTGTTTTTGTAAAAAAAAACCGAAATTGTTTTTTTAAAACCTATATCGATCTATTTAATGTTCTATTGATACGTATTTATTGAATCGATTGACTCATCCCAGCCATATGGAGAGGAAGTAATGAAGGCATTTTAATGGCTCCGTTAGAGAGAAAATTGAGCTCAAGGCTGTTTTTGCGATTGAAGATTTATGGCAGCCAAGGTCAGCGGGAGGATGGATTATTTGCTGAGTGCATTTCTCGTTCAGCAGAAAACAGATGTGAGACATCATGTAGATGTGGCAAACCTAAATGTATGTAGGCCAAATATGACGTCTAGATGTTACAATAAACTGTGTCAAGATTACATTTGGTGCCAATAACATTTCATATATTTTTATTTCTACATAACATAACATCACGCCTTTTATCCCCGAAGGGATAGGCAGAGGTGCACATTATGCCACTGTACAATGTAACACTCACTTTTCACTATTTATGTTATGAGTCCCATGTTGTAGGGGGCGAGCCCAATGCCATATACCGGGCACAATTCTTGACTCCGTGTTACTACTGAGATATTTATTAAAAACCCAGTAATACTTTGCCCGACCCGGGAATCGAACCCGAAACCCTTTCCCCGGCAGTCGCACTTGCGACCACTCGGCCAACGAGGCAGTTTTATTTCTACTCACACGGTATACCTTACCTATATAGTTTAGTTACATACAGCACGGTCTACTCTATCTTACTGAAATCTTCGAAAAAGAAACAACTGTTTATTGCTATAATACTTTTCTACAAGCATAAATTACGTTCTACTGAAAACTATGCTTTGTCTAACCTAAAACCTCTGTTCTCGGTAACTTAGTAATCTTGTAGGAGATTCAGTATCCTGTTCGGAAGTTCAGTTGTGTTATTAGAAGATCGTTAGAGATTAATTTGTTTTTCAGAGCCATTATTATTTCTCTTTTGTAGAAAAAATGAATCATCATTTAGATAGGGGACAAACTAGCAGACGGGTAACCTGGTGATGAGCGATCAACGCCACTCATGGACAATCGCAACATCCGAGGAATCGTAAGTGCCTTGCCAGTCTTTTAAAAAGTAGTAATGGAGTATGCAGTTATTTCCATAAAGGTTTGAAGGCTTCGTCCCCTTATCTCAAGTTACGTGAGGTTGGCCCAATATCCTCTTCCATTCTCTACTATTTGGCGGCACGGTTGGCGCGGTGGCTGAGCAACCGGCTGCCTCCCAACTTGTAGTGGGTTCAATTCCCGTACGAACCAAATCTTTGTGTGATTCACAAATTGTGAGAAGAATAATATTATTAAGCAGTCTCTTAAGTTTATACAAAATTGCCTAATATTCTTTTAACATATTTAAAAAAGAAATGAACCTCCATGACCCTTCATTAACGCAAAGATTGCGTATCAGCATTCTACTAGGCTAGAAGGCCGTCTTATTAAGATCCTTTAGCGTTTCTAATTTAAAATGATACTTAATTCAAACAATGTACTTTTATGAATGAGTTAAAGTTTTTCAGATTGATTATATATTAATTACTAGCGACCCGCCCTGGCTTACCACGGGTGCAATATGCATGTATCATACATATAAACCTTCCTTAAGAATCACTGTATCTACTAAAAAAACCGCATCAAAATCCGTTGCGTAGTTTAAAGTTCTAAGCATACATAGGGACAGACAGACGGTGGACAGCGACTTTATTTTATACTATGTAGTGATGATAATTTTGAACGTCATGGGGATAGTGGACCCCGTGTTTTTTTTAAGGGGGGAAAATCATCGAATGACTGCTCCCGCCTGGGTGAGGCGGGAGGGAGTGTCAGACTCTTACTGACTAAAAACCACCCCGTTCCTTCTCCTGCACGTCGACCCGGAGCCCCGGTAAGCCGTTAGGTTCTCCGCGACCCCGTGTGGGTCACGCACGATAGCGGAAGATTTGCCTTCAACCATCTTTTGTCGGCAGTCAAAAGTTTAAGGGATGGTAGGAACTAATTGACTCATTGATCGAAGTCATTAGAAAAAAATCGTTGGATATCTATCTATATGTGTAAATAAAAATTGCCTATCAAAGTCAATTATTAATTTCTGTTTGATTTTTTAGTTACCATCATTGTTGTTTGATATATATAAGACAAAGTTTTTGTTAAGGAAAAACTTGGAAAATTTATTAGAAAAATCGAGAAATAGTACCCAGTCATCTCCTGGCAGGCTGTTGATTGGTTAGCAATACAAAATGAAAACAAGACACGTATCGTCACAATCAGACGACAAGACAAAATGGCATTTAAATTCAAGTCGAACTCTAGTCGGGGACTAGGGAGACAGAACAGAAAATAGGTCTCGTTCTGTCTGTCGTTCTAAACAGAACTACCAGACCGGTGCGGTACCACTAGTGAAAATTAAATCTTGTATTTTCTTATAAACAATCAATTACATACATGTAGGTACAATTTATTACCAATCTGTTACAAATAACAATGTATTTGTGTACCTAAGCAAAAGAGGAGATTGTTGGAGTATTTTTAAACTACTAACAGTATTTATGTTCCTTATCCATTAGCTACATACAAACAAGAACGTAACCAAAAATAAATAATTGAAATGCGAATGTGAGTAAGTTCTGAAAGAATACCTCTTTGGAATGCGTATCTACCTGGCAAACTTTCCAGATTGCTATCTCAACGCCTATGACTCAGTAACCTCCTACACTTCACGCGAATAGACATACGACTGGGATGCACTCTTTCTTGCACTCACGCGTCAGCCATGATATAAACACACATACAGACAGAATCGGGTCAAGCATCCGCCTTTTTATTATTGTTTTCTAAGAAAATCTAATATAAAATTCATGTAGGTACTTTTGGATCAGATAAAAGCATTTTATAAATATTCAGAGCGGTTACACATTTTAATAATAAAAGCAAAAGGAGCAATTGAGCATCTATGGTCGTGGGAGATTTTGATGTTCTTCTCTAAGAAGACAAAATGAATAACTAACTCATAACAGAACTCTGCAGAGGCTCTTCAATCTTGTATGCTGTGTTGTTGTATATGTCGTCTGAATCTTGATGGAGTACTGAAATCTAATATTACAGAAAAAGGAAATAAATTATCCGATAAGAGAAGAATGGGAGAAAGTTACATTTCGTCCTCATACAAGTTGGACCAAAAGCTTGTATGAGAATGCTCCCAATACTTGCAGAATAAGTTTTCCGTCTTATAAATATTTTCCAAATGGTCATTACCAGATTCTATGTTTATTGAAGGGAATAACCTGGCCTGAGTGAATAGGTTGCTTAGGGGCAGACGTACTCCATTGTAAGCCGCATCACCGCCTACCACCAGGCGAGATAGTGGCCAAATGTCGGCCCATCAAATATAAAAAATAAATTAAAAATAATGGACGTGACGAATCATAATCTAATCAAAATTGAAAAATTGATATGAATGGACTGTAAGTGTTGCCATAGAATAGGTGTATGGTAAACAAATTCATTGTTGTGGAAATAGGAGTTTTTAAAATTAGGGAATTGCCTTTGGCCTACTAAGATTTTTCAGTACGCAGTAGGATGGGTCACCTCAATACGGAAAAAATCCTTTTTTTGACAAGTAAGTATGTATACAATAAAAATATGTTTCTTGGTAGTGCCTTTTTAAACGTAGTTTATGAAAGAATTATTCAATTATGATTATCATAATTTTTATCACTTATATCATTTTTACTATAAAATTATGGTATAAGTTTACAATGATGATGATGATGATTCTGTCTTGGTTTTTATAAAACCTTTGCGGGTTCATTTTGATCAGAGAGTTCCTGAAGCTTCAGTTACATAACATAACGTAACATGGTAAGCGCAAAAAAATATATTTTGTTAAACATTCCTCGAGCAATAAGGGTATCTAGCTTCTGGGTAGAGAGTTGCATCAGGATAGGTGGTTCTTTAACTTAATTTTGCTAGTTAATAATATGCCTCCATCTTGACCACTTTGGTGAATGAAAACGATTTTGAATTTTATGCAATAGGTAAGTTTTAATTAAGCATTTGTGCATTTTTACATTTGATACAGTTAGTGGCAATGCTTTCCTTCATAAGTTTTAAAATTTTACAGTGACAATATCAGCAACTTTTTAAAATATGATTACCGTTCAGTATTTTTCGAGATTTTTACTTTAAATCCCGTTATATTATATCGACTACCTACTTCATTATTTCTTCGTAATTCGGAATTTCTTCATTATTACCAAATATCGGACACAAAAAGTTTTTCGAGTATACGATTAATTTTTAAAATCACAGAAATAGACCTTGTTGTATCGAAACACCTGTCTAAAATAAACAAAATACAAGTTTAAATAGTGTATACATAATTGTTTCAAATATTTTGGAAACCTTTGAAGTAAAAATATATAGAAACTTCAAAACTGATCCGGATACAGATTGATATTATTGATATTATACAACGATTGCAATAATATTTTATACGCGTCTTATCAAATGACAACTAATTTTCGCTATTAGAAAATGTTTTTGGAAATAAAATATTTTTGACCCACACTATAGTACGTATGTTGTTGTTGCTAACATGTTATGGTGTTGGTGTTGTACGAGCGTCACGTTTGCGTCATGAGCTTAAATATTGGAGCAAGGTTTTCTACTTTGTATATGTTATGCATACACAACAACGCCGATGGCTTTTGGTTCCTGTGTTAGGTTTACGCTAGTTACATTTGCGCATACTCCACGAAACGAAGGTCACTGGCGAAGCACTTAACAGCCAATAGTACTGAAGTAGTCGTCATGCAGTCTACCTACTGCATATACTAACAAAATATACATGTACATTTAGGAGCTAGCTAAAAATATTAAATGTAAGAGATTAAGATAACGGGGTCATGTCGCATCGCCGACGGCAGCTGTCGAACGAACAACACGATACATCCAAGAATATATCAGTTATAAAGAGAGTTCGTCCACGCTCTAGATGTATTTTAATGATGTTCTAGATAATCTCAAAACAACAGACGTTTCCCGATATTTTAAAACGGCTCAGCAGATACTTGAATCACAAAAATAGCTGAAGTGCTTCACATTGTCGCTTGCCGGTAAAGACCCAGACTGACTGACAACGCTATAAATATTTTTGTGTCCCGGACAAATGATAAAATAATCCAAGTTGGATCTCACGACACATTTACTGAAGAAGTTTTGTCTTTGTTGTTTAGATGAGGAAGTGAGGCGTGCAGTTTAGAGCCGGCAGTGTGTATCGCTTGTTAACCTGGATAGCGTCTTATTTACAAACAGAGCGGTAGGAGGACAGCGCCGGCAGTGTTTACGGCGCGCGGCGTGTAAGCTATACCCTGGTGACGATGAGCGGCGTGGCCAGGTCGGCGCCGCCGACGAGGCGCAGGCCCCAGTTGACCTCGCGGCTGTCACGCCGCAGCGTCACCACGAACGTGTGCAGGCGGCCCATGCTGAGAGTGGTCACTGCGCGGTCACTGCGCGGTCACTGCGCGGTCACTGTGCCGTCACTGCGCCGTCACTGCGCGATGCGTGCGCGGCGGGAACACGGGACGTAGTGTGCGCTAAATTAGCCTCACCGCAAACTCGCACCGCCCCCTGCCCCTCTAGTTCTGCACTCTGCATGTAACCCTGCCTTCGCAATCGACCTACTTCGATTTACGGAAACTCTGGGATATATCGATGCTTGATTGACCATCCATTCCGGCAACCTATTCAATTGTTTATTTACTTTCATCATATCAACGCTTAACAAACGCAATAATATCTACCTGAGAACTGGAGTGTTATATTTGGTATGTCAAATCGTTGAAATGTATTGAATAGTCAGGTGAAAAATGAATACCGAAAATACCATTTCTTCCATTGTCAGGGATGAAATTTCTCTCAGGTTTATTGCAATTCCCCAATACAGAAAAACAAAAGTTGACTTTTTTTTGTCAACTTTTTTATCGAATTGAGGCTTTGAAATGAAATTACTAAATAATGTTATAAAAATAAGGCTTTTATTTGTAAATATCTAAAACAGCTTTTATACCGCGTTCAGTAAAAGAGTTCAAACTCTCAGAACTATAAAGGTCATTCATTTATTTATCACTATTTCCTGCGTCATACATTAAATTATGCCATTATGAATTTGCATTGGCATCATTTGCCGTTATTGATGTATAATTAGATCATTGATCATGATTTCTAAAAATTAAAACAAAGAATTGGCAAGTAACTAGTAGAATGTGTCGTTTAAAAAAGAAAATCACGTGTCTTTAGTAAGTAAATCGTGTTCCTCAACTAAGTAAGTGGTTCATATCATATATGATTTGGTTTCAAAATATGAGACCGTAAGATCCAATGTCCTAAAAACGTGATACCGATACCGAAACGACCAAGGAGGTTGATATAGAAAAAAAAAATAGAGTTTAGATAATTTAGAAACGAGTCAAGTATTTTATTTTATTCGATACGTATCTGCGGGCGGTATCCACCTAGTCATTTTCTTTCTAAAATTAATGAAGGTAGATATTGACGGCATATTCCCGTTTATTTGGATCATCACTTACGTATTACATAAGAGAGAAGTTATTTAAATATGCATATTTATTTTGAATTTTCTTTTTATTAATGTCGCTCACGTACTGAATTATGTAAATTTAATCAAACATTTATTGGTAATTAAAACCACTGAGTGTGACGGAGCACCGCAAATAAATCGATATACAAAATGGCGTCGGACATCATGGATAGAACTCCATCTCCAAACAAAATGAAAACCCTAATGGTGGTAAATGGTTCTGTAGTTAGATGGTCACTGAATATGACAGGTATACTTACTGGTCGCCTCTGTCCGAAGTCCTGGGCTCACTTCCAGGATCCGCGCGCTGGTGGGGAACTCGCCAAAACGGTGGCCGCTCGTACATCGGCATCGTCACTCGGTATCAGTTCCAGGCAAAACTGACACAAAAATATTCGCATTAAAATTCAGACGCAGTGCAAAAGTATGCTGCACTTGCAGTGAGAGTGCATACTATCACAATCTCTTTATAATCGACCGTCAGTTACATTTCATAATGCATACACGTAGGACGTAGGTGTTTGGCAACATTCCTGTGCATAAATCACCTGTTCTATGAACAAGGACAGTCGAGCACAGGAAAAATACACGTTAGACGCCACGTGGGCGCGGTAGTGGGGATCACAATATAAGGGTGGACTCACCAGAGGGCGCGGGGCGTGGTTACTTGCTCAGAGTCGTTCGAGCAGTGCCGTTTTCTATTATCTCGAATATTTCCGGAGCAACATCAAACTATATCTATTTTTCGCGTAGCGGCGGGCGTCGGATCGACGGCTCGTGCTTACTTCGAGTGATTTACAAGCCGGAGCCGCACGAGCTGTTTCTGGGCCAATACAATACGTCGCTGTGCCGCTGTCACTCGGGAGCCGGGAACACTCGACACTGGTTCAATGCTCGCGACTTGTCTCTGTCTCTAATATCGACGCGTTTCTAGGAGATGAGGGCATTTTAACATGACAACGAGATTCGCTAATGACTTTTCGGACGTTGACCTCATAATTTATTATAACCATTACAAAAATTGTTTGAAATATACTTTCATGGTACGAATAACTGAAGCTGTGGGATTAAAAACTATTCAAATCATATTTTTATAGAGGCTTCAGTTTAACATTAATTTCAACAAATACATCACAAAATTAGATTATGTAACACTGTAACTAACATTTAAAGTAATAATATTAACTTTAGACTGTTAAAAATAAAAACGGAGTGGCAAAAAACTGATTTATTCTTAGTGATCATATAACAATAATCATTTTATTCCTTAATCGTTGTGATTCTTGTGTTTTAAAGTAAACTAGAACTAAGATAAAACGCGTAGTTTGCGACTTACGTATACAACTTTCCATTTATTATGATAATGAAGTAATTAAGCAATAAATATTATTCTTATCAAGTTAGTACAATATAAAAGCATGGTTTAATGAGATATGAACTATGCTGTGTACTTGTAAAGTTAAAAGCGTAAAATACACACGTTAAAAGTAATTAAAAAATGAATAATATTTCAGTATCAATTAAACAATTATTTGTTTGAAAAACAATACATATAAGATATTCTCCATAACAATATTATAAACTCTAAGACTTGATACAACTAAAATATATCTATTTAGGACTTCAATAAATATACATATGCTATTTTTACAAACAATTATTTTACAATGAAGTAATGTAATAGTATTTTACATAGACAACTAATTTCACTAACAAAATAGGTATTTGAAAATTATAAAAGTCAAACGTTGTTATTTTAACTAAAGTTCAGTCAAGTCACTTACTTATTCATAAATTCAATAACTTATAATATGTAACTAATATGACCAGAATAGAGAGCTTAAATAATTTAATTTAAATTATAAATAAAACCATGACTAATTAATTACTCGATTCATTAAATACAGATCATTGGGTGAATAAGAGGACAATTCGCGCATTTTACATAGAAAATAACAAGCATTTTGCGCAAACAAAACTTTGATTAGCGCAATAATTGCGCAAACCATTTGACAAAGGCGCAATTTTAATCAGCGAATTTAAATAAAAAAATAGGAACTTCATTTTTGTTTTTAAAAAAAAAAGTTTTATGAACTGGTATTTACCTAAGTAATGTGTATAATGTATTATTATTTAGTGCGGGAAGCTTTTTAATTATTTTTATAAACAGTGCAGGCGCATTAAATTTTATGTACGATCATTATAAAAATGGCAAACAGTAACAGTATATTACAATAGGGAAGATTACAGAAAAATGTACTTAGACCATCAGTTAGATAATGAAAATATGGTTGTATTTTTGTCGTGTCGATATAAGAAAATATTACTAATTAAAGTCTATGTAGTGTATAGACTTTTACTAACAATCGGGTATAAATAAGTTTCTATTGTTTCATCTTCCCTAGTTAATCGCGACATTTCATTTGACGTAATTTTTAACAATGGTTACGGATTTTTGCGCACTTCTGCCTTGCGCTAAAACCAAAAAACAACTGCGCAAGCGACTTTAGTGTAATCTGACCCTAAGTTTTTTAATACATAATTAAATTTAGAAACAAGCGTACTTTGGTATAACACACGAAAGTTTCGCCACACACGAAACCGTCGAGTTTTTATCAATAAACTGCCGTTTTCGACTGCTACTTAAAAGCAAAAACGGCAATTAAAAAGTAAAATCCTATTACTCAAGTCCATTTCACGACATACTTTAGGCACAATCATACTTCTTCTTAGCCGTCGATCCCCTCGTGAACAAAGTATTTTAGCAGAAGGATTGTATAAGAATACCTTTAAAAATCAAGTATCGCCGGTTTGGTGTCTCTCGCACATTTGATAAGGGAATACATTAATTTCACGAAACCTGTGTCTTTCGGCTTCTCTAAACCACGAAGTAATCTGTTCTTCATGACTGCGACGAATTCCCTGTTGCTGAGCTGACCGTCCACTGTGAAAATGAGACCAAATTATTATTATGTTAACGACATTGGTCGTATCGAGTTTTGTTTACAATAATAGTAAAACCAGAGTCTCTGCCTACCCCTTTGGGAGACAGGCGTGAAGTTATATATGTATGTAAAAGTAAAACCTACGCTGCAGTAGTCTTTGCCATATAGGATTAGACAGAAACTTTAGGATGCTACTTATTAGCATACTTGCACTTTTCATATTATTTCTTTCACATTCCTACTTCTCGTCATAAAAGCACGCCAATTAGATGACTCTAAACATATTTTTAAAAAGGGCTAAGTGCACGAAATAATATAATACTACTTTTTATAGCATAAGCCGGTAAACGGGCAGGTGGATCACCTGATGGTAAGCAACATCAGGATTTCCCAGTCTATAAATAAAATACCCTACGTATTTTTACATTTACATCACTCGACTTAAAGCTGCTTAGAAATATTGAGATATTATAAGACGATTATCCCTTAAAATTTCCCCAACGACAAAATCATAGCCTAAGCTTGCCTACATATATTTCAATATAAATTAAAATAAAGTATACGAACTGTTTTCGTCAAATATAGTGAAGACGACGTTGATGACATGAGGGTCCAGGTCCACATGTGCGACAGTCCTTGCGACGTGACGTAGAGTTGGCTGGTCTATGGACGCGCCCGCTATGTGATAGAACGTGAGCGCTGTGTCTACATCATTGATGTTGTTCAAGAAGTGGAAGAACTTCAGATAATCGTCCTTAGTTATACCGACGCCATGGTCTCGGAAACTGGAAAAGAATAATTACATTTTTAGTGTAAATTATTCTAGTTATATTAAATATGAAAATTATGTTAACTACTCTCTCTCTCTCTCTCTCTCTCTTTCTCTCTCTCTCTCTCTCTCTCTCTCTCTCTCTTTCTCTTTTTTATAGAAAATAGTCTACGCAGAACTGAATTAATAAATCTATAATCCGACCACAAAAATTTATCAGTAAACTTTAGGTTTATACTTTGCTTAAATAGTAAAGTTATATCTACTAATATTAATAATATTATTAGTTGTGGCAACTTACGTCTTTTTGACACGTTTCAACATACGCGCCTTCTTCTTAGCCGGGTAGCCAGCGTAAGCCAACAGAAGTTCCGCAAAGTCTGCCTCAGTTATACGACCATTTTCATCTGAAATATTTTATAAACAAATAAGTAAAAACGCTTAAGTATCATGCAGCCCGTAACCAGTGTCGGGCGTAGTTAACTACTTGTAGTTATAATTACATGTAGTTGTCTGTAACTTAACTAATGTAACTACATTAAAATAGTCATTTATTTGGTCAAGTAGTAAGTACTTTTGTCGGACGTTTTGTCTAATATTTTTCAATTAAATAAACATCGTAATATGTTGTTATATAAGATTCGGGATCTAACTGCATAAAAAGTCTTCAGTTTAATTCACAAATTCGACTCGATTTGAATAATTTGTGAATCAACTAATATCAAAAATGTGTTAAATGGGCTAATTCAAATTAGCCTTAAGTATTACCTACGTACAAAATTTAATATTTTAGGTTTGTCTGTGACGGGCTTTAACTTTTTATAAAACGCAATATTATTTTAAATGTATAGTTATGAAACTTAATCTCGTAATAGTGATTATAACTACAATTATTATTATATTATTATGTATGTCTTTACCATTCACGAGACCACAGGGTCCCGGTCATTTGGGAGGCGTACGAGGGGCCGAAGCCAACTGCGCAGAGGCCCTTTAGACAACTATAATATAAATGTAATAGACACACAAACCGGCGACTATCCCTGTATGCACTATGGAAATTATTACTACTTTTTACGATTATTTAATGTAATATGTAATGATTATTAACTACTTTAATTAGTCGTAGTTAGATTTCAATTCGAACTACTCAGCCCCGCAACACCAGAGCAGTTGTATGTATGTTGTATGGGGAGATCGGGCCTCCTCATCTTCCTACGAGTATGAACCGAAATTCCTCATCTCAGTACTTATGTCCGGCTCGGGCTTGTAAGGACTTAGTTCAACTTTGGAGTTGCGTAACCTCTAATAACTCTCTGTAACTATAAGGTATGGCAAAGAACAACATTCTATCATTCTCAACAATATTCTTTACTTGGAACTTATAATATAAACGGTGAAAATAGGAGTTACGTTTTCTCTTTGATTTTCAGGCTGTAACTCGTATTTTTCTCGTATTTTCTAATGTCCCACTTACCAGGTTGTTTTCTTTGGAACTCGAGGGACAATATTTCCCTTTGTAGTTGATGTTGGAAGTCTAAGAACTTTTCGATAGTGAGCTTTTGGTTGAGATGAGGCCCGAAGAAGTATGTCGTCAAAGCAGAGTTTATGCCCTGAAAAATATAACGACTTATATTTGACTGAGCGGCAAACTAACCGATTGTAAAAAACATAAATCTGATCAAGTTTATACAAATCTGAATATTTCTTGTTTTATGTAATACCTAAATATGTATACTTCTAGTATCTTTTCCTTTTTATACACAAACATGTGAAATACTTTAGTCAAGGGTCACCAATCCCATACATTGTGTCGTGAATAGAATTGAAGATCTGCCAATAAAATCGTGAAAGTAAATACTGTAACTTAACGTAATTAATCTTACACTTAATCTTAGATGAGGGTAATGGTTTTTTTTTAAAATAGGAATTAAGCATTTAAAAACCTTGAAAGTGTTGCCAGTGTTCGCATGATCTCGATGCCTTGATCCAATGCTGCTCTGCTGTCGAATGAGAGCCGCGACTTTCTCAAACTCTTCACAGTCCACGTCACCGTCTCCGTTCAAATCAAACATACGGAATGCTATTTCAAAATGGCGGCGGGATGCTGAAAGGGGAAAATAAAATAATAAAAAATAACAAAGTCCATACATTTATGATAGCTAACGTAACACCTTTTCACTGACACAACTCACTGAGAAAACCGTTTATCAATTCAGAAACATGGTAGATACCCTCTATACCTTCGATTATCATTATTGTACACACGGCTACACATCGAGCTTTACATAACCAGTATAAACTGAACGTTAAATGTCCGGAAAGATGATGCGACGCGACACCAGGATAAACTGGCTTTGTATAGATTGATGTGTGGCCGTGTGTACATCGGGAAAGGTCTATGTTCATAAAGATCCGGAACACATAAACATAACATCACGCCTTTTATCCCCGAAGGGGTAGCAGAGTTTTCACTATTTATGTTATGAGTCCCATATAATAGGGGGTGAGCCTATTGCCATATACCGGACACAATTCCAGACTCCGTGCTACTACTGAGATTTTTTTTAAAACCCAGTAATACTTTGCCCGACCCTGTAATCGAACCCGAGACCCCTTGCCCGGCAGTCGCATTTGTGACCACTCGGCCAACGAGGCATCCGGAACAATAATTGGTAGATTACACAAAGAATTGGTCCGTAAAGGGATATGATGACCACCTATAGCTACATTTTTCCTATACGACCATTAACTATTATGCCATTTAAATGTTGTCCATTTATTGCTGGACACTCTGTATGTAAATCACATCCTCTCTTTTAACATATAGGCAAGTAAATATCGGCCCGATGTAAACGAACCCAGCATCGCGCTTCCAAAATACACGACCGTACAATGAATTGCCTCCTAGGTCCTAGATGAAATTGGCTAACTTTTTATACACGAGTACTTATGGTGCTTTCTTTTAAAATGTCTAAAAAGTTTCTACATTTCATCCAAGAGACAGAAGTTAGTTGATATTTTACAAGTTTTTATTTCTTTTTCATCAATTCACAAATCAATCAATTGATTCATACATAGTACCTATTTGATCTACTGCAAGAATACTATATTATCATTCATTGATATTTGACTTAAAAAAGAATCGCATTTCGGAAGTTAAACATCGCGCTCACAGGAGCAAGAAAATCATTAGATCCGCTCATGCCCCGTACCGCCCGGGTCCACCCCCACCTCCATCGGATGCTGCGTGAAGTATCTGTCACCCGATTTGTCTGCGCATACTAGCGGACCACACAAAGGAGTACCGAAAATGTTCATACCATACATTTAGGTCAGTTCACCTGTTCATTTTAAATACTAAACAGACCCGTCAAAATGGTCCTTTCAGTGAAACGTTTTCGGTCGAGAATGGCAACAAAACTATACATTTGCGTGAGATGTGGAGCAAAGACCGCAGCTCTTCTATTTTGGGTATCTCTTTACATGATAGTTATGAAAATGACGGTTTTTAAAAGCACCGAAGATACATCAGTGAAGGACTGGTCTATAATACCCGACAATTACAGCGGGTGGCAGGTAATGACACTAAATATGCACTTCCGTAGTGTTCCCTGTTCATTTGTTGCTAAGTGTAAACAATACTGTTGATAATTTACAGGGTGCCGTGCCATTAACTAAAGACGATTCAGAAACATCAAACCATGACTTTATCACATGGCCTGAGGTAGATAATGATACGATTATAGTATTAAAGAATCGATCAAAAACAGTGCAAAAAGTCTGTCTCCAGAGAAATCTACTCTCGCAAAAAGTGAACTCTAAAGAATTCTATGTCGATCATGATCATGGACTTGTTTGGTGCAACATTTTCAAAGCTGCCAGTTCGACTTGGATGTATTATATGAATATTTTAGGTAATTATTAAAAAATAGTTTTTTAAAACAATCGAGCATAAGATTTGTCCGCTGGATTTCATAACATATTTTGTTTCAGGAGGATATAAGAAAAAGTTTTTGGAAGAAACTAAAAAAATACCGTTAATTTTAGCAAGAAAAAAGTTCCCCCGTCCTAAAATAAAAGAACTAACAGAAGCAATTCAAGCACCTGGGGTTGTGTCGCTTTTAATTGTGCGTGAGCCTTTTGTAAGGTTATTGTCAGCATATCGTGACAAACTGGAGATCAACCAGCAAGGGAAAATAAAGCCGTATTATAGGAAATTGGCAAGGACAATAATTACAAAGTATAGAAAGAAAGAAGCCCTAGACAAGGCGAAAAATAAAGTGGTTGGTCCAACATTTCGTGAGTTCGTCCAGTATCTTATAGACGAGTATCATCCGGGGTACACGTTTGACGAACACTGGGCTCCGTACTACACGTTTTGTACACCATGTGCAGTCAACTTTACTGTGATAGCGAAAGTAGAAACGTTGACAAAAGATTCAATGTATGTAATACAGAAACTAAATCTCGGCCCTGTGTTAAACATAAAGGCTGGTGAGCGTAAAAGAAAACATCGTGGTTTGATGAATACATCTCGTGACGGGAAGAACACGACATCTTTGTTAATGCATTATTATGGTCAACTTGACGAAAAAATGTTGGATAATTTGTTAAAAATATACGGTATAGACTTTGAAATGTTCGGATATGATGCGAGTGTTTATAGAAGTTATGTTAAAAAATAAAAGTTCTGTTATACATTTCTTTTTCTTTCATATATCTCGTTTCATTCACAAAATATTAACCGAAGTAGCCTCGTATACCTATTACCTAATTTTTTCAGAAGATGACGAATGTTATTCGATACATAATTCACTTTTTAATAAATTAAAATATTAGTAATTCGTTAGCATAGAAAGGTTTTTACAGTAGTTTAAGTGTAAGGAGTAAGGACGAAATGAAAGTTTATAAAAATATAGTAAGTAGTTAGGTGGGTAGGTATGTGGCTAAGTATGGGAAATAAACTGAGTGTACCTGGTTATCAAGTTACATCATGGACAACCAGACAAAACCCAGTAACAGACTGAATGTCTGGAATTGCACCTTGTATTTGATAGTAGGCTTACCCTCTTACGGTAAATAGTCGACAATTCTAATTGGCGAAAAATAACAAAGCGTTTATTTAAAGCAATATAAATTAATATAAGGACTTACTCGACAATACAGTCAGAAGAAATATGTAGTCACTGAAGGTAATGAGTCCGGAAGAGCCGAGTTTATAGAAAATCGAATCTTCGTCCAAGTCGAGGTTGAGACGTTGACTGATGCTCTGTCAGGAAAAAATCGTATGTAATTAGAAGTGGAAAAATGTAAATAGATAAACAGCTAATAATTCTAAATGCTCTCAAAAATAAAACAAAACGTGTAGTCTAAAAGGCAAAATACCTCATTATTGTTAGTTGCCAATTAAGATTTTAATCGATTTATCAATGTTGTTCGATAAATCTATCGCAATAATGGAGACTAGACAAAAATGTACGAGTAAAAAAGTATGAAAGTACTACATACGTAAACAAATTAAAAACTTCAAAAAAACAGCTATTGCTACTGCTAAAAAAAGGAAGTCTAGACTTAATGATGCAATAAAAACAATAAGAGAATCTCAGCATGCGATGTAGAGAATGGCGAGAATGCAATTGTTTTGCGGGATCTAAGACCCATTAGCTTGAAGTATTTAGCTTAAATAGCGCACAGCTTAGGTCTTTAGCAGATTAGGTACAACAGAGTAAAAACGATCCTCCTAAAATCTAAAAAAGTGGTCTAGACTAGATTGAGGCACGACGTGGCCAACGGCGATGATAATAGGGACATGAATAAATCAAGATTGTGCACTTGAAATAAATAAAAACATTACGAAGTCGACAGTAGTAGAGAAATAAGAAGAGGAGAAAGACAGTACCTCATCGATGTTCTGAAAAGACAAGAAAGTGATGTGAGTGGCTGAGAAGACGGTGCTGACAGTGCAAGTGTCCAATGACAATTAGATACAGGTTGCTATCAAGCGAAAGGTACTCTAAACAACATTTGTGATTGGGCAATGTGTTCCTAAGACTGGGTAGTGAAAACAGTAATACAAAAAATATTAAGTTATTAAATACTTTTTGTAAACTTTCTTTATTCTTCTTGAAGAGTATCTGCTCCCTCTATAACGTAAAGAAATCTTCTGTAATAGTGCTATTCTATCATACTTTTGCAATATTAAGTATTTAACAATATTAGTTTATTCCAAGTTAGAAAATGAAAATATCAAGATGTAAAAGTGCAAGTGCACATATCAAATGGTGGTTATTATATATATATTTGTAATATTACAGGTTATTGCTACAATTTTAGATTTAGATTATTTACTCAAAATATTATTGCTTTAACAATACATTATACACCGTGATATTTTAATGGTTGTTTTCCCGCAGCAGAACGATTTCCCTTTAGTAGTACTATCGAATAATGCAAGTTACTTTTTGAAAAAAAAAATTTTTTCTCCTCATCTACTCAAAAAAAATAATCATCAACTCGAAAGCATGAGAAACGATAGTTTCTCTTCTAAAATGTGACGTCATATCAATGTTCATAGTAAAATAATCTCTCGTACTAAGTAATACAGCATAAACTACAATGCACGCGCGCGCGAGCGGATCGCCTCACGAAGTCACGACAAACAACAAAGGCAACCACCGCGCTCTCTGTCACTCGCATCGGTTCGCACCGGCTTGCATGGCTTTCATTCGCACGTCGCACCAGTCGCACCGCGAACGCCGTCCGCGCAACCACGTAAGCGCAGTACAATATTGTTGCCGCCAAAATGGATCGCCATTACGTTTTTTCTAACGTGGAGTACGTAGCCATGATGCAATTGTACGCGAGGGCAAATTATGATTCGCATGCCGCCCGTCGGCTTTACGAGGAGCCGCGGCACATGGAGTCGCTTCGTCTTCGCGGCTTCATTTTGTGACAGGACACTTAACTGGTGAAACGTACCTACAAATGCTACGTAGTGTTATCCCGGACTTACTAGATGACATTCCGTTAGCAGTGCCCATGGATGGCCCGTATTACCGGCACGATGGTTGCCCTGCGCATTATCAGCGCGCCGTGCGAGAGCACCTCGACTCGGAGTTTCCCCAGCGCTGGATCGGTCGTGGCGGGCCAGTGCCATGGCCACCACGAAGTCCGGATCTTACTCCACTAGACTTTTATTTGTGGTCTAATCTCAAACGCCTTGTGTATCGGCAAGAATACGAAACTCGCGACGCGTTAAAAAGTGCGATAGTGGACGCTTTTGATGTGATTAGACGTGACAGAGACACATTATTAAAATTGAAAGCCAATCAGTTAAAACGTGCACGATTGTTTGTGGAACGCGGTGGCTTAGACTTTGAACAATTGCTCCGTTACCGGGAAGTGTAAGTACTTGTACATTTGTAAATAAAACAATAAGTAATGTGATTAAAATCATTGTAAATACGTTGATTCCCATTTTTTAAATACGCCTTAAATACTTTGCCAAATTCAGTAATAAACAAGATAATATCTCTTGATTAAATTTCGTTTATGTTTGTGTTTAGTAAGTGTAGTTAAAAAGTATTTACGACGGTCCTAAGCCCGTTAAAGTATGAAGGGAAAATGGAAATCACTTGTTAGTAAATACTGAGTTATCAGCCTTTTGATAAGCGCGAGCGACAATGACAGCGGCCAGTGGCCGGTCGCGGCGGTACTATTGGTTCGCGGTTTCTTTCAAGTTTCGTGTATCACTATCGTAAAACTGCTATTTTTTTATTTAAATTAAAAACAACTTTCTCAATCTATTGTACTACTAAGATAGAATCATTTTACTGTGGGAAAACAACCATTAAAATATCACGGTGTATACAAATCATACACAGTTAAAAGGTTTTTTTTCTTGTATCATAACATTAAGTAAGCTAATTTAGAAATGATACTTACTTTGGGGTCATATCTTCTATATTGGTCCAGTCCCAAACCTAGTAAAAGTAAATAAATTAATTCCACGGAAAATTGAAATAGATGCTTGGATGGTAAAACTTAAATGTATTAAATACTAACATAGGTCAAAATAGAATTATTTATATCATTGTAATCAGCAGATTTTCCTCTTTCAAATGATTCAAATTTGTGTGCTTTTATGGTTGTTACACACTAGTGATTTTATACGGAACAATTTTTAAATCAATTTACCCGCAGTCAAATTTATATATTCCTATATCTATTTCACTTTACCATCTGGTTGCTTGACACCAGGTGTCATGGAGCGCAGGAAGTCATCCGGTGTCATGAATATCTCATGCTGGTCATGATGCTGAGCTTGTAGCGTGGCAAAGTATCGGAACACTTTGTCTGGAGTTGAGTACTGGCGCATACGGTTCTCATACTCAATAATCTATCCAGCAGCGTCCAGAGTAGAAACGTAATTTTTACACAATAATTTCAAAAATTTTAATTATAATATTACTTGTTCTAAAAATAATGTGTTGATTTTCAAAAAATAAATATTGTTAGCATGAATGGCTTACCTAGGGATTGAAACCAAGGACTTTCTTATTGGTGCAGATAACAAAAAAATTAAACATGAACCAATATAACATACACATCAACATAAATATAATAAAATGAAATTAAAATAAAATAAATACCATCAGGCTGTTTCATGCCAGGTGTGATAGCTCGTAAAAAGTCATCAGGGGTCATGTATATCTCTGTGTGTTCACCATGAGTCAATTTCACTGTGGCAAAATACCTAAATATTTTATCTGGGGTTGAGTATGACCTCATACGATTTTCATATTCAATAATCTGTTGTAAATAAAAATAAAAATGTGGTAATGATAAAATTATAATAAAAATGATGAAGTAAATATTTATGTAAGTGGTAAAAATACCTTTCTGTCACGAAAACCGATTTTTTCTTTCCTATATCTTTTCTTCTTAGTGTCAACTTCACTGTCAGAATCACTCTCAGATATTTCCTCTGCAGCATTTATTGATGGTAATAAATGGTTTTGTGTCCTAAAATTATTTCAATTATATACACAAGTACACCTACAGAGATCATAGGAGCAAGCAGAAATCATAGCGCGTATAGTGTGAACCGTATATAGGAACATACTCCTCACAAACTTATTTAGCTTAATTTTTTTCTAGTTTAGGTATAATTTTTTTAACTTTAACACATCACTATTGTTCTGATTTTACTTTATATTTTAAAGATAGTTTTATCATGTTCTGTACAGGTTAATAAAATAAAAGATGTTCTGTCATTCAACTTTTCAAGAGTAATCAAAACAAAACAAATAATTCAATGTTTACTACGATAAGCAGTGATAAGCACTGCAGCGATTTTTGTAGGTAGGTAATACTAAAACGGTTTCGGCGTTTAATGCAATGAAAGATTGCGCTTTTGGTATTGTAAAGTCAAAAAACACTTACCAGTACTTGTACGAGACATAGGCTGCTGCACCGAATAATACAGATAAGCAAAAGTGTTTGTACGAATATTTACTCCCGTGCTGCTCATAATTCCTATCGGTGTAATAATATTTCCTCTGTAAATCAAATGTATGATTTGCTGTTACTGCCAGAACTCTTGATGTTGGTATGCAAGCAACTTTGCGTATTGCAGCAAACTCCGCTGGAAACTTTAATAGACGAGAAGAAAGACTACACATTTTGGTATTGTATTAAATAATTACACTGAAAAACAGTCAGATTTTCAGAATAAAAATAACTTTTCCGTATTTCTGACTTCAGCTGTTCAACATTTTGATTTGACAACGATTGACACTATTGACAGTTGACATGTTGTCTGTTTATGTTACTGTCAAATGTCATTATTTGATTGGACGTTTAGTTACGCTAGTTAATTTAAATTTAATTTATTTAAATTAAATTTCGACATGAACATCAAACTTTAAAAATATTTGTTACCCCATTAAAATTCAACTTATACTATTAATAGAAACTGTTGAAATACTGAACCAATCGAGTGACGCTGATACTCATGAACAAAAATATTATTCTCCATTCTGCATGTAGGTATTACACTCTAACTCTTTCCTCTTGTCATTGTCACTGTCACTGTCACAACAACTGTCTGCTGAGTGCTATGATTGTTACCTGCTGCATGCTTGTTGAAGAAAAAGCAGAGAAAATTTTAACTTTTTGAGTAAATAAATTGAAGAAATATGAATACGAAGGTTCTTTTAAACTTAAAATCTTCGATAGTTAACTTGTGTATGAAAAACTACTTACATAATAATGTAGCCAGCGTTACAAAAATACACAGAGACCTTTACACAAGAATGTATCCTACTAAAGTTGTTTTACCTGATGGAGCTTCAATTAATATAAGATACCACGAACCCAGGAAAATTATAAAGGTAATATAATTTGTTATATGTATGTATTTAAAGATATGACTTCAGTTTCATTCACGATCTACTTATGGACGAAAACAAACAACTGAGTAGTATACAAACTATTAGTGAAATTTATTAAAACGTTAAAGGTGTTCGACTGTAGTTTAATAAATTGTTGTTGCAAGCTGACAACATATTTAAAAAAGTTTAATTATTCAGTCTCTTGATCTCTTCGTTCTATTGTGTTGAGAAGTACTCGACTTCTTTATATATAACCTTAATTTATTTATGAAAGCTATAATAATAATAATTCATTATATAGTAATAAATAATTCAGAAACAGTAAAACAATTAACATAGCAGAACACTCATTTTCGTACAGTGAGCCTGCATAAAAACCTTTTATCATAAATAATAATTATTAATTTTAGTACGCAAAAAAGGAGTGTTAAATATTTTTACTATTATATTTCTTATGAATTTAAGTATGTTGAACCAAGAATTTGTTACAGCTTCCCATAGATTTGTCCAAATTATCTGAAGATGAGAGAAAATTAAGGTTGGAAAAGAGAAAGCCAAAGAGGAAAGTCAAAATAGTTGATGATATTCAAGATGACTACAATGCTAAGAAATATTTAAAATATATCAAGAAAAAGTGATCTTTATGACTTAGTATTAGAGGATTGTTAGTAAAATTATAGTAATAAAAAGTGTGTTGTTGAAATTCATTTATTAAATCCAAAATTAGGTACCCTATTTGCCTTTATAACTACAAGATTAATATCTATTCAACATATTTTATTTACCTACTTAATAAAGCCTCATACTGTTATTTTATTCTAACACATTTCCTTTTAAGTAAAATTAGAATTAGTTCATAGAAAAATATGGAATTATTCCACATAAAATCATAGTATTTCATAAAATCATCAGCTGGGTCCCTTTCAAAGAGTATATTAAGTTTATGGGTATAGGGTTACTGTAGCCCTGGTCCTGATTACACCTGATGAACCCTTTGATCTTACATATAAGTCAGAATGTGTGCTTCTTTTTCAACATCCTTGTTCTAGACATTATTGTACACATGGACGTTGAAATGTACATTAATCACAAAAATTAACAGTAGATGAAATCTTATTATCATGTTCTTTTGTTTGTTATGAAATAATTATTTTATTGTTTCATCTAGTCCGGGGCTGTCCAAACTAAGGCCCGCGGGCCGCATGCGGCCCGCGGCATACATTTTAATCTCAACATCTTCATCTTATGTACAACAACAATAATGAAATTCGGTGTATGATTTGTAAGCAAGTTTAGTCTGAGTAAAGAATACAATGCTAAACGTCGTTATACAACTGAAAATATTTTTCTGTCCCTCCAGCTTTTGTAACAAATTTAATTAGCCCACGAGGGTATATAGTTTGGACAGCCCTGATCTAGTCCATTCTAGTCACAATAAATAATCCAAAAAGACAATGTATCAAATTAAAGTCAATTTGAAAAAAAAAAACAAGGATGGTATGTTCATCCATGCTCTATGGTTTTCAGTTTTAGTGGTTGACGGAAAGTGATCGGTGTGTGAGGAGAATAATAAAATTAAAAAGTTGATAAAGTTCATTAAACGTATATATGTTTTATATGTTCATTTATATGTGATTACCATCTACAGTAACAAGTAGTTACTGCTGTCATTACGTACAAAAATAATGTTCTTGTTAACCTTTTAAAATAAATATCTTACGTAAGACGAAACTCTAATAAAATGGGTAATTCTGTATCAGCTGAGGCTGGTGTGAACTTGCCAAACATTGGTAATTTGAATCCACCACCGGAATGTCCGATGCACCAGAAAACGGAGCCAAAACCCGTAGAAACTAAGCGACCATCCGAATGTCCAGTTCAACATGGAAAAGACAGTGATGTCAATCCCTATAACATGGTAAGTGTCAAGGATAAACCAAAAATATAGATACCTACATATTAGAATGCCTAAGAAGTCTATCTATATCTAAAAATACCATGTTGACCGGGTTTCAAAATTAAATAACCTTCAAATGTATTGTATCATTATAAATACCACATGTTGTTTATCAGTTTAGATAATAACAGATTATAGAACCGTTAATATACTATGTTCAGAAGAAATAGCAGTAATGAATAGGTCAATAAAATAGATAACTAATTATTCATGGTTAAAGATTATAACTTTGAAATGCCAAGATTATGCCTGACTGAAGTCAACTACTAATAATAGAATTGGTGCTTGGTAGTCAGTCATAAAAATTACCAGTAGACAAGTTAATTGTAAATGTATATTCAACTACATATCTTACTAATTTAACTGTTGTTTTACTAATTTAACTGTTGTTTTTTTCCTCTAGATGCCACCAGCTAATCAACAGCCAGCTCCAGACCAGCCGTTCGAACTTCCTACTCAACGCCAAGTATCCTCAATTCCACGTGCTATGCCTGATGGATCCACAGAATTCTGGGTGTATCCCAGCCAGCAAATGTTCTGGAATGCTATGTTACGCAAAGGCTGGCGTTGGAAGAATGAAGACATCAAACAGAAGGATATGGAGGACATTATTAAAATACATAATGCTAACAATGAACAGGTAAATTACTTGAATAATAAACAGATATCACTATTACATGTTCAAAACAAAATAATAATTCAATTTAAATTGATACTTAAAAGTAATGAAAATAAAACTTATTTTGATTGTGATTACATTATGTCCATAGGCTTGGCAAGAAGTCCTGAAGTGGGAGGCACTACATGCAAAAGAGTGTGGTCATCCAAGGCTGAAGAGCTTTGGTGGCAAGGCTTCAGATTACAGTCCAAGAGCTCGCATCAGGCATTGGCTTGGGTATGTATAAAAGAAAATCAACACAAAAATGTTGTTTTTTACCGATATAAACTTTTGATTAATTTTTACTGTTACTTATTTTCAGATATGAATTGCCCTTTGACAGACATGACTGGATTGTAGACCGATGTGGAAAAGAGGTCCGTTATGTTATCGACTACTATGACGGTGGTGAAGTCGACAACCAATACCAATTTGCACTGCTTGACGTCAGACCTGCTCTTGACTCTTTTGGAAATGTTTGGGACAGAATGAAAGTTATGTATATGAGGTATCGCTATGAACTTATTGGTTCCAAGGAAAATACCAAATTAACTAATTAGATCTAGTAGGTTATCATGCGTGTTGCATGTACTTACTACTATTTAAGTATTTATTTTATTGTGGGGTTCTTCTGTCGACAAGAGTTTGTCACTGTGGAAACTCTTTGTGATTAAATTTCATTTAAAATAATAATTATTCACAGTTACATACCTGTTGTCTATATGTGGACTTCATAAAGGAATATAAATTAGAAGTATTCAATGTATACTTTAGTGATTCAATCATGATCTATAGGCTAGAATACCCACATGATATGTAGGTAATTAAAAGCATTATGTTCTATAGTCAGTACATAAAGTATAACATAGATATTATTTCTTACAAAGTAATCATCAACTTTGCTAAGAATAACACCTGTATTGATACAAATAAGGTTTAAAACAATAAAAGCTGTAAAATAATAAAGATCTTTTATTTTGTTTATTTACATCATTGCCTCAATCAATGGTTCAGTTGTTTTCAAAATAAATACCAATTTTCTCTTTTATGTATTAAGTAGATAAGTACATGAAGACTGATGGTTAAAAATTTAGTTTTCAGGAAGATAATAATAATAACAGCAATACAAACAACAATATCATATACTATGCTGAATTAGTTGTCCAAGGAAACATGTTGGTCTCTTGGGTATAAACCTAAACACTCATTCTTGAAAATTTCAACCTGCTGTTCAATATAGCTCTCGAATTTTTTATATGGACAGCCTGTGAGTATTTTGTAAATAGGTTTTCCTTTATTGCAGTGATAAATTGATCTCAAAGCCAACACTGGAGGCTTTTCTGGGAACTTAGCACCTGAAAAGGTTTGTTGTATTTTAAAACAGGTTAATAAAACATTTCTTTCTTCTCTAAAGATAGTAAATGCATATAACAGTTATTTTGTCATCAATTCTTTTATCTGGGAACCAAAATCGAGAAACCTTGTTGGCAGTCTCATCTCTTAGCCAATTTAGGAGTCACTCTGATTTTGGTCATTGGGGTTTCTTATAATGAGATTGATATATCATGAGGACTATTATCTATAGATAGTATTCTGTGGTATAGGTACATACCAATATCAATTTGTAAGATAAAGTGGTAATTATTCATTTCAAACAAGAATGCTGCACTGTTAGCATCATGTTCTAGTATAGCACCTTCATATTTCACTATAAGTTGTGCCAGTAAATCTCGTTTTAATTTCTCATTGTCCAGTAAATCATTAATCTGAAAAAATACTTGGTTAGTGGCACACTGTAAATTGGAAGGTTTAAATTAGTTATTATTGTATGTCCTCTTTACCTTATTGTTTAACAGGTCTGTTACCATTGGAACATAGTCCATTAAAACTCCAGATTGATGCATCCTAAAACATTGTTTTTAAATTAATTAATTAATAAGAAAACTGTTGAAGGCAAATACTCCGCTAATGTAGGCCACCGGTGACCTACACGGCGGTTAACATGTTAAATTATATAAATCTATGAAGAATAGTCTATATGTCATTTAGACAAATACTAATTTTTCATTAACTCGTTGAATACCGTATTTATAGACACAATTAAAGAACAATAGGTTGCGGTCACCGGTGACTGCTTGGTGTTTGACAGTTTAATTAGTGTCACACAGACACAGTACCATATGTCATGCCTACTTACGTGGGTAATGTTATGTTCCCAAGTGACTTAGTAAGAGTGGGTGAGAGTATCAATTCAGCATTTGTTGAGTTTGGATATCTTACTAACAATAATGCTGTGTCAATGCCAGGGTTCTTTTCTGTTCTGAAAATAAAAATGTTATGTTAAAATTCTTTTTCATTTACCTGTATTGTAAAAGTCAACTATTCATAAAGGAATTTATTCTGTCTTGCCATTCTCATATAGAAAACTTGCCCTCCAGACATTAATCTATTTCTATATTATTAACTAACCCGTCACTGTATACTTCTGGCAATCTGGAAGTGTCAACATTCAATCTGATCAGAAATTCCACAACATGGCCACCAACCCATACTTCAATATCATTCTCAGATGTAAGTGCATCTCCAAGTAGGGCACTGTATTCAAAGTATGCCCTAGAACTGTCATCTTCATTCAGCTTCTTTATCTGAAAAAAGAAGAAATATTCTTAGCAGTGTCTATTTGTTATAACCCAGAGCAAAAGTATTGCAAGTAATTTCCCTTACTTGATGAAGTTTGTATAAACTGATGAGTTCAGAAATGACATCACTTAGTGCTTTTGGATCATTTTCATTCCATTTCGATAGAGAAGGTACTTTTTCTTCTAGAAATATTTCATCAACATTCATAAGAAAACTTTCGTCATCAAATCTAAAATCTGGCGCGAACCATGGAGCTGAACTGTCAAATATTATCTCCCATTTTAATTTCTTTGAACAGTAGGGTAATACTATTCTGATCTGACAATCACCACCTTCTGAACGCCCCGATACTCTTTCGAAGTCAACTCTAGTCTTGCATAAACCTATAAGTTTCATAAACTTTTATTAACTGAAACAGCAAGTCACACTTCTTAGAATAATCACAAGGCATGTACCCACCAAGCTGTAAATCTTGGTAAACATTTTGAATGTAAGGACGAAAAACTGGGGCTAAATCATTCAATACCCCATAACTATCTAAAGACATTGTAAAATCTTAACACATCCACTCTGTGTTGTTTGGAATAGTGATTATATTGTACTAAAGTCTAAGAGAACTAAATGACTGATTTAGTTTATCATTAAATTAAATACTTATAGCAAACTTTCTAACAACACTAATATTGTATGTATTAAATATGATCGCACAAATAATAGGTATTATGGTTATGAATATGAAATTAAATTATTATAAACAAGCAAGAAGAAAGTGAAGAAACCGAGTCGGACTCTCAAACGTCATTATTATTATGTCACAATGACAGTGACAGCGGAATTAGAAAAATTTCGTTCGAAAATTTATTGAATGCTACTTGTAGATACATCTTTACAACTAAAACTTCGTAAATAGCAAACACAATCATTTTCTATTTTTATCTGAGATATTAAAATCTCGAAATTGCATATGTACCTTCAGTTTGGACTGTCTAGCCTTAAAAAATAAAATTGAAGTTCATCTACTCTACTAGCCCTACCTTTGCTTTGCTAGCCCATCCCTAAAACTGTCATTTGTTTTTGTCGCCAGTCCCTACTCGTCAGTGATTTGATTGACGGACGGACATTGTGATTTTGCTGAACAAGGACAGGACAATACTTCAGCGTTTTTCGTTTTAACGACTTTCGGCTCTCAGTGCTTTCGTTGCTGTTATTTCAAATTTGTATAGGCTTAAATAGACATATTTACTGCTTACAAATTGTGTGGAATAGTACTATGAAAAATATGTATTCGTCTGCACAGAACAACATTTCGGATCTACTCAAATTAGCCAAAAAATTCAACTGTTTTTATCTATCAGGTACGTGATTGGATTGTGTATAATTTCTGAGTTATTTGTAGAGGAACTTATGTGACTGTTTAGGCAGTGTATTCTGTGTTTGTAATAACAAGCTGCTGAAGAAGCTACCTGTACTGTTTGCTTACATATTTTGCATTGTTCAAGGCTTGCATCAGGGAGTATGCAAACCGTTTATTGTTGCCGGATATCAAGTGGGCCTGATTCGTCCTGATGTTATGAAGTATCTAATTAGATTTCCAGAGGTTTGTATTTTACAACATACTTATATAGTATTTTTATCACATTCCAATAAGAATCTGCTAGAATATGAATAAAATAGTATTAACTGGTCAAATACACATTGTTATCAAATAATTTTATACTTTAGTTTGTTTCTATGAATTCATTCCACCATGAGTACATTCTTACTGAAAATCTATACATATTAGTGTAGTATAACCTAACCTATTATCTAATTTAAATTCTTACTGCATAGCATAATATATGCAATTAACAATATAGTGCTTAAAACAATGCAATTAGATGTAAGTACCTATTTTATTTTATATAGAACCAAGTAACAAATTCTTCAATTACAAACCATTTCAAATTAAAGGTGTTCAGAATCACTGGAAAGTATGTAGAGCTGAACCCAGCATTCAGAGACTATAAAGAGAGGTCAACAAAGGTAGCCGATGTGTTGCAGAACTTGAGAAAAGAAAATGATATATGTGCTCTGAAAGGCTGGAGAGATGAGGTTTGTAATTCTAATATTCATATCAACTTTTAAAAGAAGGATCTATTTCAAAGTCTTGTGTTCAACACATTTTATTAGGCAATAGAATAGAATTAGGCATGAAAAGAAGTTTAAAAGAAACAATAATTTTGACACAATGCCAACCAGGTCATAGATGTGACTTATTTTATTTAAAAAAATACTAGGTATATTTCATTTCTAAATAGGATACAATATTGGCATGTCAAAAATAAAAATAATATATGTGTTATCTGTTGTAAACCACAAGAGGTGGTGGGTAGGAAAATGGAACAGTAACCTCACATTAGGTACCACTAACACGAGGTTACTGTCTGATATAGAAATTAATTATATAATGATAGTGTTCTGTGATAAGCAGTGAAGATAGAGAAGTCTATAATGAATTGTTATCAAACTTACAGGAAACATGAATATTATAATGTAGACTGATTTTTGCATGATCATTATTTAGCTATTTCATATCGCAATGCATTATTTTTAATAATAGATTCTTTTATTTACTCTCTAATAGGGTTCCAGTAAGATCCATCTTGAAAATAGTTGTTAAATTTTTCACCAGTATGAATTAATGATGATGTACTTCTTCCAGTGTTTTGGAGTAACTACACCATTACATCCCGAGAGTTTGTTGGAAATGGACAGAAGTGCCATGTGTCTGTTTGGTATCAGGAGCTATGGCGTGAGTGTCACTGGTTATGTCAACCACCCAACAAAAGGCCTCTGCATTTGGTTACAGCAGAGAAGCTTTACTAAACAAACTTGGCCAGGTTAGTAAGAAGTAAAAAGAGATTGATAAACAATATAATCATAAAATAAAAATAAAAGAAGAAAGATTGTTAACTCGTCGAGTACCGGTTTTATAGACACAATTAAAGAACAATAGGTCGCGGTCACCGGTGACCGCTTGGTGTTTGACAGATTAAAGTGAATGATGATTAATTTCAAAGTTAAGTCAAATTATTAAATTCAAAACAATAATTTGAGTGGGAGTAAACACTCAGAGGCAGGAAACAGAACAGTGCATAGTGATATAATTCTGGATAATTGGATGTCCAGCAAATCGATTCTACTGTATTTATTCACATCAATCATATGATTTTGTAAACTGTTAACTATGAATATTTTTAGGCAAATGGGATTGTTTCGTGAGTGGTGGCCTGGCTGTTGGCTATGGTATTCTGGAGACTACAATAAAGGAGGCTGCTGAGGAAGCTTCTGTTGAAGGAGAACTAGTGAAAAAGTTGGTTCCAGCTGGCTGTGTAAGGTAGAATATCACAACTCCATTAATTATTCACAACTACATGAAATATTGTATTTGTGTTTTACAAAATATTTAAATACTGTTTTCTTTTTTACAGTTTTTACTTTGAAAGTGAAAGGGGCTTATTCCCAAACACAGAGTATGTGTATGATCTTGAGTTGCCCCTTGACTTTATGCCCCAAAATGCTGATGGTGAGGTGGAGAATTTTGAGATATTGACTGCCGACGAGTGTATCCAGAGGGCTTTGACACCTCAATTTAAGACAACGAGTGCACCAGTCCTTCTGGACTTCTTGATACGTAAAGGACACATTAATCCTGAGAATGGTAAGAAACAGAGTTTTAAACTGTATTATTGATGAACATTTAATACTGAAATTACTGCTCTCTGTCCTTTATTACCACTGTACCTACATGGTAAGATATGAATTGTTTTTATATACAATTTACTAATTGATTTTTCAGAACCTCACTACCGGAATCTGGTGGAGTTACTTCATGTTCCTCTGCAGTCAATTTACAACTGGCCATGCACTGCAGCATATGCCACTATGGCCACTAATGGCGATGGCACTGAAATACATCAAGCTAACTAAACAAGCCATCTGAATTATTGCTTTTTAAATCTCACTTTTTCTAATGCTCTTCATAAAACTTGACTACTCAAACAGGTTTTGTGTATGAAGTTTCTAGTCTTCCTATATTTCAATGTCGAAGAGAAATTATGATAAATGCTTATATCGTATTTGGGTTGATTAAGATATTACTGTTTTGTTATTTGCATCAAGGGTCATAAAATATTATTTTCATCATCATCGATCAGATTTCATACCAATGGTTAGTAGATTAAATAAGTTGTGGTACAGTAAGTTGACAAACTGTTGAGTATAGGTGCAAATATCATGGTTTTTCTTAGATAGAGTTGTAAGTAGGTATAGACGTTTTCCAGTGATGGCTGCACCATTACCAGTGTTTATTGTTTGATAAAATTGTAAATATTTGTTCTAGCTTATTATTAAAATTAAATACTTCAAGGCCTAATCATATTTCAAGTTAATTGGCCTCGTATTCATATTCTTTGGTAAGCTTTGAGTGGTACCTAAGTCTATGTATTATTAAAACTACAATTTTGTTTTACCTTGGCATTTGTGACTAGTGCATACATTATCATAATATTTTAGTATACATTGACCAAATCTTGATGTGTTTCGTAATGTGTGTTATTGAAGACATCATAGTTTAGCTAGGTATGGTTAATTTCTGTGATACTTTACCGATTCGGTATAAGGCAATGTTATATTATCAGTTTAGTTTTTCGGCTGTCGTAATGAGACCAACGTAGACACGCGTAGATAGAACATTAGCATGTTCAGTGTTCTCAAGGCTGGCTCATTCAATGTCAGATGGTTACGTATTATTTGTGACATTTTTACGTAGATTAAATATTTTGTAAACATGAATAATATAATATCGAAAGTAATAAACTACCTATTAATGTAATATTTATTAATCATATAAATTATAGCATATTTGTTGTCTAGGTGCTACTCGCAGATGTAGTACGATAAATTTATATTCGTTTATCTAGTCATTCTACGTCAGATATGGCGAATATTTAAAATTTATAATAATACGTACATTAGTGCCTGTTTGAAAATGTTTTTCTTTTTTATTGTCGATTAAACTACACTTAAAGTTTGTGTTAATTTGCCGTGTAAAATAGCTATCGAATATTTTTGAGTGTAGGACGTATTTTTAGTGTTAATGTTTGTTTTAATTAATATTTGAAGTGATAGTACTTATTTTGTTTTTCACATAATATTATATCATGAGGTTTGTGTTAGTTGAAATTGGTTACATTTGGTAATAATGCTATAATTTACATGACAGATAAAACTGATCACACATGTGGCATATAAATGTCCTAATTAGTGCCCACTATTTTATACGACAACATAGCCGTACGACCAGTCATGTACCCATGAGCAACAAAGCGACAGATTTCAAAATAAACTGCTGTCAGCTTCAAAATAAATTGACGTCGAAAACTTCATATACTTATGTCGCAACATCCCATCTCAGCAGCTGTAGCCAAATGCCATTTAGCGCTTGTCTACTTGTAGAATAGAAAACCAAATTATATGGAATTGACGTAAATTTTGACACTTGTCAGTGTCATCCCCATACATTTTGATTTCTACTCTCTCTGTAGACAAGCGCTAAAGTGGCGTTTGGCTAAAGGCACTGGTCTCACAATGGGTTGCTAACTGGGGTACCATAAATATCTTGATACAAATGAATGGTTTACCAGTAGTTGATTTGGTCTCCGGTAACCAATTAATAAGGCAACCAAGTTGATTCATACGGTCGTGGTGTCGTAATGAAATAGGGCAGTAACTCGTTAACTAATAGGGATCACAAAACATTGTATTTATTATTTATTCATTTTCATTATTATTATTTTCGTGTGGCAAACGTACTCCCAATTTTTAAATGATAGTAGTTAAATTTATAATTTTAATACTTCCCAATTACTTGTAATAATGAATTGAAGAATTGCACTAATGAGATTACGTATTACTGGCACGTACCTAATTAGTAAACGATTAAGAGGCCTTTCAAGTGTTTGCATGACATTTGAAAATAATGTAGACAGATTAGAAGAGACTGAACATTGATTCCTTATTTGTCATTTTTACTGAAGCAATTTACAGCAGGACTCGTTTAGAGGTAATAAGTATTCGCAAATGTTAGAAAGGAGTAGATGTTTGTAGAATTAGACAAGTAAATTGGGTAAATGCTAGTGATTGATGTTCAGTTTTCATTACATTTTATACATTTTTATAAATCCGCTATTGGGGAAAGATTTTGTATTGATATTATGTAATACATACTTAAATTATGAATGTAATCGTTTATATTTGCGATAGTAATTAGCGTTTTCCTAAAAATAAAGTTTTAAAACATACATTTTTTTATTTAATTTTTAAATAGATGAATATGTCCAAAAGAAAATTATAAATAGGACATAGAAAACACTTATTCATTGGAGCATGTATTACTAGATTTGGCTCGTAAGACCTAATTTGCAAACGAAATCTGTGTTAAGTTTAAATTGTAGTCTATAGGAGAGTATGTGTTAGGATGGATGTACAAAAAATTAAAATATTTCCAGTATAAGAACTTTATTTTCAAATATTGATATCGACACAATTGCTATGAATACGGGTGTATTAAAAATACGATTTTAAAGTAAGATTAGTAAAAGAAATAACAATGTTACAACAAAGAGTTAAATGTCTTTGAGGACGAACAATACGCTCCAAAAACGACATCTTATACTAAAAAGCAACAAATGGGTATGTCATTAACAAACACGACTTAAGCTGATATTTACGCGATGCTTGTTCTTAAAAATATGATTTTAAATGTAGTTTATTATGTTGGTCAGTAACTATTTTAATGAAACCATCCAAATCAATAACACTCGTATTGCCAAACTGATAAGTCTCAGTTGACCGAGTTATTTAATTATATTATCTGAGAAGAAATAAGCTGGCTGCGACATCAACCTAAGCAACTTCAGCTATCGCTAGTAATCATCTCCGCGCGATATAATTTCTTTGCAAGTGGGTCTTAACAGAATAGTGTGCTCGAATTGAGCAGTGTAGCATCCTTTGATGTCGCAAAGCGGAGGGTATGCGTCCACCACGCCTTTGTCACACAAGTCCTTGAGCGCCATAGCATAACGAGACGCACCTGCGCGTTCTAACCATCGCTTACAGAACGCCAGGGTTCCGAAATTTTTGTTGATCAAGTTCAGGAGTTGCTTTGATGATTGGAGCCTGAAACAGAATAATTAATTTTTGATGTTAATCAACACAAGCTAAGAGTGAAGAAACAAGGTCTAATCTGCTAACAATATACATTACCTCAGTGGGACAAATTGTTGATCAAAGTTCTTCATGTAATGAGAGCAGTCCATATCATCATGCACTTGGCCACGTCCAGTAGATCCGAATGTCTCAATAGCATAAAATTCATTCTCTTCCATGCGTGTAGTTTCACCACCCTTCACAATTGGTACTGTCTTACCAGCGTGGATCCCTAAGAGGATTCTGATTAGAATTTTTGTCAATTTAAGACATAAGCATAAGTTAACAGTTTTATAACTTACTGTATGGTCCAATGGAGTGCCCATTCAAATTACGTATGGGTTTCACTTGATATACTTGGCCATCGATTTCTACTTCATGTGATTCCATAACCTGGCATTGAAAAAATGTGGATTAGTGTTTGGAAGAGCTACATAAAATGTTGACGTAAGTATATTTTCGTTTTGTCATTACCTCTTGAACAGCAGCTCCTACGTCACACAGCCTAACATCAACTCCAGAAGCCTTGATGCCTGCTTCAGTAGCTTCCTGTACTCCCTTGACCAATGGATCGTAACGCGGGTTGAAGCTCAGTGTGAAGGCACAATCAATGATGCGCCCGTTGATGTGAGTACCAAAGTCGATTTTTACGACGTCATCATATTCTAGGACAGTTGTGTCACCTGGAAGCCACCAAAATATTTAAGATTCTTTAATGGGTATGTAGAAATGTAAAAAAATAGCGGTAGTGTGGTTAACTCTTTATGAAATAAAACTGCTTGGGTTTGTTTGTACATATAGAAGGCAGTTGCATACCAGTGTTGGGAGTATAATGAGCCGCACAATGATTACGGCTGCAACCAGTGGGGAAAGCCAGACCAGCTTTCAGTCCATCTTCACCAATCAGACGTCTTGCTGTTGATTCTAGTTCTTCACAGATTTGAATCATAGTCATGCCTGGCTTGATCCAATCGCGCATGTATTTACGTGTCTGCAATTAAAAAGAATTTTTTGAGAATTTCTGATTTTATATCATTTGTGCAGCATTTTTTATTAGAGACCAATAACATGTCTTATAGATGTATCATTATTACTTTGTATCATGTTGTTGAATAGCACTGACACAAGAATACAATAACAATTTCTGTAATGTTATGTATGAAAATTTATTAGCAAACTTGTTAAACAATAGATCTCACACAGAATCTTCCATTCATCTGGGAATTTTATTGCTAGATATTATGTCTTCTAAATTATTTAATACTTCTAACTGGCATGTTTCTATGACTAAATGAATGAATATGATGGAAATAAAACATTATGGGAATATGGATTGTTAATGGTGTTAGTTTGTGCCTACTAAAGGTTTTAAGTGTGTGTAATAATTATTTAATGATTTCCTTACTTGTCTATGTGCCTCTGCAGCATGTCTGATTTCCTGGTAGATGTCTTGGTGCAGTCTATCAAGAGCTCTCTTCTCCTCGCTAGAGAATCGTTCCTTTGCAGTTCTTTCATCAATGCCTTCAGCTGGGCCATGCTCTGTTATCTCACCCTCGGGGAAGTTGCCTGAAGAATGTATTGGTATCATTAAAAGAAGGCGTGTCATTAAGCACATTTCATATGTAGGTTTATCCATTGTTAAGGTATATTACGGTAGAAAATTGATTATTAGAATATCTAATAGGATTTCACTGAGATTTTCTAATAGCAATAAAATGGAAAATGAACAAACTATAACACAGACAACAAAACTCTATAATTAGACTAATTAAAACTTATTTCCTGTTATAAACAACATGGGAACACCTACCATCAGGATACAACTCTGCAATAGGGATGGTTGGTGGGTTGGTTTGCTCCTTAGTTGGACCCTTGCCAGATTTATTTTTGTTCTTCTTCTTCTTTTTCTTTTTTTCATCACCTTCAGCAGGTGCATCATCAACAGTCAAAGCTTCAATCTTTTCTGAAGCATTTGTTACTTCAGCAGACTCATTTTCAGCTGTAGCTTCATTTTCTGCAACAATAACAATACACTAACACATTAATAGGTACACTAATAGGAGTCAATACTGTACTATATGTTTATATCATTAACATGTTTTAAGTGCTTCTTTGGCTTGTGTAGCTAGTCATATTATAACTTACCTACATTGTAACACAGTTTAATAAGAATACCTAACATACAACATACATATACGTGTATACATAATTAATTGGTGTAAAACGGCGTAATATTATCAGGTTAAGCGTAGGCGCCTCGCAACTATCAGCTTTACAGATAAAAATAGACATGTTGAGGCTAATGCACGATGGAGGTGACCAGGTTTGTATGAATATAAATATTGTCACTCCTAACCTGTCTTCTTCTTCTTCTTTTTCTTTTTCTTCTTCTTAGCGGGATCTTTAGTTTCGCCTTCCTCTACAGCATCTAGTTCCTCTTCCTCACCATTTTCAAGTCCCTCAACTTTATTTAGTTCCTCCTCTTTTTTAACGGCAGCCATTGTACCGATAAAGCAGAAAACAATATAAGATTGTAAAATGGAAACTATATTTCCATGCGACCGTAAGCGGTTTTTAACCTCTCTTCTGTTTCACAAAATCACAAAGTTCAACGACTAAAGAGGCACATAGACACACGATGTGATAGGTAGTCAATAAAGTGACAGCTGACAGTAATTGACAGCAGGAGAGAAAATAGTAAAAGCGCTTGTTAGAAAGAGACTACCATAAAAATGTCAACTTCGTCCACTCTGTCTTGTGCACATGAATGTTACCAACTTGAATAAATAAGAATTTGCAGCATCGTGTGAATAAAAATAAAATAGATTTAAAAAATTAAATGTAATTCGAGTTAAGACTCCAGCTAGTAAACTATACGCAACATAGTTTATATTATGGATTAACCCTATAAAAGTTTGAATAAATCGACCACAATTAACCGTAAACTTATCAACTCCATACGAAAATACTTATTTCTCTTTTACCACTTTTATTTATCATAGCGGGGTTATGGGAACAACAAATAAGTATTTCCTATGGAATATCGTTAATATTCGCAATAAACGAAGTATAATTTATTTCAGAAAAAATGGTGTAAAGAGTTTTACATACAGTTCCGCTATTTGTCGATAGATGGTGCTAAGCGACATATGTGTTGAGCTTCGGAACATTCGTGGATCATTTTCTCACCGGGAATAGGCCAAGCTCTGTGTGTTACTAAAAATTTTTGGAAATTCTAAACCATAATATTTTTGACTTTGGGAATTGAACCCAAGTCACCAGTAAACTTTAGTAGTATCTAGTAGGACGAATGAAAAACTACAGGTGCGTAGATAGATACCACGCACACACGTGTAATTTCATCCATTTCATTTAGGCATTATTTAATATTTTAAGTACATATGCATTTTCTTTTATCATCGGTAGATATTTATAATAAAAGGCTATAGTGTAATTAATTTTGATTTTTGATAATTTTTAGTTCCTACATTTTTAGTTCCTACAACAGTTCAACTGGCTCATTTCAAATCATGGGCGTCGACTATCGTCAACTATGCATACCTATATAGAGAAATAATATTAATATACTTACACACATACCTACATACTTACACCACTCGAATGGCCATTAGTACTCGGCGTATATTTATAAATGTTGCCCGTATACGTACTTCATACGAGATTCGAACGTAACCTTGTAACTTTAGCACACAGAGCGATTGTGGAACGCGCTTCAATTTTGATCACCAGTATGAGTGGCTCGCCACCCGACCAGAACCAGACCCGAGCGTGCGACGCGTCGCGTTCCGCGCGCGTTTAAAGAGCCATCAGACCACCACAGATGCGGCCCAATAGGGCTAATGCCGATACGGAGTCGCGGAGGACTTAACGGGTTGCCGGGGCTCCGGATTGAAGGGCAGGAGTAGGAACGGGGTGGTTTTTAGTCAGTAAGAGTCTGACACTCCCTCCCGCCTCACCCAGGCGGGGGAAGTCATTCGATAATTTTCCCCCTTAAAAAAAGGGTGTCCACCTGTGCTGTGGACCGTGAGTTCGTGTTCTCCGAGCTCCGCTTCTGCTTGATTGCTTGCTTGCTGCATGTATATATCTCGTTTCTGGACAGTAGTCAATACGTACCAAACGTCTCTTGCGAGACGAGTACGAGTTTCTAACAGAGGTCAAAAACGTACGTTTTCAAGACGGTTTGTTTCATTATTTCTTAGAACTTAGAGTCAAACATGAAGGTATTGGTTGGTTTTCACGAAGGTATGGTAATGGTAATAGCTGGTTCTGACGGAGGTAGTGTGAGGTATTGGTGGTTGAGCTATGGTAATGTATGTATGGTGTCACTATAGTACGTATACGCACTGTAGTCGCTCGTAACACATAGTAATAGTACTATGTGGTGTGCTTACCACCAGGCGAGATAGGTGCCAAACGTCAGTCTATCAAATAAAAAAAAAATAATAAACGCACGTTACACACGCGTTTTTTAAATATCGAACATATTTTGACGAGTAATTACCTAGGTACTACAATTTTATAATTTTCGGGAATAATTAGGATAGCAAGAACTAGATGTGTTCTAGTCTTGTTTGACAAAGGAGATATATCTGTAGCCCGATTCACGTAATAAAACCGCAGCTAAAAATGACGAAATTTTCGTAACTGTAATTGCGTATTTTGTGGATACAAGGAATTAATGTTTCTTTCTGTTGAATTATGCTTTTCATTTTCATCATTGACATATAAGCCACAAGAAATCCATTGCTGAACATAGGCTTACCCAAAAACTTTAAACCTTGGTGGTTATGATACTGCTTAGATATTAAACGCATTCTTTTTCATAGATAGCTAGAAGATAGGCCGCTGTAGCCAAATGCTATTTAGCGCTTATCTACATGTAGAATAGAAAACCAAATTATATGGAATTGACGTAAATTGTGACACTGGTCACATACATTTAGTTTTCTACTCTCTCTGTAGACAAGCGCTAAAGTGGCGTTCGGCTAAAGGCCCAGGATCCTACTGTAGTTTGTATAACAAAATAAAACGATTAAAGAGTTTTCTCCCATATCTTTTTATTCTAAATACATTAATATTCTTTAATTCAACTCAAATATTCATTTAAACTATTACAAGCTATTTTTTTTATTTTAAACATAAATAATAAGTAATGCAAATGACCAGCATTGCACACTTTAACTCGGTATTAATATTTAACTAGGTATTATCCAATCTTAGCGATAGTTCTCCATAGTGATAAAACATATACACAACACTGAAAACCTTTGGTGAAAACAAGTATCCTACAATTACTATTGATTATATAGACATGTCCGATGTAGTGAGGCAGCTGTAGGCAGAACTTTTAATTTCCATTTCAATCGAACGTTCTTTGGTAGTAGAATCACGAGATACAATTAGCTCAGTACAATACCAACTCCTCAACACATCCGACATGTCACTATGGTTATACATTATACCATTTTATTGCATTAGGTAGGCAATTAGATAATTCCATTGAAATAAGACATAATACAACGAGTACATTATCTAGATACCTATACAATCTGCTCATTTAACCTGTTTATTGTACACAGTTATTATAAAAGTAACGATTATGACAATTCGGTAGAGGTACAAGGCAGGTACATGCAGATGCTCACATTATGTGAATTACCAAAGATTGGGTACGTACGTTATACACAGATCTACTGCAGTACGATTATCATATTCAACACAATTAGTTACAAATACGTATGTTTTAATTAGAAAATTAATGATTCTAAGCGTAATGTTTCTATTTTATAACACACAAGTAGTTAAGCGTATCCAATTTTTAATGTAGTAGGTATGTATGTTTATATACGTTGACGTAGGTACCAAATATCTAAACTATGCAGTTTTAAAATCAGACACTTCGAAGATAGGCGATGCACACATGCTCGTAGTATTTGATCGCCGATAAAATCTTAATTTATCTACGAAAATAATGTACATTGGACCTTCCTTCTTGATGCTGATGAATGACAGAAACGATGACTTAGAAAATACTTTTCATAATAATACTAGGGGACATTATTCAATAATGATATAAATATAAAACAAGTGAAGTGTGAGGAACTACAATCATTTAATCAGTTTAAAACAAAATATCTTTTGAGTACATGAAGGAATAGAGACCAGCTCTTAACTTGTCCATTAAACATAAAAAGATGAATGATGAAATGCAAAAATAATACAGGTTTATTAAGTATTACACCCTCCTTATTATAGTATTGTAAATGTACCTACACGAAGTTTATATACGAGTATGTAGCTGAATGCTCAAGTGGCTATGTGCATGCTAATTGATATAACATTGTTACAAACATGAAAACTTTGCAACCGACGACAACATGAAACTGGATAAAATCTAGATTTTCCATCCAATGTACAATTTTCAGACATCTACTTATTTATATTACAATCTTTTACACAGTGGTTGTTAAATATTTAAAAAGTTATCAGTTACGCTCTTTTCCTTACAAGACAAAACTATGTAGGTACACAAATATTGTTATATATAGTCGAAATCAGATCTGCACAGCGATTCTGATAATGTTTGATATGATTACACAGTTGATGAAAGGAGCATACCTGGCATGAAATGGGTGAAGTAGAAAACAGTTGTGCGAAGTGTTTCGGTCCTACCTACTACTATTGCAATACCCGGCCCGCGCACCGATTACTTTCGACTTATCCAGCAAATACTTAGATATTTGAATTCACTCAAAATAAAACTTAGTCGCAAACCACTCATTTGTTAGTACTTAACATTTTAATCAAACACTTCAAGCCGTTAGTTGCGTACACGAAAACTTTAAAGATTCATGACTAATTTTTTTGTTTTGTATTCGGGTAAAAGACAACTAGAATAAAATACGTAACTTTACAAAAATAATAATACATTACTCTAAAGAGAAAAATAAACGGATCGCCAGCGATCCTCCATAAGTAATGAGGTGCATTTAGGTTCACAAAAATCAAGTAAAGCTTTCTAATAGGATGAATTTGGTAAAGTGTCTTTTGGACCCCCGACCAAATACGAAGAGAGATCTAAGAATGAATTGTATCTTCCACCAATACCGTATACTGGGCAGCGCCAGACGGTATCATCATGGAACTAGTAATGGCCACGTGGATAATGACATGTATTGCCGTACTGGGGGCTCTCTGAGGTTCGGCCGGGAGCTGTCGGAGCTTTGGTTACTACCGCAGTGAGAAACTGGCCGAATATTATATATTCAGAAAAGACACAACAACAACTCCGAAAGGCAATTTTTAAAATTTACCTTAAAATAGATTTTATATTTAGGATATCTATTATGGTAATATATTTTGGTGAATAACATCATTATCGCAAACCCGTATTAAATATGAGAAACGTGGATGATATGACAATATAAATTACCCTTTCATACCAATTAATAAGCGTTTTCAATGTCCTTACTTAGTCGAGCCGATATATATTATGCGGCATCGACGACTATAACTACTTACACGACTCATTAAGAACCGAATACTAACTACTTACAGGGATTATCGAACGTCTCCGTGAACGAAAGAACATTTCATATATCTTTGGTTAGACAAAACGAAACAATAGTAAAAATACTAGACAATCGAACGTTACAGTCATTGGAGGGACATAATTATTTAGTCGTTAGGTATTTTTCTAAACAACATTGCGTAATAATCACATAAAAATAATCATGATCGAAATGTGACGATGCATCGGGATCGTTCCATTTCGAGGGTAAGCGTCAACAAGTATTACTATTATCAACAAGACCCGCCCCGGCCCGGCCGGCGCCGTGCTACTGCCAGAGCTTCCACCAGACTTGCATCTTCTCTGAGAGTTTCTTGCAGATTCCCAGTAGTTTCCGTCACATCCCGCCATCACCCTCCCCTTCGCACTCCTCTGAACCCTCACCCTCCTCTAACGTCACCTGTTAACAAAAAATTGCTTATTAATATCTTGTCTATTTTTACTTTCATAAGTGGTTCTGTTACTTGCGTATTATTTGTGGTTAGAATGAACAAAAACCTGAGGTTGGAATTACTTAAAAAATATGAATTTACAAGTGATTAAAGATAAAAATTAACGTTCAACTTACTTGAAAGCGTATTTGTTCGGGGCGGTCGTCGTCGGGCAGGGAATGCGTCTGAATGGGCGCTGGCGGCGGTGATGGCGGTATCATACTTTGATAATAGTCGCGGTTCTCCTCTAGAGTGTCTAATATGTCTTGGGCGTCAGGATGTACTAGGTCAGCCCATGTCTCCCACAGCGGGTGGACAATGTAGTCGATAAAACCAACTTGAGATTTTTCTATCGTCGCGTTGTGCCTGTCACACATTGGACTGATATCCATTCCTTGCTCCCTCTCGCGGTCTCCTTGTTGGAAGAATTCTTCCATAAGTAGTGCTACCCATCGCTTGTAGAGTGGTAACGGTTTAGTGGGATTACTCAGATCGGCACAATGTACGAGATTCTCCAACACTTGTATTCTGTCGGTATAATTGTCTAGTAGTAGCACGCCACTTCCAGCTACCTTCTTTGTTTCCACCATGGTTTTGAGGTCTGCTAATAGACTCATGTGTTTCGACATGTCCGTAGACAGAACCATATCTATGACCATCTTACGCAGCGTCTGTCTTTGTTTCTTGTGAAGGTTGACGAATATGTCACATCCTTCGTTCTGCAGAAGCTTGAACGCCACGGCAAGATGGTGATTCTCTAACACAGACTCGTCGTTATACATCAGGGCGAGTTCTGAGCTTGAATTGACGAGGAACTGGTTGGTGAGGCCAGGATGATCGACGTCATGCACACACGCAGCGAACAGAGCAGCGCAAGTCTCAATGGGAGTGAAGACAGCATCGAGTGCGGGCGTATTGAGCAGCACGTGAGTAGACTGCGCGACGTCGGCGGCGTGCAGCGAGTTGTGGAACGGGTTGTCGCGCACGTAATGTTCCTCGAGAGTGATGGCGAAGGCGAGGAAAGTGCGCGCTGGGATTTGCAGCGTGCCCAAGAGCTCCCTGGACGTGAACGCGGCGTAAGCGACGGCAGTGAGAGGTCGTCCACAAGACAAGTCGCCAATGCGGAAGATGTCTACGCCCCACCGATCGATTTCTCCGAGCTGACGTCCCAGTTCTTCTTCATGAGGAGTATCTACTCCGTATCTTGGCACACGTTCACCAGTGAAGCTGTTGGTGTGCGTCAGTGTTCGCTTGACGCCAGATATCTGTACAACAAAAGTGAAAAATGAGCTTATGATATAAATATTATATATATTATATAATTTACATATAGAATATTTTTTTCTAATTTTGAGAAGGCCAGGAAGGTATTTTCCTGTCTAGTTATACTTGTACTTACTTGTGACATAGTGGTTGCTGGTCCGGCATGACGCGGTTTGTCCTTCTTCTTGGCCCGCGCCTCGGCACCCTCATCCACTTGTAGAGATGGTAGGTCGATATCTTGTTGTTTGTCTGGAATTAAATTAATAACAATTAGTTTAATTATACTTATTGTTAAAAATATGGCCAGGCTACAGGCCTAAATATTGATACAATTGTTTGACCTGAATATAACATACATTTAACTGTTCAAGCATCCTGCAGATGGTAGAAGCTGCATAAATACCTACGTTAATAACTAAAAACTATCGTTCCGATATGAGGTTTATTGCGTTTCACAACTGTGTTACTGGGTAACGATGCCAAAAAGTGGGTGAAAATGTGAAGTATCCATTAATACATCATAATAATATTATGATGGATACGTTTTCAGGTCAGCAAGCGAGTTTTGTTTATTACCGAGATAAGTAATCAATCACAGGTAGAGCTTTGATACCTAATGTTTTTCACATTATTGTGAATTACTGTTTGACTTTTTCATTCAATCCAAGTATAATGGTTAATGTGAAAGTTCAATAAAAGTACCTTTTACTCAAAATTTTCTTGAATTTTCAGTGTACCTATATAATATTTCGTATAAATTGTGCCAAGACGCAGTATTTTATGGGCTGTAATATTATATTCCGTCTTAAATCAAGATCATATTAAACAGGTAGCTTAATTACATGAGGTAGCTTAATTACAATTTATTACACAATTGTGAGGTTTTACGATTAAGAGGCCAACGGTCCACCATGATGAAAGTGTAATCCGAGCACATTAAACGGATTACCTTGTTATCTGTCGATATGATATAGTACTACGCATCCACTGGCTATCTAATCAACAAATAAATACACTCGCAACTATTTTCTATATATAGATTTATAGATGAAAGAAAATCTAATCGATCCATTGGAAATAGGATGTATGTAAAATTTAAATGTGTTAACTATAACCCGAAGATTGAATTGATTTCAGCTGTGATTGCAATGACGTTTGATATATTATATGACTACTAATTCTGTAGTTGAATAATATTATTGTAAGTTTGAATTGGTACAATTAATTACATTCAAATGTTCAATGCTACTTTTGTTAAAATTGCAGACAGTTTTATACGAGATATTATCGAAGACGGTGGTCCATTCTTTGGCTCTCCTAATTGTTAGTCATGGTCGTTCGGTAGCGCAAACAAATTAATTTGTACTACGAAGTTCCTTCGTCCCCATTTGGCAATTGGTTCAATAACATCTCGTTGAGGTTGTCAAACATTATGTCCCAAATGGTTTATGTCCTCAATAACTTTGGTATGAATATTTAAGTGGCTGATGCAAAATTTTGTGTTAGAAACTGATGTATTAATTTAAAATGCGCATCAGTACAACAAACATTAGCATCAATTATAACAGTACCCGTTTTATCTATTAAGGTCTAGTCTACTTAAATGTTTAGTTTTAGAAAGCAACAGTATTGAATATAATAACATGGGGAGGCCTGTGAGTCGTTGTTTTTAAGTTTCAGCTAAGCTGGGCTTTAATCGATATTGTTGTTATTGCAGATCGGGAAGTGTGCGCGCGTGGCGCAGGGTTATCAAAATTTTATCGTCACTGATAACATATTTATTTACATTTATAACCCTATTACGTTTATTTACCTGTTGACTTCAAATATAAAGTCTCTTGTATACCTACAATCATTTTGTGACGTACTTTACAATGACATCTAATCAATAAATTTATCTTTGTGTTAAGTAGTGTTACTTATAAAGTGGCTTTTCTATAATTTGCACGTATTTATTGCTTTAATCCATATGGTTTTCCCGGGGTGCATACATTGTTAAAGCAAATAGGTAAACACAAAGAAAGTTGTCACGCGACAGAGTCAGTATCCCAACACGATGAGTAATGACTGTCACCTCATTTACATGTAGCTACCTATTTGAAAGAATACATTTACATGCGTTACAATGATTTTAAAAATCCTACTTCAAAAAGTGAAAAGTAACTTTGCATTTAATTAAAATTGATTTGCTGCCTGCAATTGTACTTAAACCTTGATATTCGATCACGTCGTACCTTAATAGTGATTTTCAAACAGTTTTCAAATAACGGTTGAAATAATTGTCCCAAAATTAGTATTGGAGGACATTCACATTATATTAAAGTAACTGGGTCATGTAGGAACTTAATAGAACTCATATGAACTTGTATTTAATATTTACATTCAACGGTACATAGCAATTAAGTTACGTAGCAAATCATTATTATAATATAATGCAGTGAACAATGATATAAATACAAATTAGAATTGAATTATAATAGTAAAGTTCTGAGGTTGAATGCTGCAATATCATCGTGGGTAATTGAGGTCTATAACTTGGAGAAATCGTATACGTACGTTGTATTCCTAGTTTTTGTTGGTTCTAACGAGAATGTATTGTAAAAAGTGACATTGCGTAACCTCGGTGTTCGAACACTGTCTATGATGGATGACGCACGGTGAGATTTTGACAGATTGAAGTGCGGTTAATCGTGTCGACAAGATACAACGGACGCGTGATTCATTTTTACAGCGGATAAGAGTTGTAATCTATGTTTGCACTAACTTATAAGTACTTGTATGTGTGCAATTATTCACAGTACGATAACTAAGTATTAAGTTTATTTGAAAGTTTAAAAAAATTGGAAAGTACATTTATCGAAATTGTTCTAAATGTTTACTTTTAAAAAAATCAAAATGTTATTTGAGTTTTTGAAGATATAAAAAGTTTAGAAACACTTACCCAAAAATGTAGAGCAGATGTACTCTGAGATCTGGTTGCCGGACTTGCTGGACTCGGAGAAGTGGCTGAGCTCCTTGTTCAGCATGCGCTTGAACTGCAAGTGCAACAAATCCATTGAGCGGGCCATTGTCACAGCTCGACTTCGCAGCCACCGGGCTGGGGCGAAACGAACGCTTTGTCTCTCCGCACACACACGCATTTCACAACACAATACAGTTATACTTCAACACAACAAAAAATAAAGCTAGTATAAGCTCGCGTTCCGAACTTGTATTTATTCACGATATTACTTTAGACGTGTGTTATCTATGAGCGCTATCGTCGGACTGAAGCGGTCGCGCCGCCGCGGCGCGTATATATTAAACGTAGCACGACTATCGTCACAGCTCTGTACACTACAGAAATACCGCCTTCCCAGTAATGTGCTTTACATGTAATCTAGGTTCAGTCGCTCGCGCTTCCTCTGACACAGTCGCGAGCCACTTGCCTTCCCACTAAACAATTAGTAAGCCACCTGGATGCACACTGTTCATTATTTATATGAGAATTGTTCGGATGAAACTGACTCAAAGAGTTTCAGACCAGTTTGCTTTGTTTCAGTCGCTTTTATCCGGGTGCAAGCTGAGTCTGTTAGCTGTTTTTGACAGCTGAAATGTCCTTAATTAATTGATTAGTGCGATTGTATCTGTCATAATGGTTTAACAAGACAAGAATAACGCAAAACAAAATACATGGCCTGTGATTAGATTTTGATAAACACAAAAGATTAATAGTAAATCACGTAGTAACACGATAGCGGCAAGGGTCTAGCAGAAGGTTGGGCATTGGAGAGACTCCGTTGCTAACTGCTCAATTAAAATGTTTTTCAGCCATGAAATGACATTTAGTTCTGGAGACAATTGATCTTGACACAGTTTCTTATCGGCTTACAAGTCTAATCTTGTATCTAGTAGTCGACATCATTCTTACCCAGTGTTGGTACATCCGAAATGAGGAAAGAAATTACATTTGTACCGAGTTTTGAGAGTTGTTTTAGATATCATTTTGAGATTAACTCCAAAAGTAAAGATAACGTTATCAGACAGAGAGCATTATGGCAGTTTAATTCGCTTTTGACGTTATTAACGCAGTTGTAACGATTACTCATAGAGTGTATGTGAAAGTAAATCTGACCAGTTCCGGAACAAAACCACTTTTTGTTTAATCCGTCATCGACATTGCAGTTACATATAAATAAAAGTACCTGCAAACAAAACGAGTGCAATCTATTTATTTAAATTACAAAATAAATTGCCCACTTTATTTATTTTGGGTAATAAATTGCAATCCACACTGCAATAGATACTTGTATACCGAAAATATTCCGCAAATTATTACCAGTATTAACTAATTCTGACTAGTATTTAGCTACATAAACAGCATCCAGCCATTGATATCCAACGCTATTAATTCGTTGAATTGTTTAAATTGACCGTACTGAATGGAACATTCCAGAAACGTGTACCAGTTATTTAAGAGACTTTCAGACGTATGTACGTAATGTATTCAATTTTCCTTTTTAAGGAACAGACACAGCAATAAATCGTAGATTTCCATTAGTTTTGATATAAAATATTGGAGATAACTAGCACGACCAGCATCAGTACCTACTTATAGACAAGACGTATAAATATGATTGTAATTCAAACAATCATGTCCTGAAAGCGTGAGGGAACTAGAATAGAGCAGCGGGTCACCAAGTGTAGGAGCGTGGCATGGCAGTGATAGCAGCTACACTACGAACTAGTTCACGTGTCCAGTGACTCATGGATTACTTAACTGAAAAGTTCTACGCTGTCACCACTAAAGGGAAAGCCAAAAGAACAGTTAAGTATGTACAAGCTGTAAATATTAAATGAACACCGCTTACGCACTTTACCTGTGTAAGCAAGCCTTATTCAACTTGGAATTATTAATATGAGGCATTAAAGAAGTTAATGTGTTTGTGAACCAGTTAGCTGTATTTCACCTGCGAAGCTAATAGATGCTCAGTCATTGTTTTACTTTCTTCATTCATGAAAAATGGGAAAACATTTCAAGCGTTAAAAACAATTTACGTTTATGTTTATTCTTTTCGACGATATTAATATATTTTGGAATTCAGGAACTCAAACGTTGTGTTTACTTGTTACAATTTAATGTATGGGTGAAATCAAAACATTATAATTTATGTATGTTTTTCACGATTTATTACGAAAAATTGGTACAGTAATTTTTCTGTCTTCGACAAGACCTAGAATTCTCAATACAGTAGAGTTCCTGTTACCTTGAAACCATCAATACATTATAAAATGGTTTCACTTCCTTGACAGAGTTTTCAGACACTTTGGGCAATTGTTTTTTGTGAAATATTAAAATAAAATACAATTCAGTTGTCCTATATATCTATAAGATGTCAGTTTCTAGAACTTACCTAAATGTAACTTCCTTTCCTTGGCAGGTTATCATATTATTAAGGGTTTTCTTAGAGAAATTAGCTTCACAATTTTCCTGTGACGTCTACCGCGTGGGTGTGGGTGTTTAACAAACAATGGGGTAAAAATACTTAAATTGATTCATGGCTAAAACCGTGACGTACTGACTACAGTAGAAAACTCAACGCTGAAAATGGTGTACGGGAAAAATTATATTATTTTACGTCAGGATACTATAACATTAATTGATAGCGAGTATATACCTACGCATTAAGGTACCAGTATACGCACGATACGACACATGCGTACGATATCGATATTTTTTAAACTGAAGAAAATACGTAATACATTGTGTAACCGTTTTTTACCGATTGCTTGACGAAATGTAGTACCGCTACGCAAGTTATTTCGTAACGATCCCATACTGTTGCGTTGGGATCAGTTAATCAATGACATGTAAGATGTTCTGGCTATTTCATTTTCACATTTCTTTAGCAATTACATCTTTAGAGTGGTCAAGAGGTCACGTGTCACTTGTTTACTTGTATTTTACAGCCGGTCTTTATGTCGCAGATGTAGTAGCAGGTGTGAATTGTAGAACGAGGTTGAATGATAGTACTGAAGCACGCATGAATGAATTCTAGAATTAGTGTGAAAACATTAAATTCGTATGCAATCTATCTTCCAAGGAACATGTGGTTCTTTTAAAAGAGGAAGAGGAAAAATAATATGATAAATAACATGGACGTTCTCGTAAAACTTCTTTGATCATTACATCAATCAAATCTACCGTAAACAGGTGAGGCTGAAGTTTGAAGAACGCAAATTATTAATTCAAACTTTATGTGACGTCAGATGCACAGTGGTGCTAATAAAGCTACCTGAAAATCGTTATAGTGACGTAAGTATGTGTTCCGATATCGATGTGTTACTGTACAAGTGACTGATAAATGATTGTCATTTATGAACATAGTAATTAATAATTATTTTATGGGTCATTCAGATACGTGATTAGGGCGTGGGCACGGTAATCTGACGCGATGATCGGGCGATACTCATACTCTATAAATCGAAATTAATGTCAAATTGGTCATTGGGGGAATGGGAGTAATCGCTTCCATTGCAATTAGATCACCTCTCAATCATATCGGCTAAGTTGGCAGCTAGTTTCGTAATTTGATGGAGTCGCGTGGATTGGTGGCTTCCATTCCATATCACCAACGGACGGGTGTGGGGTGATAGTGTCACGTGACGTGTATGATGAGAATCGTGAATGTTACGTGCAACATCATTAGGGAGTATTTATAACTATGACTACCATTATACGTTTATAGTAATTGCTATAGATAAGAAATATATTTTCAGTATTGAAATTGACCTTAGATACTTTTAGAAGATTAAGTATAAGATTCTAAGAAAGAATTTCCTGTATGAAAATTTTTTGTTATGACTACCTTGTAGACGTAGTAGTAAAAATTGGAAAGTAAACAGATTGGTGTATAATAATACTTGGATCAGTCAGAGGTATTCGTAGCATGCTTCACAATATGCAAACTGAATAGTAATTTGGATGTGTTCCCGTGAGTTTCGCGAACTCATTCAATGTAACGATGTAGCAATATAAATATTTTTCCGCGTAACATAAAGCAGGCGCCTCTAAGCTGGATAGCTTCGGTAGCTCCACTGTTTTTCTTTTCTTCGTTTGAAAATTTTCACTCTTTGTAATGAGTTTCAATCGAAAGATTGGTATGTGTTCTATAAATAACTACATTTATATTAAGTCTCGTGTTTTAAGAACTACACTACTAAATAAAAATAAAACAAAACATTTTATCTTCCTTCTGTTAAAAATGTGAACAGTGTAGTTTAGATTAAGAATAGTAATATTAAATTTGTATTAATAAGTATGTTAACTTTTTAATAAATGTTCGTGGTTAGATTAAATACTCAGAAAATCCTGCAGACGTATTTGTGGTCACTATGGGAAAACTTATGGACAAATCTACACCCGGTACTTTATTACAGATAGCGGAAATATTAATTAATTTATACATTATTTATTTATTGAATGGAGAGGAATTATTGGGAAAATGAGCATGTATATTATGCACCTATGGTTCTGTGTAAATTATATGAATGCAAGCACGCTGACGAGGCATGACTTGACATTATTTTATTAATTGTTTTGAGGGATTTGCATTGATTTACTGATTTCTATTTGACAAAATTTACATCATTCAATGTATATACTTATGTGTATAACATGAATATTATGTTTATATGAGACTATGTATAGGTACAGTATTTAAAATACACGATTAGATACATTAACAAATAACTGGTAAGATAATATTTTTAAAACTTGCGTAATTTTTTGTTCGTTTAGTAGCTAAATATGCACTCCTACTCCAGTGAATAAATCTAGTGTAAGTTGTTTGGATTTACTGCTTTATACCAGATTCCGAAATTTATTATATTTAGAGAAGTCTCGATGTTTAGAAGCTGGACTTTGTACTAAAGCTTTGGTAAAGAAGAATGAAGTGTTATATAAAGTCACGAGTCACCATAACCGAGCATAAGTTGAAAACGTGTTTCAGTTCTGAAAAACTGAATTACGGTGAGATTACCAAATAGCGTTGGA